AATACCGACCCGCAATATAGCCTGGGATGGTTTCCTCCTCGATTGCCTGGCTCGTTGATATCTTGATGAAATTCGGATTGGTGAAGTTGAGAGGTGTCCATCTTCGTCCAACCCGCGGTAAGGACCGAAGGAAAGACGGCAACATTTCCGAGACAAGGAGGGCCAGTTGTTGTTTTTTGCGCTTTTTCAGGGTGTTGTATTTGCGTTCGAAATATGGTTGGCGGGCGGGAATATCAAGACAACAAGGGTGGAAAATTCTTAAATCCAGGTGCCATATATAGTATATATATCATGCAGTATCTCTGGCTTAAATACAATTTTATACCCTAAAAAGGTCCTTGATATCATTCTGCTTCTATACCTTTTGTTCCCTCACTTCTACTAACCTTTCATGCCTATCAAACACACTAATTAACTGCTCTAGTAGAGCCACCTTCCCAGGAAGTGAGGATCGAGAGGTGAGGTATTTTGATTGGCTGAAATTGGCCAATGATCACGTGATTAACAGTGAAGCATTTCATTGGTTCATATTGATATATAATGACATAACCTCTTTGTAACTAACTAGTTAATTAACGAATTCTGTATGACGAATTCTGTATGGGAGAAATGATGAAATAACGAAATTCGTGGTAAGGAGAAAAATTCGTTATTACTATGGCGGATCCAATGAAGCACCGGTTTTTTCCCCCGTCAAACCCAGGTATACTAGCCCCATAGCTTTCTCTTCACAATCCTCTTCAAGTCCCTACAATTCTTCCTAAGGAACGAATTAGACCCTGTCTAATTCTATCAATGTTCAGAATACAAATATAAAGAATACCAAACTGGTTTGATACGAATGAGAAGACCATGTTACAGAAGTACAGTGACTGTTCGTAAGCTTTAACACCCAGCCCGACACAACTTTTGAGTATGTAATATTCCGTCAGTTAAAAGATTTTGAATACTATTGTCCATCAAAAACTCTGGCTCTTAATGATGCTCTACACAAGGCTAGGCATCGTCTTAGGAAAATATATCAAAATATCCAGACACGCGATATAAAATCGAGAGAGATGAGGTCCACCAGTTCATTTTATATAGACGGTATGGGCGATAAAGGCAGGCGGTATATGGGTGAAGGGGGTGTTAAAAGTTATGAACAATCACTGTAAATTTGGAATCAGAAAGGCTGCTCGCTGGGCCTGGTTGTTAAATTACAAGCAACGGTCCGACGAAGAGACAGGAGATTAAGTAAGACAAAGGGCCGCTGCTAGAACTAAGAAGTACATCTGATATTTGAACGCAGCAGCGATAAAACTCCTAGTAGACCATGCGACTCAAGATATCACTGGGAGGGTATGAAGAAGAGCAAAGACGATGCACAAGTATGGACTCGACCTATAGTCATTAAAAGTATGCTTGATCGACTGATCTGATGGCTCCCGTGCCTAGCCCTAATCGGATCACCGATTTGGACCACCATGAACATAATGTTTGTTCTCTCCTCAGGTGAAACTAGCAAGGAATAGATAATTCCCAGAGACTTGGTACTTACTTGCATGAAGACCTCGAATCCCACATTGAGATGTACAGATGCCGAGCACTAGCAAGTACATATAGGTTGACCATCAGGTTCCAAGGGATCCAATATGAAAGTTGAGAACTAGGTAGTATAGTTCAATGACCTTGAAATGACTCCTGTCGTGTTGCTCTTGATGCTGTAGGGCATGCAAACTACAGTGGAACCAATACTACATACTAAGACAAGAAATATAAGGAAGCCCCAAAGGGAAAAGGTATTTTGTATTTTGTAAAACCCCGACCACACCCCAGCTGGGAACATGGTATCATAGATGCTAACGAAAAGCGACACGCTTAAGCGTCATCGACGGTGGTGGTGTGGAGACCCTTGGGGTCCTTGACGTTGACGGCCTGGACGTGGGAGTAGAGACGCTCCTTGGCGTTCTCCTCGTCGTTACGCTTGCGGGAGATGCGGACACGGAGACGGAAGGGAACACCCTTGATACCGGCTTCCCAGACCTTCTTGTTCAGCTGGGGGTCGACGCGGACATCCTTGGTGCCCTATTGATGAGTTGAGCAATGTTAGCGAACTGATTCGCCAGTGGGGTCAGGGGAGATATAGAGCATCGCTCAAAAACTTACCATAGCCTGCTCAGCGAAGGCGCGGATCTCCTTGATAGCCTTAGGAGCACGCTTCTTGAAGCTGACGCCGTGGCACTATAATTCCGGAAAAGAAGTTGCAATCAGTCTTCCGCCCGAATGCCATCTGCTAGAGAAAACTCTGCGCGATGAATGTTTCTGGTCTTTCGGCCATAGTGGACTTCATAAAACTAATTCTTCTTTTGTGTTCCGGGTGCGGATATGTGTGGATGCGAGCGAAGACTTTTTCAAGATCTCCTCTCGGCTGTCTCTATCGCGAAGCAGACAAAAGACAAAAGTGCCATGTCCTACCTGCAGATTTCTCCACAGGTCATGGTGAGGATGGTGGTGTGACATAGAAGGGGATTGGTTTCCCATTCTACCCTCCAACGCACACACACACCAACCCACACCACACACATTCTTTTCCGTCACAAATTCCATTTTACAGGAAAAGTTTCTTGTTCTCTGTCCATTATATGCCTCCAGAACTGAATCGTATTCGAATCGTCACAGGTAGACTGGGAAAGGGTTTGTGTTCAACATACTCGCTTGTGCAGGTTGATGGTGTACTCGCGAGACACCACATCGGCGATAGCCGAGCGCTTGTTGCCGGTCTTGACGTTGGACATCTCTGCAGAGAAGGTTAGAGGAGTATATCGAAGTGGTAATTGAGAAGACTGACTGAAGGGGTGGTCGACGGTGGGCGGAAGTGATCGATTGTCAGAAGGAGAATTCGCGGTCGATTTTTGAGTGAAATTCAGTGTGGTCTCGCTTGCCTATGCGGGGTCTGATTGGGTGGAGTGGGGCAATATTATAGCCAATGATATTCTGAGCGTGGATATTGATGCCTCAGGCAATAATTACCTTATTCAACTATCAAAATTCATACTTCTAATTCTGAAATATTCAGGCGTTTTAAACTATAATCTCTAGATAAATTTGATATAGCTTCTAACAAACATCCCCCACATTACTTCTGGCCTGCGCTCACATCGGGATAAAGGTCAAATCGTCGCTGGGTGGAGATAGGAATTGCACTGCGGATGTTCGCAATCGAATCATTATCCAAGTCAGCATAAATGACGGTCTCCTTCTCTTCAGCTTCGGAGAGAATATTCGCGCTGGGGTCAGCGACCAAGCTATGACCATAGGCTTGGTAGGCGGCATCTAGATCACGCGCGGGGCTGCAGAGCGCCACATATGACTGGTTATCAACAGCTCTTGCGCGAGCAAGGAGCGACCAGTGCAAAGGACCGGTGGTGGTGTTGAAGGCCCCCGGGTAGACAAGGAGGAAAGCGCCCTGGCGGGCAGCGATCATCGCTGCCTCTGGGAAACGAATATCGTAGCAGATGGCCAGAGCGACCTTTCCGTACTCGGGGAGATCAATGACTGTCAGCTGGTTGCCAGGCGAAAGCACATCGCTCTCCTTGAACTGAATCTTGCCTGGGATGTCGATGTCGAACAGATGCGTCTTGCGGTGAGTACCGATCAAGGCGCCTGTCGGCGAGAAGACCAACGAGGTATTGTAGTACTTCTTGGTAGATGGCTCCAGCTCGGGAATACTTCCGCCGATAAGGTATGCATTTGCTTCCACGGCGATGGCCGACAGGGCGTGGAAGGAGGGCGATTGTTCAGCCGTGGGAGGAGAGGGAAGGAGGGTCTCGGCGTATTTGGGGAAGAAATTCGTGCCATAGGGCGAGTTGAAGCACTCAGGAAGGACGATCAATCCCGCGCCAGCCTTTGCAGCTTCGAGGACTTTGCTCCGAGCATGAGAGAGATTCACGGTCTTGTCCGCCCCTAGATGGTTCGGTTAGCTGGGAAAGAAATAAGCGAGTCGAGGAATTCAAACCTGAAGCGAGCTGGACAAGAGCCAATTTGAGAGGCTTTTTCAAGAAGGTAGCCATGGTTGGGAATATGAAGAGAAGATGAGGGGGAGAGTGTAATGATACCGGAGCGGTTGCGAATTGCGGGGACGGCCATTTTGCCGATAAGCAGATCCCGACATTACTCGCTCAAATTGTTCATACTGGACGTCTATCTTGACTAAATTCTACTTGATTCTAAGTAATTCCGTCTAGATACGTATTTAATTTTATTCTGGCTTTGAATAGGGGCAATTTCTCCCTGATTGGAGATTAGGAGATGGTGTTATAGCTACATACTCTTAAAAAAGCTTCCACCAAGTGGTATTTGAGGCCTATTTCTATAATCCTAGGTGATAACCATAATATTACTAGTAGTCAGAAAATAACTGCACTTCTATTAGCTATTAAACGAGCAGACTCATAGCTCAAATGTCTCATCATCATGAGCTGTAAGCATACCGAGATACCAAAGCCCAAGCAGAATGGTAGTTCCCATGTAATGGACCATGTGAATTGCCTTCATCGTTCACTCTCTGGATAGTTATGAGCCCTTGTCTGTAAGACCATGTACCTTGTGTGATACTGTTTCATGTGCCAGTTTACCTGGCTCTTTTAGGCTAAGCTGGTCAGCCTTATCGAAGCCAAGCATCCACCAGTGCATCTGCCGTCTCTTGAAATCACCAGCAGGGATATCATAGGGCTTGAGTGTCTTGAAGTTCTCAATAACGGTCGGAAGTTCTCCATTTGCTGCAGCATCCGGAACCTGTTATTCTCATCGCGGGTTCCCATTTCCCACTAGCTCTCACATCTACAGGTGCTCGAGACGGTAATTGTAGGGTCTGCACTGCAGCGACGTAAAATTTTTCCAGGTTGCTTCTTTACCTAAATTCTCTGTGTGTTTTGAGTTACAGTTAGTTCCTGGGCGTAGAGTCACCGGAAACCGTTGCAGCGCCGGGGGCAGCAGTGTCAGTAACGGTCCTTGGGCTGTTATTCCTCCTTGGGCTGGTTTTCCTGCGGAGCGTCTGGCAACCGCGGTGCTGTCTGATTGGGGACAGTTGGCTCAGGACTTTTGGGGAACCTGTAACAAATCGGCCGGCAGTTTCCCTACATCATCTCCCTGTTGTGCTTCTCCGGCCATTGCTGAAGCTTTTCGTCATCGGTGATTGTAGTTGGGTGGTGAAAGGCTCCGACTGGTTCCGGCATTGCTCCCAGCGACAAAGTATAGATATTGCTATACTCAATGTTTAACCTGAGCGACTGCTTCATCAAATATCCGCTGTCCGATGTGCTATATCATGCCATCCTAGGACATTACGGCTCCTCTTTTTACTTATAGATTACTATACCAATATGCCACGTTCATACCCATATAATAATATATTAAACTGTCTGTATATTTAGATCATATCTACGTAATACCCTGGTATTTCGTTAAGAGATACCTGTGCCTCATTTCGTAATGAATTGATGAGATGTGTAAGGTTATGGTAAGGCGTGTTCCTCTAGCCAGTTACTAAGAAAAAATCGCACCATACTACTGTGTATTACCTTTATTGAGGGAATAAATGATGATATACCTATAATTATGTCCGGATATAAAAAGGAGGCTTATATAGTAGTGAGGCCCACAATGATATCGTTCTACCAATAGAAATGCGAACAAATGCGGAGTCCCACTTCTTAATTTCTTCCCATTCGGAGACATCGTACTCGACTGCCCATTAAGTGCTCCTGCATCTCGCTAACTCGATCCGACTCGCAGCCTCGTTTTTGTATGATAAGACGTCATGGAGAACGGAGTCGGGACCCGCCACCCCAAAGCATGCCTAACCTGCGCCAAGGCCAAAGTACGATGTTTCCGGGAAACAGATGGTCCCTGTAAACGGTGAGCATATAGTTGATTTCATACATATAACCTATATTGACTTTGGTTAGTTGTCGTCGCCTGGGGAAAGAATGTGGAGCTCAGCTACCTAAAACCCATCGCCGTGAAAGGAAATCAGCCCCAAGTGGCTCGTAAGTGTTCAACATAAAACCTCCCCAAGAGACCCCTAACGTTCTAGCTAGAGATGTTGCTGCACTCGAGGCTAAATTAGACCGCATGGTCGCCATTCTGGCTGCTTCAGAACAAAATGCCAGAGAACAACTAAGAAGTAGCCCAGCAACGAAATCATTATCTACCTTTGAACATAACACCGCTGTTCCCGATGAAGTCGAAGGCCAGCTGTTGATGGAAGTGTTCTCCAAGAAAATGTTCCCGCACTTTCCATTCCTCATGATCCCCCCGCATACGACCGCAGAGGAACTGCGCCGAGAGAAACCATTCCTCTATCTGAATATTTCAATGATCGCGTGCCAAAACGCTCCACGCCAACGAGAAATTGTGGATGCAGTACAAGAATATGTCGCCGAACACATCGTCATAAAGGGAGAACATAGCCTGGATCTACTCCAGGGCCTTCTCCTCAATGTGGCTTGGTTCGTTTCAGTCAGTCGTTTCCCACGAATTTGTGACCATCCCACCAATGTGCCCAAAACTGAAGAGCCTCATCAAATGTTTCGAAGCACCACCCAGCTCGATACAAATGTGCACTTAATAGTGGCGCAATCCTTCAGCTTGGGCCTGAATCAAGAGATGGCTTACCAGAAAAGCTTGAACTATCCCTTGACTTATTTGAAGGATACTATAAATGAAGACCATCATAGCCCGGTCCGCACACTGGAAGAGAGACGCACCTATCTTGGGTGTTATTATCTAATTACCATGTATGTGTATGACCCCTAGTCTTGCTGGACAGAAGCTAATTTCTTTTCGAAGGCTCTCGACATGTGTGAAAGACATGGGGCCAATTATTCGCTTTACAAGATACACAGACGAATGCTGCAATGTTCTAGACCAAGTCGCTGAATATCCCACAGATGCCTCTATGGTACAGCTAGTCCGAGCGATGAACGTCGCAGATAGGATTCATCACACACTATATTATACCGAGCTCTATTCTTCGTCGGTTTCATCAGCCCCTCCGCCTCTAGGGCTAAGCATACGATGGCTTGAGGCTGAGATTAAGCAACTCAAAGCACACATGCCGAGTGACTCACCACACTCTGGTTAGTCATTCCATCGTCTTTACATATAATAATCTAACAACAATGACAGCCATTCTACAGCTTCATCACAACACACTCGACATACATCTTTATCGAGTTGCCCTCAGCACTGACTTCTCCAAATCCAACTACGGTGATCACCCTCTCATGCAATTGGATCTCCTTTTCCGCTGCCTGGAAGCGACAACCTCCTTTTTCCAAACCATTCTCTCTCTTCCCCCCAACCTGTTCCCTTTCTTCCCTTTCACCATCACGTGTCAATTCGGAAAGGCAATCGTCGTTCTCTCCCAGCTTTCACTTTATGACCATCCCGGATGGGACCGAGCATACGTGGAAAGCATAATAGACTTCGACCAGACCGTCGATAGTATGGCTTCCAAGCTGGAAGTAGAACTTCCGCATTACGAGCAGGCTCTTGCACAAGACCCAAAGTCTACTGAATTGCCGGAGATATTTGGAAGGATAAAAAATCGCGCGCAAATGATTAAAAAGGCGCATCGGCGGAGAAAAGATGCACTCGAACAAAGATCTCTGTCTACCACTGTCGCCCCGTTGGACTACGAGTTCATGATGGATTCGCCCTTCCATCTACTGTTTCCTTTTGGTGAAATTCCACCGATGTATGGGCAATACATGTAGTTGATAGTCGGCTACGTCTAGGACTGCAGCAGACATATCTCTCTCGGACTGCTTGTATATACCGAAGTGTAATAATAATGTATTTCCAATTTCCAACTATTTATAAGATTACTAGAAGTAACCGATAAGTACATAATGTGGAGAGAACGCAGTTCTGGCTCTCGCCAAGAGGGTGGGTCGTGCAGATCGGTGATGCGGCTCAAACTCTTCTTTCCTCGTCGGGTAATGATGCTACGTGCTGCGCAGAGAGCTAGTACGAGCATTTCCGAAAGAGAGACTTGGCCTGAGCGAGTCGTATTTCTAAATATTGATCGAGACTTGAGTCTGTCTCCTCTCCAAAACCCGAGTATAATCCAACTTTCTCAAGGTATAAATACATAATCAAATCAAAATTACAGCACCATAACTCCGACCATAGCAGCCATCACTGCCATGACACCGGCCACGTTGGAGGCGGGGGTAGCAGCAGCATTGAAAGTGGATGAGCTAGTCGCGGCAGCGGAAGTAGAAGTAGCGTTACCAGTACTGGAGGTCGACGAGGTGGAAACCTTCAAAGAAGAAGCGACGGCAGTAAGACCAGAGGGCGCATCCGTGATCATGCTATCAGCAGTTTGAGTGCCGGACGGGGACGAAGAAGAAAGAGAAGACGAGTCCGACGCCTCAGAAGTCTGTGTTGCGGAAGCGAGCACAATATCAGTGGTCGACGAAGCAGTTGACGCCACAGTGCTTGTAGAGGCAGCTTGTTTGCCATTGGGTCCCCAACCCTCCAGGTAGTCGGGAGTAAGCGTTGCGGTTCCGGAGTATTGGGGACATCCCGGTTGAGTGGTTTTTGGTGGTGCGCGGCCGCCACCGCAGTCGAGGAATGAGCAGATCTCGCCGCTGTCTGGGACGTACCAGAGGTAGCTGGCATAGTAGTGGTCGAATATGACTTCCGAGGAGACGCAGCCTTCTAGGTCGGTGCGGGCTGTGGCGAGACTGACAAGGCCTAGGAGGAAAGAAAGAGTGACGGGTTTCATTTTGGATTTTGAATGAGTGACTGGGGTAAATTTAACGAGTGAACAGCTAAGAAGAATAAAATAAAAGGAGAACTGGAAAGTCTGAAGGGAAAGTTATTTGTTGAATAGCCGGGAATTAGCTTAACCCTATTTAGGCGCTACTGGAGTCTCGGCCCTCCAAAATCAGCCTCAGGGTCTACGGGGTTTTATTAGTTGGATTAGTTGGAATTACTGTTTTAAAGTAGAAAAATATCAATTTTCATTTATTTTCACAGAAATACAATGTAGACCCCATTATCTTCACACACACAAAAAAAAAAAAAAAAAAGGAATATTCGACTTGGAGCCCACAGGGCCCAGGGAGATACTCAACCAGGGCATAACTGGACTCAAAAGAAAGGAGACCGATGTAATCGGGAAGCTGGCCCACTGCACGGAGCCGGGCCAACTTTGTCCGATTTCGAGCCCGTGGTGCCCAGGGAGATACTCAACCGGGCCCTGACAGGGTTCAAAAGAAAAAGGGACCGACACCATCTGATTTGAAGCTGGCCCACTGCGTGAAGCCGGGCCAACTTTGACCAGGAGAGTGGGGGTCGATGCGCAAAAAAAAAAAAAAAAAAAAAACAAGACGCCAGAAAGAACCACAAAGGCAGAAAACACATATGCAAACCTTGGCTATGCGCTTGGACATAAACATACACTCCCGAAAGGGAGGACAAAGATGGAGAAGATATGGAGAAGAGATAGAGAGATATCTAGTTCTTGATATCGTTGACCAGCTGGTGGAACTCACGTAGTCTCTCACCCTTCACTCGAACGGCCCAATGTGTGAGAGCCCCAGTCTCGTTGGGCACCAGGAACTGAACACTGTTAGTGGTGAGCTTGTAGTCGAACTCTTTCTTCAGGAGAATGTTCAAGGTGACATTTCCACTCGGTTCGGCACGGGCGACGATCCGCGCACGTCCAGTGACAGGGTGCTTCAAAACGCGGACGGGACCGGTTCCTTTGGCCACCCACTTATCCTCAAGTTTGAAAACCCGGGATTTGTCTTCAAACATAACAGTTTCTTCTTCTTCGCCGCCGTTGCCCTTTGTCAGATCGAAAATTTCACCAGGTTCACCCTCCTCATCTTCAGTGGCAGTGGAGGGAGTGGGCATCACGGGCTGTGCAGAGGAATTGATAGAAGGAGCCAGCGGTGCAGTGGAGACTCGTCCAAACATACTGGCGCCCGCAGAAGGAGGGGGAGGCGACGGCTTCGTCTTTTTTGCGGGAGAATCATTATGGTTGTCACTTTCATCCACAGAGGCCTTGCGTTTCGGTGAGGGCGGCTTGGGTGCACCGAAAATGTTCTGGGAGGACTTCGGCTTCTTTGCCGGGGAATCATCGTCGTCGTCACTTTCATCTGCGGAGGTCTTGCGTTTCGGCGAGGTCGGCTGGAGGCCGCCGAAAATGTTCTGCGAGGCTGGGACCGGCTTACTGGACGATCCGAAAACCGAGGAACTGACAGAGCTAGGAGCGCCTGCACCGAAGAAAGAAGGCGGGGCTCCAGGCTTGCCACCAAAGAGCGCGGCATCCGCAGGCGAACGCGTGGCTGTTCCGACGAAAGTCGAGAATTCAGACGACTGAGGAGATGATGACTTAGGGAACCCGGGTTGGAAACTTGAGGAAGACAAAGAGGAAGTGCCGTTCGCTTTAGTAGATGTGGTGGAGGGAGAAGTAAAAGGAGGGAACATGTTAGGGGTAGGAGTGGCAGGGGTGGCAGATGTTGCAGGCTCCTCAACGTTCTGTGGAGCAGTGTCATCAACGAACTTGAAACCCTCGCCGGGAACAAAAACGGCACGCTTTTTAGCTGCAGCTTCGATTTCAGCGCGCTTAGCGCGTTGGCGTTCCTCATCTTTGCGCTCCCACTCCGCCTCATCCTCCTCATCAGAGTCAAACTCTTCAGCCTTTCTCTTGGCCTTTGCATCAGCTATGGCGCTGTCCGACTTTGACTTGAACTGGGCCGCAAAATCGACGCCAGTAGCCGAACCAAAGTTGGGGATTTTGAAAGCAGGGGCGGCGGTTGAAGTAGCTACATCACCAAGCTTGGGATATTGGAAAGCAGGGGCGGCGGCTGAAGTAGCGGCATTACCAAACTTGGGCATTTGGAAAGCAGGGGCGGCGGCTGGAGTAGCGGCATCGCCAGACTTAGCAACTCCAGCAGCCGAGGTGGTGGTTGAAGTTGCCGCACCACCGAACTTAGGAGCTTCAACGGCAGGGGGAGCTACAGGAGTAGCAGCAGGGCTGGCAGTGGGAGGAGAAGGCTCAGCCCTGGCGACAGGCGCAGGAGGAACAGGAGCCGCGGCCGGAGACGAAGGACCAGCACTCGAGGCGGAAGAAGTGCCAGCAGAAGTAGTTGCCGGAGCAGGATCCGGAGCAGAGAAGGATTGAGCAAACTTGGAGGAAGTAGTAGATCCACCAAAAGGCTTGGTAGAAAGCGCTGGGCGTCTATCATCAAGAGCAGGAGGTACGAAGGTCGGAGGGGTCGGGATCCGGGGAGGCGCGTTGCCATCTGCCGCTTCCTCAGCGGCATCACGTTCGTTGATGGCAGCGCGTTTGGCCTCTTCTTCCGGGTTAATCGACCCAACGGGGACACCAAGCTCACGGCGAAGCTCGGCGTAAAGAATAAGGACTTCGTCAATATCATCTGTCATGGGGTCGCATTTAGCGATCTCACGCTTGAACGACTCAGTCAAGACGCCAATCCTCATGAGCAAATGGGCTCGGCCTCGAAGCTCATCCCGGTTTTTCTCAGGGAAAAGACGTTTGAGCGGCATTTCGTCAAAGTCTTCGGTTGATACAGGATAGTCAATTGACACAGGACGATCAGGTCGAGGGAAAAGACTGTCAGGATTTGAAGCAGTAAAAGTGTTGGAGACAGTAGAGGTTGAGGAGGAAGAGGGGAGAGAGGAGGACGAGGGGAGAGAAGAGGACGAGGGGACAGGTAAACAAGACGAGATTTTATGGTCGCGTGGAGACTGCGCGAACGACACATGAGGTGTCGCAGGTTTCGTCGCACCTTCCGTTGGAGGTTCACTCGACACCTTAGGCGCAGCGGTGAATGGGCTAGTCAATGAGCCATTTAAACCTGCAATGTTATTGTCTTTATTGTTGTCAACTGCTGTACTTGCACCCAAGAGAGAAGTGCTCGGTGGCTGGGGCGTTGCAGCCTGCTCTGTCGGCTTCGGCGCGAATGGGTTACTGAATGCGTTTTGCCCTGACAGGTTCGCGAATGGATTGGTAGGTGTCGGCTGGGTTGCCTTTTCTTCTCCAAGCTTCGACGGCGCAGGGGACGCCCCGAACATTGAGCCGAACGGCGAGACTTTCGCAGGTAAAGGGGTCTGCTTTTCGCTTGTCACCTTCGGTGCAAAAACACTACTCGCCGGTGATAGTTCCTTCTCAGCCACAGGTGTTCCAAACATGGGCTTGAACGGCTTGTCCTCGGATGGCTTTGCAGGCGTACTCTCGGCAACTGGCTTTGGCGAGAACATATTGCCAAATGCCGGTGAAGCAGTCTGTTCTTTTGCGGCCTCCGAAACTTTTGACACCGCAGGTGTACCAAACATGGACTTGAACGGCTGGTCCGGTGCAGGCGTTGCAGCCGCGTTCTCGGCGGCCGGCTTCGGCGAGAACATATTACCAAATGCTGGCGTAGCCGTCTGCTCTTTTCCAGCCTCCAAAACTTTTGATGCTGCAGGTGTACCAAACAGGGACTTGAACGGTTGTGCTTCGGCAGCCTTTACAGAACTTTCGGTCCCAGTAACCTTTGGCGAGGACAAAGCGCCAAATGAACTCGGCGCTGACAGGTTTGCAAATGGATTACTCGCCTTTGGTTCTTCTGTCGCTGGTTTGGGCGCAAATATATTGCTAGCAGGCCCCGAGGGCTGAGAACTGGAGGTCGACCCGAAAAGAGCACCAAAAGGCTTCGCAGCCTCTGCGGGCTTCGCAGGGGTCTGCTCCGCTGCCGTTGTCTTTGGGGCAAACAGGTTGGTGCTGCTGGTTGGAGCCTGCCCTGACAAGTTCGCAAATGGATTGCTGGCTGTTGGCTTCTCTCCATCCACAGGCTTCGAGGCGGCGGGGGTTGATCCGAAAAGTGGCTTGAAGGGCTGGGTCTCGGCTGGTTTGTCGGCTGGTTTCTCAGTTGTAATTGCCTTTGGTGCAAATGGATTGCTGGACGCATTATCTCCTGAAAGGTTCGAGAATGGATTACCAAGTGCCGACGGACCTGCGGGTGGCTTGGATGAAAACATGGAACCTCCCTTAGGCTTAGTATCGGGTGAAGTTTGCATGCTGTCATCGGCAGGCGAAGTCGTATGTGCTGCAGACTGCCCAAAGAGGACGGGCTTTGCTGGAGTGTTTGTGTTCTGTTGTGCTCCGAATCCACCGAAGGACGGAGTGGACTGATTTCCGGCATTGAATCCCCCAAAGCTGAAACCATTGGTACTTGACTGGGTATTCCCGCCAAATGATGTGTTTACAGCAAAAGGATTGCTCGACGGTGCAGATCCAAATGAGGTAGGTCCCGCGCCGAAGCTGAAGGACGCCTGACCACCTGCCTGGCCGTTAGTGCCCGACGAGAATATTCCACCCTGACTGGGCCCCGAGCTTGCCCCGGGGAAGCTCTGGCTCTGAGTCTGGCCAAATGTGAACCCAGTCGACTGGGTAGGTGCTGGTGCCGCGGCAGGGGCCGCGGATGCGAAAGGGTTAAATGAAGCCGCATCAGGTGCGCCTCCGCCGGTTGTGGGAGTTGGAGCCCGGCGTTTGCGGACATCCTTGATCCTAAAGGTTTCAAAGAGATCTTCGGTCAGTTTGTGGTCATCCACCGGTATTTCATTTGTCACTTACTTTCTGCTGGCTAACTGGGCTGCTGTCGCCCGGTGGGGTTTATCATCCGGAGTGCTAGCCATACCGAAAGCGCCCTCGTCTTCTTTGGACCCTTGAGGGCCTTGAGCTCCACGTTTCAACATATTGCGCGTATGAAAACCACCGTTGGTTGTATGATTAGCAAGCTCGAATTTCGCGAGCTGCCTCCTATCCTTCGGAATCTATGTGACCCGGTTTAAAGCGCTAAATCAAACACGATGCAATACTGGACCTCGGTGTGATGCCGTGATGATTTTCCTCACTTACGGCAATCGAAGCAGTGAGCTTTCTGTACGGCGAGGCTCTTTCTGACTCCGCACCGACTCGAAAAAGCAACGGGTTTGATGGTGATTACCCTCCACTTAAAGATTGTTTATCGTGGAGAGAGAAAAACCCAATTTGTCTCTAACGTCTTTGATGTGGTTGTCCGTGGTATTCGCGGTTCCGTGACACGTTCGCGATCCGTCGCGCAGGAAGTTGTCAGCACAACGAAGGAGCTTTCGAGCTAAGGGAAGTGAGATCGAAGACAGACCGAGGACGTATTACTGTCCCTGATGATATTTGTCTTCGAGTTTCGATATATCCCACGACGCAATGAAGGGAGGCACGACTATTATTTTTTTTTTTGCAGGAAGCATCCAAGGCGGAAAAGCCCCAGTCACGTGAAGTGTCTTGGCAGCCAATGGTCTATGCTCGGGGACTTTTACAAGCTATTGTTTTACCTGCATTGGGCAAAGGGGGATGTGATATGTTTGTATGATTGTCACCATTTTTTTGGGGTGAAATTTACTTGCCTTCAAACGAATGAAGCAAAAGAGTAAGGGGAACGTTTCTGTCCTCAAATAAAAGCCCCGCTCACTTCATGATGTTGCCAACGTTGAGAAGCGGAAGAAAGATCCGCTTCAACAACACCACAAAGTACACTGGAGCCCGAAAAGAACATGTGGGATACTGTTGTGTGAAGCAGAGTCTGGATCTATACGCATAACAGCCTAAGCAGTAGGTTTAAGTGCCTACTGAAGTTCCGAACCGCCGAGCTTGTCCTTTAAAGGGTAAATATATAAAGCGATAAGCGACATACAGTAAGGTTTAGTATTTACCCACCCGCAATTTCGACCCATCACTTTCAAATATATATATCTTACTTATATATATACTACACCACCATACATTGCTCAATTTATTCAATAAAAGATAGGTTTGAACCCTATACCAATCTCGGTTAAAAATTAAAAATTAATATTTTGTACAATAACCCCTAGCACTCTGTACGGCCTTGCATCTCCGTCCTATGCTTAAAATCAATGCATCTATCTTTGCCTACGGAATTGCATCCCAAGCAATCTTTATACATCGTTTAAACACCTGCCAATCCTCCCCCGATCTTCCTATATATATAAGCTCAGGGAATAACCAAAAAAGCTTTTATCTTTAGCCACCGCCAAACAGGTTTAATAGGGTTTAAATCTAGTGAGTGCGGCGGCTAGTCTTCTATATATATACTGTGAGTTTCAAACCACTCTTGTGTGAGCTTCGCTATATAGATTCGAGTATTATCTTGCTAAAAGATAGAGCTAGGTTGATAGAAAGGAATAAGACCTTTTTCGAGTGTCGAAATATAGGAAATTGTAGTATATCCTCTCTTCTTCGATATCGGATTAATTTCAACCTCTCGTTCTATAATAATCAATTCTGACCGACTACCTAACTAGATTGCACCCTAAACCATTTATGAAATATCTTTAACATATGCTTTAGTATTTATAAGCTCTTTTCGGTAGGCCTCCGATCGAAAACGCCAACACCATATTGCGTACTAACTAACTAGTCACAGTTAGGTTAGATAGGTTCAGGGTAGACTTGCCTTAATACTCCTCGAATAGTCTAATGTCAATGATCGGATCGTAATTGAGCTATTGCTATATAGGGCCTTACTATAGCCTAAGTCCTTTTAAGCGATTAAGGAACTAATACTAAACAGTCCTTAATCTAAATATTATATTTTTCCTACTCTTATAGCTTAGCTAATAAGATTATTATTTATCTCTTTAATATTTTAATTTAGTTATCTCGCTTATTATTAAAGTCAGGGTTATCGTTCTTAACTATTAGTTTCTTTCTAATACTAATATAAAATATATTAATAGTAACTCGAAACTTAATTCGAGATAATCTTTAATATATTATATATTAGCTAATTAGTTATAGTTATAGTTAGATTAGGTAGGTTTAGGGTATACTTATCTTAATACCCCTTGAATAGTCTAATATTAATAATCGGTTTATGACTAAGTTATTACTATATAGGGCAACTTAGAAGAGGAATTGAGACAAAGTGTGTGGAAAAATGTAAAATTGTAATTGTAATTGGATGATACCTTAGGCGCTATCGTCTTTTGGATCAAATTGAATCCGCACGGAACGGACAAAGATATCATTCTGAGAGTATTCCTCTGTGGCTTGTACTGGAAGCACGAATGAAGGAACTATCAAAGAAAACCGGCAACATGCCTCTGTGACTTGATGTCGGAACTTTGATATACCGTATCAGCGTGTTTCTAGTAGGACCAATCATATCGAAATTTGACGAGATTTATTGATGGTGTTTCTATGACTACTACTTGTGCGCTCTATATGGATACGCCAAGACTGATTAGGGCCCTCCCTGGCTTATATACCTCAGGAAGCAGATGTGGATAGCGGCAGTGCTGGTTCATCGGGAATAGCGGTAATTTTGACTCTCCGCACCTTGACACTTAACCTTGCAAGAAGCTCAGCTGCTGATCCATCACGCTTCGTACGATCTCATCCCAAGATCGCCATTGGATTCCAAGTTCAACTTCTGCCTTGGTTGTGTCGGTGAGCATGGAAGGCATTCCTTCAACCTCCTCTGTGATCTTCGCGCCAACATTGGGATAGGCCTTGAGTGCAATACGAGCCACGTTTTTCCAGGTGGTTTGTGGCGCGGAAAGCAGATACTTTGAGCCATCCTTGATTTTCGGGTCCAACGCCTTGATGTGAGCTTCAGCAACATCTTGGATGTGCACTCCTCTGATGCCGCCAAGTGGAACACCTCCCATCACACTACCCCAGAGAATACCATTGGATCCTGTTTCAACTTCCTGGGCGGAGTTTTGCACGAGATTGGTACCAAAAACAAAAGCTGGATGGATGGTAACCAACGAGTAGTGTGGCTTTTCGCTCTCCCGGAACTCCCAGGTGGCATTGTTTGCAAGCAATTTGGATGCCCGGTACAGAGTCATCGGTGTTGCATCAGGATTGCTAGAATCCACAAAATTGGCCTTTGGGTCCACATTGAGATTCCAATCATTATCCTCTAAGTGTGACGTCAGCATATTAAATATTTTGACGTATTAAGCATTCAAGTTACCTTTAATGACACCACCTTCGGGTACTCCGGTAATAGGAATCAAGGAAGCGATGGACGAAGTGATCACAACCTTCTTAATGCTTGGCACTTTAGCTGCCTCCTTGAGCAAGGCCAAGGTTCCCTTCACTGCAGGAGTGAATATGGCATCCTGGTCCGTGCCACGAGCAAGAGGTGATGCTAGATGCAGGACATAGTCCACTCCATCAAGCTTGCCTCTAAAGGAAGCTTCATCGGTTAGGTCTGGGATGGTGACGAATTCCAGCTGGTCGCGATAGCCTGCCAGTACATCTTCGAGCTTCTCTGATCTCTTGCGGACGCCAATTCGAAGACGATATCCCGCCTTTAGGGCTTCAAGGGCAGTGGCGCTGCCAATGAAACCGGTAGCACCGGTGATGAAGACAAGGGAGGCAGGCATAGTGGGTATGGTATGATGACGATGATTTTATAAAGATTGATTCAAGGAAACAGGAGGACAGTCGGTTTGTATATATTTTGCGATCTGGATTAATTATTAATCGTCATTCTCCTTCATTCTAAGGGTAGGACAGCGGTTCGCGCAGAATATTCATTATCACCTGATCGGTGATAATCTGCCGAACCTAAGCCAGCTTTCGGCTGGAACTGAGGCTGTTTTCACTAGTCTCCACCTAAGATGGGGGGGAGCAAATGGAATGTTTAATAACCACGAGGCTAATGAGTGATCATGCCGAGCCAAGAGGGCACCCAGCCCAGCGGGACCCAAAAAAAGTTCAACGGGACCTAAACATTTCTGACTAATTTTGGCCAAGCGGGAGTTGTTACGGTCACTATGCTACAACTTGTGGGTAATCGGTTCGGGGTCCCGTTGAGCTAGGGATTAACTGTGAAGGGAGGACATTTCGCCTTTGCCGTCTGTAATTTTATAACAGGTGCTTGGGTGTCCGTTGGAGTCGAATGTTCATGACACGAAGAAATATAACGCATGATGAATAAACATACGCCGAGGGACATACGCCGAGGGACATTGGCGATCTTCTGCCGAGTGGAACTCGGAATCTGGTCTGATCAGTCATCAAAGCCTGAGGGGCCTCGGCGAATACAGATAAAGCATTACAAATACTTTAAAAAATGAACAGGTGATCACCCATCCATTTTTGACAAAAATAGAGAAATAATTCCTAGCAAATATAATCATCATTCACACTCTCCATCTCTCTTGTTCGCTTAAGGGTGCGAGATCATAATCACTAATGTCTATGAAACGCTCAGAATGCGAGGGAAAAGCTCCTGATTAAATTCACAAATAACGATCTTTGCACTATTCAGGACCCGGCCTAAGTAAAAATGACCCAATGCCTGCTTTGAAGAATTATTCAAGGTCCGTCTTGGTCAGGCTAAAAAGTATCCATCAGACATGTTGATTATTGTCAAAAGTAACAAGAACAATTGAAGACGCTGATAGGCTGAAGATGACTCCTTTGACAACTTCGTTCACCCCAACTCCTTCTGGCTGTCCAGATTTTAGTTCAAAGCTCTGACTAGCCTAGGTTCCGTCTAGTCAATTGCCTGACTCTAAAGCATATATATTTGTCTAAGTGATGATTCAAATTGAATAGCAGATAATGTAGTTTGTTATTGAATTCTGTACACTTTCCTCTTGCAAATCTACTAAGATTTGGTTTTTGGGACACAAGCATTCTTCTTCTCTTAGCTTTGTGATGCGGTGGCTGAAATTGAACCCACAAACTCGACAATATCATTGAGAATCCTTTGGGGATGAGTGATGATGAAGACTGAAAACGGCATTCATTAGTTATTTTTCATCGATGAAAGAGGGTGTGGGGAGGAGGAGGCTTTCATACTATGACTTGCGTTCTCGTACAAGTTTATTTTTGCTCTGGGGATCATCTGTTTGATGCGATCTACGCTCGTTTCCGCGGGGGTCCCAGCATCCGAGTCACCGTGTAAAAGTAAAACAGGGACGTCAGATTCTTGCCCCAGTGCTGCTAATTTTTCACTGAAGTCGTAGTGAGTGAAGATTTGCACAGCGCGCTCAACCGCAATAGCTTCCGCGGCCTCAGCCATCCGCTCAAACCGCTCAAGCGTCTTGGCAGGGACTTCGTTATTACCAATACCCAATGGCCCTTTGAATGAGTCGGCAAAGAAGCTAACACGATCCTGACGGATTGCACCTATGACCTGGTTCCACATTGCCAAAGGTGTTGCTTGAGGGAACTCGGGCGTAGCGACAGGATATGGAAGAGATGTATTTGTGAATACAAATCCCTATTGATTTAAATAGCCGTCAGAATCAATTAAATTTTCTCTCCAAGGGGCGGGAAAATCAACAAGGAGGAGTAACGACCATGTGCAGCACGTACTTGGCAATGTTGACGGACATAATCACTTGACGTGTATGCCAAAAGCGATTCCCCACCAGCCATGCTGGCTGCAACGAAAATGAACTTTCCAACTTTGATTTTTTCGAGAAGATCGACAACATCCCTTCCGAACACTTCGTAACTGATCTCAGTTCGGTCTGGTTGCAGACCATTCCAGTCGCTCCGCCCGAAGCCCCGTCGATCTGGAGCGATACAGCGCAATCGGTAGGTCTCAGTGAGTTGTACCATCAAAGGCTGCCACATTTCTGAGGACAGTGGCCATTGATGCAAGAAAACTATCGCTGGTGGTTGCTTATCGCCATGTTGGCTGTCTGGATTATACGGTGCAGTGACTGAAGACGGAATATAGTCCCGAAAGAAAAGCTCTGCGCCGTCGAAAGAACTCTGGAAACGGGGCATCTTTCTTGGTCTTCTCGAAGTTTGGTCGGGTCGAGATAACTTTCGATATGGTGAGACAAATTACTCGAGGATATATATACTCTGTTACGGGTCAACTCAGATGACCCTAGCGATATCTGCCGACAATGGACCTGTAATATGTAAGCATGTAGCACGTCACCGTTAGCTTATTGATTACTTATTTGGATATTTAGCTAACTATATTTCGCCACTCTGAGGTGGCCCATTTTTTAAGGTTGCGTAGCTCCACAAGAGGGGCCAGGGAGTCTTTGCCTCAAAAGGAAGTCCTCAAAGGTTATTTTTGATCAAAGTGAGTGAATAGTACAATTCTACAGTCTGCTCAAAAACAGAAAGAGCAAGAAAAAAGAACAAAAAAATAGGAAGCCGAGCCCATAGTTCTCTATCTATATCAAATAGCTGTTTTGTGACTAGATGACTGGGACAGCCATTTGTGTGTCATGATTGCCACAGGTTCTTTACCTTTGTGTTACAATAGTGAGTTCGATGATCCGGGGATTCGGCTGCCCCATCATCGAGGATTAGTGATCATTATACTTTTGGGGACCTCGGGATGTCAGCGGGATTACTGAGCAAGCGAGGCAATTTTTCTCCTTTAACTTTGTGGCATCATAGTGGGCCCGTTGATTCGGGGCTTCAGATACCCTCACTGATAATTAGTAAGTATAATGTTCTGTGGGAATTTCTAACTCTTGAGGTCAGGCTCTACCGGAAGACGGCACTCGCGAGTGGATCATCCAAAGATGAGAAGTGAGAAAGTTTCAGATCAAAGCATAAACGGCTACAACGGCTCTATATTTGTTACTTTCTTATTGCCCAGAGGATGGCACAAAGGTGTTACTGCACGGCTATTTTCTGAAGCAGGCACTCTAGTAATCAAGAATGAAACACCTAGATATGACACTGTATTCACTTTCGTGAAGTGTTTTTTTTGGTGTTCCTGATATTGTTTTAGCTAACCAATTGACTTATTCTCGGTATGTTAATACAGTCTATTCTGGTTGCCATCAAGCAACGTACTTTTGATCTTGGTTATTACTTCATTAGTATTGATGCGTTGGGAATTCCAAAAATGATGTCCACGCAGAACATATTAGTGCATTATAAAGAAACCTATCGGGCTCAGCAGATGAATAGATTAACAAGATCTCAACATGATTGCTTGAGCATGAATAGTAACCAGTAATTTGAGTCAAAGGAGGAACTCAACAAGCATTGAGACATATATTTATGACGGAATCAATCATGATAGTAACCCCCCAAAATATCATCACTAAGCTGGACGTCCAAGTTTTGCGGATAAGATACAGGAAGGTGTTCTCTGATCAGCCACGATCTATGGAGTAAACAGAGGCACAATATCCGACTTATTTCTTCACGAGACTTGCAGCCCCCCATAGCGAACCCACGTGTCCATTCGGGTACAATTCCAACATGCAAGAATATAACTCATCAGCGCTTGACGTTTGCTGATTAAGCCGCTCCAAATTTTCAAAATACGCCTTGGTCTAGTGAACAGCATTTGGACTGAAGTCTTTGCTTGGGTCACTATGGCTACTAACTATAATCTTTGGATGAAGAGCCGCAATCTTGTCGAGCGCTGCGATCTATTAAACCGATATCGATGGCGAATTCCGACGCTTGAAAAGTATCGCGGAGGTTAGGCTAAGCGACAATATCGTGGCCTTTCTAAACGATGCGCATTCCTCAATGGAGTCAAAGGGCGCTTCAAATCCCCGAGGCCCCTGCAAGAGGTCTCTCATTCATACGCGGCCATGGGAGATTGCCTCGAGCTTCTTCGTCATCTGTAAGAACTGGTGCTGCCAAAGACGATCGCCACCAAAACAAGCGTACCCCTGTCTCTTGGGCTGCAGAATATGGTGCCTTAGATTGCGTGAAGATTCTTTTGGAACACGGAGCGAAACTCAACTCCACGGATGATATGTATTCCACCCCATTGTCGTGTTTAATTCATGCGGGCCCACATACGGATCAAGCAAAAGCTACTGAAGTCTACCTGAGGAAGAACGGCGCCGTTGGATCTTGAGGTATATTGGAATGTCCTGATGGACTTTGTATGTAGATTCAGCGGCCGTGATATATTATGAGACTATTCTTACTCCATGCCAATAAACACGATGGATTGTGATTACATGAGTTGGTTTTCCTGTAATTCTCAATGTTCATTTTGAAGCCAGGACTCGAGGAACTGCAATTTCTTTTTGATTCTCTTAGGGAACGTTAAGGGGAGTCAAATATCCGTTTCGATCCTTTTCCATCCTTTTCCAAATTTGAGGGCATCAGCGCCGGTGTCTAGCTGGGTAGATATTTCTACTTGGTCTTAGGCTGAGATAGCGTAGCAGAACTAACAAGATGCCTCATTTCACAAACAAAACTGCGCAAACTCTGATCCAAACCAGGCGGAGATCTTTTGGCCACGTCAGATAGCTCGTCAAAGATGGATTAAGCTCATCGTTTACGTTAAGCGTTCCACGAAGTTGCCAGGTAATGTCCTAGTTCGTGTATAACAATACATTACTCTTCAGACCGTTGCTTCTTGACAAACTCCTCGATAGTCTTCTCAAAGGGCTCGGGATCCCTTCCGAGGATTTCTCCCAAAGTTGTGGTCACGCCAGCTGCCTCTCCAGCACGAATGGCTTCCCAAGCAGTGTCCAACGTGTTTATTTGCTCAGCACCGAAGTACGCCTTGACCTGTGGCAGACTTTTGTACTCCTCGAGGCTGACTTCTTGGATGTTGATGTCCTTGCCTGTTGCTCGTGAGAGAACCTCGACGGTCTCGCCCCATGTCCAGGACTTTGGGCCAGACAAGGTAACAATATTGTTGGTGTATTTAAATGCCGATGGAGATTTCGCATATGAAGCGATCAGGCGTGCAGACGCTTCTCCCAGTTCAGCTTGCCTGGCCCAGCTAACACCAAACCCATTTCCTTCTTGCGGAATTTTGATCGTGGACGGTGGGCTCTTGAAGTCGAGAAACCCAGCATAAACTGGAAATGACTCGCTGTAAAGTCCTTCGCGAATACTCGTCCATGAGAGTCCTGAGTTGGTACGAGCAAGTTCTTTCAGGTGCGCTTCACTGTCGAGATGCGCTGCCATGACCTCTGCCTTCGCAGATTCTGCATTGATCGATGCGAAAGCCAGAGAAGAATAGAAGATATGCTTGACTCCAGCTTTTTGTGCCGCATCGAGCGCTTTCATTTGAACTTTAGTCCTGTATAGGTGGACGGAGCTGGGGAAGGATATCAAGAAGAGGACATCGACCCCGGTAAAGACAGCTTCAAGCTCTTCAACGCTGGATTCATAAGAAGCCTGGCGAACAGTGACCCCGTTTTCGACATATTCCTTGGGCACTTTCTCGGGATATCGATTGATGAGCGTGATTTGATTGTTGGGAACTTGAGATAGAAGATTGGTATATGTGCTGGTACCAAGCGCCCCAGAAGCGGGGAAGATTCCGACGCGCATCATACTCGAAACGCAGATGTGAGCTTGATCGGTGTTGGTGTTGGTGTTGCTTGGCTTTTATCGACTTATGATGATCCCGTTGAGCTCATCTGACTAATCCATCTGCCATATATGATCTGACGTTTCGTGGCGAAACCACCACTATATTTGGTTGATAAATCGATGATCAGTAATCACAACAGATAGGCCGAGAAACTAGCGTCGATCTGATTTATTCCTGGTTCCTTACTACTCTGCCAGCTTGTTACTAGACCGGCACGCAGGATGGTTTTGATCACTCATCAAAAGAACCACATTTATAAGCGATTCTAAGGAGCCATCGAGAATTATTACGAGGCTGGTGGGGACCGCGGGGCTGTTTCCCAAGTTTGCTCTCTGATACTAGCCGTGCACAAACCTACTAGACACACACCACCGCCACTCTCATGGAGAAAAGGTCTGGGTAAGGTTTATAGATTTCTCATCAATTAGATAGGGTAACTCCGCTCTAAAGGTTGGAACGCTTTTTTTTAGTGTGGGATTTGTAATTGAGGCGGGAATTTTACCAGAATTACCCTGTAAGGCACGAATATTTTCAACGATGAGGCCTTACCTGATTATGAATGCGAGCGGATATCGGCTTCGGCCTGAGATTCTGTTGAGTGATGATGTGATCTATGACGTATTTTGGGACGAATTGTGAGGTTCGGCCGTTGGGTTTTGAGGGATTAGTATGAGGTGGGAGAGAGAAAGTGGACGAGGGAAAATTATATATAAGAGTTCAATTCCAAGCTCTTCAATCTCACATACAGTTTCTCATCCTTCAATTTCCCAGCTAAACACAACAGCAAAAATGGCCTTCACCGAGATTGTCGTCCCAACATTGAAGACAGATCCCGCAACGGAAGCAACATTCACCACCGAGATCGCACCCTATCTCATCAAAATCCTTGATACACATGCCACTCCTCCCAAGTTCAAATACTTCGGGAAGATTCTCCTCGAGAATGGCAATGATGTGTCGGGGGACTTTAGACTTTGTGTTGGGCTTGGTTCGTCATTTCCTCTCCCTTCTCCCTCTCTTTCCCTTTCCTCTTTCCCTTTCTCTTGCTGTCATCACCTCCGTCCCCGCCCTACTGTCACCCCTTTCCCTTCTCTCAGCGCTCGCGCAAATTCGAACACAGTCTGATGTTGATTCTTCGACAGAGTGGGAAGACGCCTCACATTTCAACACCTTCGTCGCATCTGAAAATTTCCAGACCTTTAAATCCATCGTGAAGCCTCACTCTGTTGCACTGCCAGTCCCACAGCTATATAATACGGATTTGGGGCCGAGTGAGGTGTTTGGGAGTGCGTTGACGGAGCTGTGGCAGGTGAAGATTGGGGAGGGGGATGGGAAAGTAGTGGAGGCGAGGGAGGCGTGGGAGAAATTTGTTAGTGCGGTTGCAGAGGCGGGTGGTGTGAATGGGAATGGGAATAGTATTCAAGGGACGAGTCTCAATCTAGAGGAGAAGAGGTGGGTTGGTGTGGTGGGGTGGGAGAGTAGTGAGGTGAGCTTGAAATATCTTTTGATTTTGTTGGTGGGTTGAGAACAGTTGGCTGACTTTGAGATTTTAGATCAGAGAGAAAGTACTTGGAAGCGCAGCTGTGAAGGAAGCGAGGAAGAGCCTTGATGTATTGGTGTGGAATACGTTCGTTACTGCATTTGCGAAGCAAGTGTAGACAGCTAGAGAAGAAATACGGAATGCACGCTTAGAAATTCAAACACATTACTCAATAAGCATATCCACACCAGCAAATCTAATCAAGCATTGAAGCAAACGTGCATGACACGGTCTACCACATCCCCTTGAAAGCTTTCGTATGATAGTATGTCAACTTGACAATCTAAAAGAAGAGGAAAGAAAACGAAATGACAGTAAAATTATATTAAGCTGTAGTGCAATAATCAAGACGTCAGAGTGTAGACCATACAGTAATATGATCCAATCTCACAAAGACTTGCGGATCAGGATATAGTTCTCCGCATCTTTTCAGCGTAGTTTATGAGACCCTTTTTCCATACTATATATAGATCTGTCCTAATTATTATTAATAGAAACAGTCGGGTCCGCAGTCCCTACAGTATTTCCGGAAATCGGTGTCACCCCCCGCACTCTTTCATTGTTCCCCAGACCCTAAATGCGAAGATACGCTAGACCTTATTTAGCAAGAAATCAAAATAGCAATTCTCCGGTATTTTACAAATACAATAAGTTACAGAGTTAGGTTACATACCATATGTTTATGTGTGTATGGCAGATACGAGAATTTCTGGAACCTTCCGAAACAATGCAAACAATTCAAGCAACTCTGGCAACGCTGGATCTTGCGGACATGACAAACTTGTCATCTTCCCCGTCCACATAGCGTGTCCAAGGAGCAATCCTAGCGCTTAGCCGCAATTTTTTAGAAGCTTAAAAACCCTACAATCTGACTGCTCGGACCGATCTACCAAATTCGGACTGACAGAAAGGTCTTGGCAGTGTGTTCACGGAAAAGAAAAGCATTTATCGAGGAAATATTGGATTTATATGGGGACCTGATGCGCAGTGACACAGGCAATTGTCTTCCATTCGAGCCCCCGGAATTCTAGAGCTAATATTCTAGTTAGCTGGTCGAAGTTGAGCCTCAAAAAGCATGAGACTAATAGCTAGGGCCTCGGCAGCAATCAGACATCCCGTGATCGCAAATCCATCGGAGGTCTTGTCTAAAATCGTCGCCCACAGAATTCCGATTACCCCAGCGCCCACAACACAAGTTACAGCAAGGACTGTGATCCTTTTGATAACCCAACTCTCAAGCCAAAGAAGGCCAAAGCTATGCTCCTCGGAGAGCTCTTGCATGAGGGTTTCCACCCATATGCTTTGATCCTTGCTCTTTTCCGGAGGATTTATAACGATGAAGCAGAGATGCGCTTGGCCGGCATATGTTGCGAGTAGCTTTGACAGAGGTATGCAATCTTCAGTGATAGCTGGTTGGTCGGAATCCGAGTTTATAAATTCATACTAGTAAGTGTTAGGCATTGGCTTTATGAATGTTAGACAGGATTTCTTATTTCACCTTGACGGGCTTCACACCTGACAGGCCCTTCAGAGAATATCGGCGCAACCCTTGACAACGCCTTTGTTTGTATGTGTGAAGGATGTCAGATAAGAGAGTGTAGTCGCTCATTCTCTTGGTGATTTGGACCTTGTACACTGAAAATGCTCCGGTCTTAGCTTTGTAGCACAGTCCAAGCTCGAATCCTTTGTTGTATTGACCGATTGCGCTTTCGAGAGCTCGAGCAACCGAAGTTGAACCAGAAAGATTAGCATAGTGAAGAACACCCCGAGACAAGCTATCTTCCTTTGTGGGGTCTGCGTTTGCATTAAGTAATGTCGTAACCACGTCAATTTGACCAGACTCAGCTGCTAGATGTAAAGGCACTCTTAGATCTGATTTCGACGCATAATTCACGTTGGCTCCTGCTGAGATCAGAAACTTCACCATGTTCTGATTTCCTGTAGCTGCAGCGAAATCCAGCGCATGTTGTTTCAGATATATTCGGTCATCTGCTGAATCCAGGTGTTGGAGTGCGGTTTCAACATTTCCTCCATAGCCAAGGAGCAACTCCAGAAGATCGCCATTCCGGGATCTGGAAGCCAAGGAAACAGCACAAGAGCCACCCGCCGTCACGTTGATATCCACACCTTCATCTAGGAGCCACTCGACAAACCCCAAGTGTCCACACTTAGTAGCCTCCATTAAAGGCGTTGATGCATTGTTATTTTTTGCTTCTCTGTTTGCTCCTCTCTCCTGTAGTATTTTGCCGGCCATCGTATGTCCTGCTCGAGCTGCGAAATGTAACGCTGTATTTCCAACCTCGTTTTTCCTCTCAGTATCCTCGCCATCGGACAACACTGATGTTATCACGTCGATCAAATTCGCAGCGGAAGCCATATGTAGAGTTGTTGTGCCTGTTGGTGGACATGCTTTGCCATAAGTATCAAGGCGTTGGTAGATTTCAACCCAATAACTGATCATTCTTTGTAGGATGTCTTTTTCATCCTGCAGTAAGGTACCTCGAAAGCTGGCGGCTTTTTCTACATGAATAAAGAGATTGATGGTCGCATAGTTCACAAACGGGAGATCACAAATAAGCTTCTCCTTTGAGCCCCGGAAGTTACTCATTTGTTTGTTTGAACAGATCGTGGCAAGATATATTAGACACGATTGGTAGAGAGTTGCCTGAGACTGAAAGAGAATATTGTCTATACCCACGGATCCCATGCTAGCGCTGAAGCCATGGTATAAAAGGGCCAGTCCTTTTACGCGTAAGAAATCATTGACCGACTGGTGAATCACCTGTACGGTTTCCTTATCATTCCTACTTGAGACGACTCCTGCCAGTCCACCAGAAAGAGCCTTGACTCTTAGCTTTATGCGTTTATTACTTTCCACAAAGCCGTGAAGCTTCTCCCATTCGATTTGAGACGACATTATTTGGGCATTCTGAGCTGCCAATGCGTATCGTATTTCAACTATAGTCAAGGGTCGTTCGGCCAGGCATACCCATTGAAATAATAGGAATGATTGGTCTCGATTCCTAGCCGTGATCACGTTGCTCAGAATATACACGTAGACGTTTTCTAGATTGGCTAGGATATCGCCCAACCAATCACGGATATCGCTGATTGACTCCCCTTCGATAACTTTTTGCTTGATAAGGGGAATTATAAGATGGGCCCATTGGAACACACCCTTGGTATGCTGGGTCAATTCCTCTACCAGCACCTCTCTCATCTCTAGATTAGGAACATCTTCCAACTCTGTCTCAAGAAGCATATCCTTGATATATATAGCAATGTCATCTTGATTGTGGTCTTCGACATATATCGCTTTTGCCCGGGCACTTTCCAAGATAGGATAGTGTCGACAAGAGATGCAGACTTGAAGGGTTAGCTTCTTTTTGTCAGCACGATCAATAAGACGGTGGAAATATGCTGCAAGCTTTTGGGCAGGCTCAGCCCCAGCCTCATCTAGAGCATCCACAAAGATAATCACAGGCTGCTCGTTGGCTGATGCTAGGATAGCAGTTGCCAATAACTCTTCAAGTATCGTTTGCGGCCACTCCCACTTGCGTTCTCCATACCCAAACTGTCTACATCGTTGTTCATAGATATCGCGCACCTGAGGGCGTATGGTCGCGTCACGGTCGAAAATTTGGTTCAATAAAGATCTAAGCATTCCAAGCGGTGTACGTTGCATCTCCGTGCCTCGGGCGGTAAAGAAAAAATCGAGTCGAATAATACCATGAATGCCGTCCTGTGATTCTTTGAGTTTGTCATGTAGGAAGGCCATCAAGGTCGATTTTCCCGCACCCGGCTTTCCTTTAACCCATAGTAGACCGCAGGACTGATTCCTCCAGGACTGATACTCGTCCAGCTCTAATATCCATTGGCAGGTATTCGTGTGACATGGCTCGATATTATCCCTCCGATCTAGCATCTGTGGAAATGCTAGGGACCTGAGCAGCTCTGCGTCTATGGTAAGTCGGATTTTGTTTTAACTGGTACAGGGTAGAGCGAACCATTGTCTGTCTTCTGTATTGAGTTTACCGGCCGGTCTGGACCAAAAAGTGTTAGTCAACGTATCACGGCTTTCCAAGGACTTTGACACACACCGGAAGAAATGTTACCGGAAGAAATGTTAATTGTACCATGATTATTTCCAAGTTGAAGACCCGTGTCCGCACTGCCAAAAGATGTCGACCTCATGCTGAACATTCAGTGCGGCAAATGGGGCTGCTATAACCGAGCGAAAGATCCACCTCCTGAAAGTCGAGGTTGTCTTTTGCCCCGCTCTCAGGTGACCGTCGAGCAGAAGGGCCAGCCAAGAAACCCAGGTGGGGGTTGGGTAAATTGGCGTGAGGCCTCAGGTTGAAACTTCTCACCTTACAGGTATTAAACATATTCCCCGCTAATTTAACAATGCGGTAATTTACGTTACATCCCGAAAACAGAATGAGGCTGAGATAACCTCTCTAAAAGTGGCTTAGTGTATCTCGGCATTTAGGGCTCAGGTGATAATGAAAGAGTGTGGGGGTGACACCGATTCCCGGAAATACTGTAATTGATAGCTCCCATTCTATCCGTAGAAAGTCTGTCCGCAGAATTGAAGCTCCTCTTACGGGTCAAGAGTGAGAGCCTGGATCTGACTGTAACATTCAACGAAGGAATCAAGACTAAGGAACAGAAAGAGGAAGAAGAGAATCTATCCCATAGGGGTGAGCATAAGTATATTGAAATTATATACTATTTTATAAGATAAGCTATATTAGAAGGAAAAGTAGTTATAAACTAGATACTATATAAGGACCTACTATATCAACTATATCATCAACTATATATAATTGCAAATCGGTTTTTTGCTTCCATTTTCGCGACCGCTCATTGGCTGTTGCGCCTACTGCCATCGTGCGTCCACCCTATCAAAAACCGTCTTTAATCCGTTTCTGTCGCTTTTCTCCCCCATTGTTTGTCCGTTTTGCTTCAAACTTTATAGGCGTATAGTCCGAGCTATCTATTTCTACTCTACTAATTTTTATCAATTTCCGACCATATAGTAGAATATTATCTTAATTTATATTTTCTATATAACTATATCTATCACATTTTCTACTAGTACCTACCGCTCAACCTATACGACGCTTTATACCCTCTTGCTTTGTTATTCTATTTAATATTCTGTCTTATTCTAATAAACTAGCGAACCCTCTAATGGTTTTTTTTTTAAGGTTTTAATAGAGTGAGGCCGCCCCGTAGGGTCGGCCCGAGCTTCTTGTATATAGTATGATTAGACTAAATAATGAGTATATAATTTATTATTTCCGAGTCTCCCTGTTAGGTGCCGGGAGCTAGTTAAGGGAGACTCGAAATAATAAATTATATAAGCGAGTTTACGAGTCTCCCCGAACTGGAACCCGCTGAGGGTTCATTGGACCTCTCTGATCAGTCACGTGACTACTCTGAGCAGCTCAGTGAGTCTGAGCCCGGACTGAAATCTACTCAGTGAGCCTGACTCTGAGCGCCCTCACAAAACCGGCGGCAGCTAAGATAGGAAAGCCCCACCCGGCAGAGGAAATCACGTATAGCCACCTAGGTATGAGCATAAATCCCTGATCGGGTTCTCTTACCAACCGGTCACACATACACCCCTAAGCCACATATCACATACTCCGCAAAAGTGGTCGCAATGGAATCCTCAACTAGTCACATTCCATTCCTATCGGGAAGCACCCACGACAAACCAGCAAGTTAGCTTGGTTTTTTTGTACAATGTGATTGTGATGTGCTAGACATCGATTGACTATTGGCTGACATGCAGGTAGAGTGAGGGAACTCGATCTCTTGCAGGGAAAGATCAGCGCCATTTATTCATATTCTCATTTCCACCTAGCCACCTTCACATCATGAGACAGAGACCACGGCGTGACGGGAAAATGGACTTCCCCAGAAAATAAATAGCCAATGGATACCCCTGGTCTAGAGTCACTCGCTATCTATTTCCCCATCTCGAGTGGCATTTCAGGGTGGGATTCCTTAATTTACCTTTTTTTCTCGGGTGCAGTGGCACGGTTATTGACTCTTATCACTTTTGTGTCATGCGCATGGCTGCATTATCCGATCGAGTCTATTGTCGGAATCGCCCAGGTGGCTATACATAAAACCATGTTTCCCCGGCTCACGTTTTCCACGCTCTTCAAGCCAGCGATTCGCAAGCACCCGTCTTGCTGACTCACGCCCTCATTGATTCAGGGTCAAGATGTATTATTCTTCTGTGATCAAGTATTTTTCTTTGGTAGCTTGTGCCAATGCACAGCTACTAGAGATTCCCGCTGTGGATGCTATAGTCAGTTCTGCCATGCTCCCCTTTAAGCAGTATACGTCCTTCGGTCTAGCTCCAACGAAAATCGCTTCTGCTGCTGTAAGCTTCAGAACCAAGGCCGCCGTGAACGCCGAATCTGCCGTTGCAGCAGTGGCAGCAGCAGACACTGCGTACTGGCTAGCAGATATCGCTCACCAAGGACTCGCAGCCTTCAACCCGAACCCTTCTGGTTACCAAGTCTTCCGAAACGTGAAAGACTACGGAGCTAAAGGTGAGCAATCCAGATTATAATACCCCAGAGAAGTACTAACGTAACTATAGGTGATGGTGTGACCGACGATACGGCCGCCATCAATGCGGCCATAAGCGCCGGTGGTCGTTTTGGCCCAGCAAGCAGACAATCTTCCACCACGACTCCCGCGATAGTCTACTTCCCATCTGGAACGTACATAATCTCAACATCGATTATTGATTACTATTTCACCCAGCTGATTGGCAACCCGAATGCAATGCCCGTCATAAAAGCAACCGCAGGCTTTGTCGGACTAGGTATGATTGACGGTGACCAATACCAGAACGATGGAAACCAGGGCTGGACGTCGACGAATGTTTTCTTCAGACAGATTCGCAATTTAAAATTAGACTTAACTTCAATCCCTGCCGGTACTGCTGCGACTGGTATTCATTGGCCGACTGGCCAAGCTTCCAGCATCGAGAATGTTGTCATTGCTATGAGTTCTGCTTCTGGGACGCAGCACCAGGGTATCTTCATTGAGAATGGTATGTCGGTACTTAAATTCATTTTCGATCTGTACTAATGCAATACAAGGCTCTGGCGGCTGGTTGACTGATGTGGTGATTACTGGTGGCCTTTATGGTGCCAATATTGGCAACCAGCAATTCACAATGAGGAACTTGGCCATTTCGAATGCAGTGACCGCAATTTCTCAGATCTGGAATTGGGGGTGGACTTACCAAGGCCTATCATTGTCTAATTGCACAACTGCTATTTCAATCAGCAATGGTGGTGCCGGTGCCCAGCTCGTTGGCTCGGTCAATATCCTTGACAGCACCATCCAAAACTGTCCTACCTTTGTCGATACCGCCTGGCAGACCTCAACGCTATCAACTGGCAGTCTTATTCTGGAGAACATCATTCTAAACAACGTCCCGGTTGCAGTCAAAGGCGTCAGCGGTACTGTCCTTGCTGGCTCGTCGGGTTCTACGACCATTGGCGCTTGGGGACAAGGCCACAGGTATACTCCAAACGGACCAACCAACTTCCGGGGATCTTTCACTGCGCCGACACGTCCGAGCGCTTTGCTTGCCGGTGGATCGAATAGGTATTTTACCAAGTCCAAACCCCAGTATGCGCAATCACCGGTTTCTTCGTTTGTCAGTATTCGAAACGCAGGCGCCAAAGGAGATGGTTCAACCGATGATACGACAGCCATCCAATCCGCATTGACATCTGCCGTGACTGCAGGTCAAATTGTGTTCTTCGATCAAGGAACGTACAAAGTTACCCGCACTCTTTATATCCCGCCAGGCTCTCGGATTGTCGGCGAGGCATATTCTGTCATCATGGCCACTGGTAGTGTATGGTCGAGTATTACCAATCCCATCCCCGTCATCCAAATTGGAAGATCTGGAGAATCTGGGTTCGTTGAATGGTCCGACATGATAGTGAGCACCTCGGGCTCCACGCCGGGTGCTGTACTCATTGAGTGGAACTTGGCAGCAACATCAGGTTCCGGGATGTGGGATGTTCACACTCGAATTGGGGGCTTCCAAGGATCTCAGCAGCAGGTTGCTCAGTGCCCAACGACCGCAGCTGTATCTGCCGCCTGTCAGGTTGCTTACATGTCCATGCATATTACCAAGGTCGCCAGTGGTGTTTACTTGGAGAATGTTTGGCTTTGGACCGCCGATCACGACCTTGAAAGCCCAACCAATACTCAGATCTCGGTGTATACCGGTCGTGGTCTCTTGATAGAAGGGAAAAATGTCTGGCTGTAAGTGATAGAGAATCGCCACCATGCTCTCTCATAACTAACATTAGCACAAGATACGGAACGGGATCCGAGCATCACTCGCTGTACCAGTATCAGTTCTCAGGCGCAAGTTCGATTGTGGGAGGTTTTATGCAGACAGAGACTCCGTAAGTGATCCTACATGATATTGCCCCGTGTCACCTGTTCTAACCAATTCCACACAGATACTATCAACCAAATCCCAACGCAGCCAACGGCCCATACACTACCAACTCGACTCTCAATGACCCCGACTATAGTAGCTGTCTCGGTGGAAACTGCAACTCTCTTGGTCTCCGGATCCTCAATACCAAGGATGTGAACATCTACGGAGCTGGACTATACAGCTTTTTCAACAACTACAGCACCACTTGCTCCACATTCCCCCTTCCGGAGAATTGCCAAAGTATGATTTTCAGTATCGAGGGTAGTACCAGTGGACTAGTGGTATATGGGCTAAACACTGTTGGAACAAATTATATGATTGTGAAGGATGGTACTGCGTTGGCGACGGTTGCCGACAATCTGGCTACCTATGCTGCTACTATTGCCTACTTCACCTTCTAGAGCCTCATAGCTTTTATGGAAGGGGAAAGGGACTCGAGAGTCAGTAATTATCCGGTACATATGTCGATGCTATGCAAATTTCAAATTCAAGATCTATATGAACTACATGAATTGCGTCGGCCTAGTACCTACGGGTAGAACCCTGTAGTCTTGTTGCTTGAAGTTGATGGATTGTTTATCATTTATGTGGTCCATGCCAATCCAATTAGATCAAATAGAAGACATTCTGATTCATGCATTAATCATTAAATTCATTAAATCATTAATGATTTAAACAGTTTCCTTATCCTTGGCTATTGTGTTTGACTACATCATTGCATATCGCTCTATCCCTTTCATTCACACGAGCACAGTTATGAGGGCGCAGGATGTGGGTTTATGGGGTGGGCGATCCAGTCGCTTTCACTTTGGCCGTGGTAGATTTTGCTGCGGTTGCGCAGTGGCTGCTGGTCCTCTGTGGGTGTTATTTGCATTATGATAATGTCAATGAAGTGGTGTATGCTGATATACGAGGCATGGTTTCTCCGGGATTGGGATTGGATTATTGCGCGACGCGCATTGACATTATTGATCTCCACCTCACAAGTTCTGATAAACTCTCTTTGATACTCTAAATATGAAATGTGTATATTCATTGGTAAAAAACCTAAATATCTCGGGAAAATCGCATCGCCGCTCAGATTCATATCGGAGAGGAGTCGCATATGTACATACTACGTTGGGGTTATTTATGTCTGACTCTTGCTGCCACTTTCGTATTGCACAAATTCTCATAGCAATACACGGTTAATGCAACAGTGCAAATTGATTAGTTCATTGGAATAATCCAACGCCTTTGAGCCGGCTCAAGGATCCCTGTTCCATCGCCTCATTCTCAACATCTCTCTATTTCTTTTCGTATTCCTCACTTCGGGTATTTGATTATAGGGTAGCGGCCATGGAATCCCTTCGAAGAACCACTCAGACTGGGTCATTGGGTTAGTAAATGATGAATGACCATATCCAATGTAGACCACGAAGTCTGGTGAACTCTTGCCACCATTCTAGTTGACGGAGTAATTGAAGAAAAGGACTTACCCAGTTCAGGGAATTCAGCACTAAATCCCTAGAATATATGATACCACCTTGTCCGCCGCTTTTATTTAAGCCCAGGCTTAGATTTATTAATAACAAATCGACAAGAAGTGATCACTAAACAGTCTTAAATGTGAACATGTACTCTGTACACATAGTTGAGAAAAGTCGAGGGTAGCGGATATGAATCCGGGGTTTATAGATGAGGGGTCGGGTACCCCGGAAAATAAATACACATAAAGATACAGACCTGATCTTGATCTCAACCCCATACCATGATGAAATCAGCCGACGACAGAGTCATCTCGTTCGATTCCCTTCCACTAGACCCAACAGGCCCTCGAGGAAATTCTTGGGGTCGATTTGGAAAAGATGACCAACTTGGGACATTGAATCTGCTCACTCCCGAGCGGGTTGTCGCAGCCGCGAAGGAAATCCAAACTGGCGTGCGAATCTCGCTTGACTGGCCGTTAAGCATGCCTTCGCATCCTAGCTTCAACCGTCATCCATTTAAGCAGGAGCTTGTTCTTCGAAATCCGAATTGTGTTTATGATGATATCTTGACATTCAATAGTCAGGGGTCTACCCAATGGGATGGGTTTAGACATTACGGTATGTAAATGAAGGTCTACGGTTTGAGTTTGAGATTATTGCTTACTGGTTGACGGTTCTAGCAAACCAGAAGTCCCGGCAGTTCTACAACGGGCATACCACGGAGGAAATAGAGAGTTCTGATATTATTGGAATTCACTGTATGAACCAGCTCTACGATACACGGCTAACCCAGCGCTAACCCCAACCCCTCATACAGCCATATGCGAACACGGTGGAATAACTGGCCGCGGTGTTCTCCTCGACTACGCGGACTGGGCCACCACAAACTCAATCTCCATCTCCGCCCTCAACTCTGAGGCCATCACCCTCGAGAACCTGAAGCGAGTAGTACAGGATCACAACCTCAATTTCCAAGAGGGGGATATTCTATTCATCCGCAGTGGTTTCACGGCCGCATACAACAAGCTGGACAACCAACAGCGAAAGGACCTGGCACTCCGATCATCGCCAGATTTTAGCGGTGTTGAAGCGACAGAGAGCATGGTGCGATGGTTATGGGAACACCAGTTCTCTGCTGTCGCTGGTGATGCACCGAGCTTTGAGCGTGCGCCTATTAGAGGAGCCCATGCGGATCCGAATTTCAATTTACATGAGTGGGTGCTGGCGGGTTGGGGAACTCCTATCGGGGAGATGTTTGATTTGGAGAAGTTATCAGGGCACTGCAAGGCTAGTGGACGTTATAGCTTTTTCTTGTCCAGTATGCCTTTGAAGGTGGGGTTTCTCGTGATTATTGACTGTGTTGGTATTGTGCTAATTAAGACTCGGTCTAGGTTATCGGCGGTGTGGCTAGCCCGCCTAATGCGTTTGCTATTTTCTAAATTTATTTTCTATCTACTGAAATCAACAAATAATTTGAGAGATCTTTTACTCCACAGTTTCCACAGAAATGTTGGCGGGATTGTGCCGCCGAGTGTTCCGCCGGGTGGAGAAGGACAACAACATCACAAAGGAGATGGGACTGATGAGTTGCGCGGTGGGAAAGTTGAATCCGGGCCCCCGGGAAATGGCCAAAAGGTATATAAAGCCTGCATAGACCCTTCTATAACCCCTCAATTATCCAAACCAACAATTCTCAAATCATCTCCCCCTCTATACACATCTTCAAGAAACATCTTTCCCTCTCTCGCTACCATGATTGAAGTTCCCAAGGCCAGCTCCCTCAAAGACCTATTCAGTCTCAAAGACAAGGTCGTGGTCGTCACCGGCGCTTCCGGCCCCCGAGGAATCGGCCTCGAAGCAGCCCGCGGCTGTGCCGAAATGGGTGCCGACGTTGCAATCACATACTTCTCGCGAGGCGAGGGAGCCGAAGCCAACGCCAAAGCCCTGCAGGAGGAGTACGGTATCAAAGCCAAGGCCTACAAATGCGACACTTCGAAATGGACTGAAGTGCAAGAGCTGGTCGCGAACGTGATCGCTGAGTTCGGCAAGATCGACTCTTTCATCGCGAACGCTGGCCGCACCGCCGACGCTGGTGTTCTCGACGGCTCTGTTGAGGATTGGGAGAACATTATCCAGGCAGATCTTAACTCCGTCTTTTACTGTGCTAAGGCTGTTGGCCCTCATTTCAAGGAACATGGAAAGGGAAGCTTTGTGATTACTGCTTCCATGTCGGGCCACATCGTCAATTACCCACAGGAGCAGACTTCATATAATGTTGCTAAGGCTGGGTGTATTCATATGGCTCGCTCGTTGGCTAACGAGTGGAGGGACTTTGCTCGTGTTAACAGTATCTCGCCTGGATACATTAATACGGGATTGGGAGACTTTGTGCCTGCCGAGATCCAAGAGGGTTGGAATCGGTTGATTCCTATGGGTCGCCAAAGTGATCCCAAGGAATTGAAGGCGGCCTATGTGTACTTTGCTAGTGATGCTAGTACTTACACTACTGGTGCGGATCTGCGGATTGATGGAGGTTACATCTGTCGGTGAAGAGGGACGGCTTTGAATATTTACAGAAGCTTTTGTGCGATCCCTTTTGTATCTAAAAGGTATAATGGGCAAGTCTTAAAAGAAAAGACTACCTTTCTGAACCTGCTTTGAGAATTAGAAGCAAGTAAACACATCTTTGATAGCACAGGATACAAGTTTCATGACTATCATTTACACCCACGCTACATTGTCATAGTGTCAAAGTCCCCCCATCAATAACAATATCAGTACCAGTAATGTACCGTCCTGCACGCTGACTACACAGAAGAACAACAGCCCCGGTAATCTCCTCAGGATCCCCCATCCGGCCCATCGGACAACGAGAATCCCAAATCTTCCTAACATCCGCCAAACTATCACCAGCATTAAGAATTGTATCCATATACCCGGGACTAATACTATTCACCCTGATCCCATGAACAGCCCACTCAGCAGCCAAGTTTCGAGTCAGATGCGCAACTCCGGCCTTACTCGCATTGTAAGCAGCCTGCGGCTGCGGAAAATTGGTATAATGGGCCGACATCGAAGCAGTGAACAAGATACACCCGCCTTTACCTGAGGATTCCATGCATTTTGCTGCTGCTTGTGCGCAGAAGAAAGATCCGTTCAGGTTGACGTCTATCACTTTGCTGAACTGGTCGGGTGTTACTGTGAGGGATGGTTGGCAACCGGGGATCCCAGCGAAGCAGCAGAGGATGTCGATGCCTTCCATTGTTTTGTTTGCCTGCTCGAATGCGGCTTTGATGGACTCGATTGATGTCACGTCCAAGGGGACTTTTGTTATATTGACAGAGGGAAACTTTGATGCTAGTGATTGGATTTCTTCTGATGATGTCTCCAAGGTTCTGGGGAGATCCATAATACATAGTGAGGAAAGACCGTGCTCCAGGAGAGCCTGTGCAGAAATCAGGCCAAGTGCTCCTGCTCCGCCGGTGACTATAGCTTTTCCCTGAACTTGGAATCGTGCTTCCGCTCGCTCACGAGCAGATGTTGAGGGTATTGGAGCGAGGGGGCGAGTGAGTGGACTTGAACCCTCCGACAAGGTCATCATAGGGAGGACTCGGGAAGTTAGCGAGGCTCGCTGGTCCTCAGTCGCTCCTGCTGAGGCGTCAGCGGACATATTGATTTTGTAACGCCGAATTCCAAGATGAATGGCTGTTTACCTATGTGGAGATTGGTGCAATACATTCGTTATCAGGCTTGGAGGACAAGACAGTTCACACAAGGCGAAGGGAATGCAACAATAAATGGATACAATGTGGGGTATTCGGATTATGACGATAAATTATAGAAACGGAAAGGACTTTGACGATCACTCCAAGCAGTGAGTTTGAAGTATGGAGCTCAAAATAATTCTCAATTTGGAAGTACGTGCAGATGGGGGGGGGGGATAAGCGGCTGCGAGGCGGGACACTTCCGCCAAAGCGGGGGGTTCGGGGATTTCGCTGGCATCGAGCGGAGACATCAAGACATCCATCGGACTGGGCCGATCCGACCTCGGGAGGATTATGGAGATCGTCAAGTACTTAAACCACCCAGATAGCGTTCAAGGTCTGAGATTGGGAGTACTCATGTTGTTATCCGCAGGCTTGTTTTGAGTTGACTCAGCAGCACGAGTTGAATGTACAAGAAGACCGAGGGTCTACAACAACTTGTGCCTCTGAAAATAGTCGAACAAGATCTTCCTCACCAGTGCTAGATTTAGTACTTTTGCCTGGTGGAAGAATATTCATTGTTACGCGCCCGCCTTTGGCTCTCAGCACCCTTGCGCAACCGCAGGCTCTTGGTATTGAAAACCAGGCGTCATCAAGGCTGAGGCTTTAGTCTCGAACGTCTTAATAATGTCCTCCAATTCCCAATGTTGCTAGTTATTATTGCGAATCATTGGCCGCTACGAGAAGATTTGGTAACACTCAAGTTTATTCCAAGGTTTAGCTTGTGGTGCGGTACGAAATTGACAGACGATTGGCATCGGAGATTTAATGCCAAGGTGGTGATTGGCGGTCACCTTCATATTCGGAGGACCGATTGGAGAGATGAGTGTCGATTCGAGGAAGTCAGTCTAGGTTATCCACGGTAATGGAAGGAATGCGCTGAGATGGGGCTGGGAGTGAATGAGCTCTTGAGAGAGATTCTCCCAGGTCCGTAAATTATTAGAACTGGAGATGTTTCGACTCGGTGGAGAATCTACGGATAGAATCATGAGTTTGACCGTTGTTGAAGCTCTTGTATTATATAGCCAACCCAATGAGATAACCTTGGCAGCATGGTTGAAAGGTGAGCGCGGTGACCTCGTGATCATTATTAGTCTCAGGACTTGAATCGACTTTTCCTTCTCGATCTCTCCCTCTTATATTCTCTTTCTCTCTCCCTCGCTCCATCCGTCTCTTTGTGCCTCTCTCGCTCTGTGTCCCGTGTTGTGACGTAGGCTTGGAGAAGCGAGGAGAGTAAGGGTGATACGACAGAAACACAATGCATGCGGTAGTCGGTTGTTGCGGAGAGACTATGGGAGGGAGCAGTATCAGCAGGGAAAGGTTGGTGGCCGCTTTCTCATTTGCAACTTGCTGAGAGCATTATGGGAGGTCAACAGTGATTTTGACTTACTTGAGAACCCATGGCTGAAGATAATGACCAGATTCTCTGGTCACGTTGACATGGATGGATAATGAAAGACTTACATTACTAAGCTTATCGTCTGGGCAATAGGTCTACCCACTGTAATGAGGTATCATATATACGGTCTAATGTCGCCCGCCATCCTTGAATCTCTCAGCCAATCAGTCACTGTAAGATGGGGCCCCTAATTTTCAAGGGCCAAATCCTCTTTTGCGCTAGGTGAAAGTCCTAATGGCCGTCAAGTTTTGGAATGAAATAAAAGCTTCGTAACGATAATGACGGTCCGATGCAACTTTGGGAGGTTCCAAGGTTTTATAATCACTCAGGCTGGGGTCTTAACACCACATCAAGGCCGATGATAACAGTAGGTGATTCGATGTATTATTACGGTTTGATTACAATACGTCTCTCCAGGGCTAGAAGACTCATACTAATGCCCAATCAATAGAACGATGGCCTTGACCAGGATTAACACATTGAGGATTCATCACCTGGCAATTCAGTTTCAAGATCGCGAGGTCAAATCGATTTCGAGGACTATCTCGACATTGACGCCCTAAAAACGGGTTGGCGGATGAAGTGATCTGAAACATTAATCAATGCAGTACGACAAGTCTCATAAATTGACAATGAGAGCTTTCTGTTTTCGTACCGTGAAGTATTAGACTACATCATCAGTATAAGACGGCGTCATTTAGACATTTAAACATTCAAGACTTCTCAGATATGGCAGTGCGTCCTAACTGCTGCTGCTGTAGGTGTCATAGGATCAAAGCCTCCCTTTGTTATACAGCTGCAGGAGCATCGGATAGAAGGTTATAGAACCAATACAGGAGATCGGCAGTCACATGAAGCTAGCTAGCCCTAGGGGTATAAGACCTACTCCACACAGAGATCAATTATTATCCAATATCAGTGTTACTATCTCCCTATCCAGTCTTATCTGATCTACCTAGTCCCCACCTCTTACAGTAGACACAGAGGTTCTTTGGCCACCGTCAATTCTTAGAGCCTTTCGTGCCACGCAACGCAGTCGGATAATTAATCATCTATTCTGTCTCAATATTCTAGCCAGCAAATAATCCTTTACCTCTGTTGGAATTGAATTGAAGATGAGAGCTGTCCAAAGCGTTCTCTCTCTTCTTTTACCAGCCTTATTGCTTAGCTGGATTGACCTCTCCGTCCAATATCCGATAAGGACCTCGAAGTTGGACATTGCCATCCACACTCAGGAAGGACTTCTTGAAGAAGAAAGCTCAGCTCAGACCCTGATTGGGAATGAATTCAGCGGGAGCTTAGAGCTTGAGGGCGATGGTGGTTCTTCTTTTGGCTCTGTGGAACAAGGGATCGAACCCAATTCCACGGTCGACTCCACCGAGAAGCCGTCTAGTAAAGGAGTGGAAGATCGTTTGTCTGGCAGCACTTTGGATCATGGCGTCAAACAGCACGCTGATATCGGTGATTCGGAGCAGAACATTACCGCTTTTAACAGCCAGAGGCCTATTTGGGCAATTGCCCATCGGGTTTTGACGGTTAAGAGTGTTCACGATGCCATTTTAAATGGAGCTAATGCACTTGAGATTGATATGACTGCCTGGAGGAAAGGCTGGTATGCAGACCATGACGGTACCTTGACCAGCTACGGGGATACTGCTTGGAAGATGTTTCAAGCCATTGCGGAACACCGGAGAAGGGGCGCGACCATCAACTTTGTGTGGCTGGATATCAAGAATCCAGATTGGTGCCCTAACAACAACAAATGGCATTATTGCTCCACAGACAACCTGCGGAAAATGGCACGGGACGTTATTGAGCCTCTGGGTGTCCGGGTTCTCTTTGGGTTTTACAAACCAGGCCCGGCATACAATGCCCTGCGTGTCTCCAACCACCATTGGGAGGCACTAAATCTGAATGGTAAATCTAAGAAGGTCGAAGACTGGTTCAACCGACATGGACCCATGGCCAAGAATAAACGTGTCATGTCGTATGGGTACTTCAATTTGCCCTTCCAGTTCGGAAATTGCTGGGAGAGAGATTACTACACCTGTACAGAGCTACGCCAAGCTGTTAAAAGCCAGGGCTTTGGCAGGGTTTTTGGTTGGACATTAGCGACTGGCCAAGACAAGTATGCCGACAAGCTATTGTCAGAGGGCGTTGACGGCTTGATTTACGGGTTCAAGGCCACTTACTACTATGACCATGTGGACACTCGAAGAGCCGCTAATTCCATCAAACGTTGGGTCAATAATCATGCCGGTAGCCACCGCATGGCTAATCAGAACGACGACCCTTGGTAATATCCAAGGCAGAGGACCTGGCGGTCTATGTGCTACCCTGAAGAAGAAAAGATGGACTTCACTCATCGTGCAATACAAATGACAGCAAAATGTCCGTAATTTGGATTTTAGTGCACAAAGAAAAGAGGCCTGTATGGTAGTGTCAAATAAATTGAATGGCAACGACATAGTAGCTTAGAAAGGTAAAAGCTAGAGCATGCGGGCATCAACAATAGAGCCTTGGAAGCCATTTTGGGTCTTGCAATGAAAATAAAGAAAGGAATTCACCTCCGCATTCGCGTAAAGATTTGGGGAAACCTAACAAATAGGGAAAACCACAAATCGAGGTAGACAAAAAGATAGGATCCTCTGCCAAATCAAAGCTCGTCATCTTCAATGTCATTCTCGAAACCACGTCCAATAAATGACCAAATAGCCTCATCAAGTGCGTGAGATTCCTCTTCATTTGGCCTTACGACCTGGATCATATCTCCAAAGAGTGAGTCTCGCGAATATTCGCTTGACGGCTTTAAAATTGGATAATCAGCATACATTCCATAATTTTTTCTCGGTCGCTCGTAGAGGACGGTTCCACAAGGTCCATCTTACCTTCCACCCAGTCTCATATGCAAGTTGTTTGCCGATGTCTCTTGTTCTTTCCCAGTCATCGCTCGCTTGTAAATCCGACAGAAGCTCCCCGATCGATTCGTGGTACTGCAAAGCATTGTTATGTTCATGAACTCGGGTATTATGGCAATATTATTTCTCACCTCCGTCTTGGCTTGCTCGATTTCCTCCTCAGTCATAGACGTAGCTTCTGTTGGATTCTTTGAGACATCCTTGATCATCGCTTTTTAGTAAGTATATTCAGGTATATTCGGGTTGTCGGTGAACTAACATCTTCCGCTAGACGGATGATTTGTTTCAGCGATTGAGTGTAATCCTCGCTGGTGGGTAGTTTAGACTCGTCCCCTGGGGCGTGAATCGGGAAATGGCCTTGCAATTTAAGAAATTTACGTGCTGCTCTCTTTTAGTAGGTGTGTTAGTACATCAGTGTTGTCTACTTAGTTGGTCCGATGCCCTTTTTTGGACCCAGAACATTTGAAAGGGGGGTACGAACCCTCATAGCTTCCTGAACAAAAATAAAGCATCGTTTCTTATTAGCGAATTCCCAGCAATAGTCGTTGAGCGACGGTCGGCGACGCCTCACTGCCTCGTAAACGCATTCTGCAAACCAATAGCAATTATAGACGAAGAAATTGTATCTTGGATGCGACCGGTGTGCATCCCCCAATTGTTTTGCAAAATCCCGGACACTGAGAAAGCTTGGTGGGAGAGATCGGGTGAGCAAAGGCATGGGTAAAACATCCTTTGACCCGCCCGAAGACCCGCTCGAAGACCCCCCCGAAGACCCCCCCGAAGACCCGCTCGAACCGATTGCTGATATGACTGCAAGATTTAAAGGTTCGTAGTAGCAATCCTCGGGTGTCCATTTCTCCTGGTAGTGATCAAAAGGTTCCCATTTACCGATGGTCACCTGGTCTCGCTCTTGGAGACGTTCGGTGATCAGGCGGGTGCAAAATTTGCTGGAATTATCCTCCACAATAACTTGGAGAAATTCATGAACCCATTTGTTGTTCAAGTCTTTGACGTGCGTGATCCGACGGACAAAGCAGTTCTGATAAATGGCCGGGTTTTGTTTGATGGAAGTCTCCCATGAGAGGACGTTGTGATCCTTGTGTGAATCGAACAAGTGCGGTATGCTTGGCTTTGAAGGAGACATCATAGGATTGAATCTAAGAAGCAATGGAATTTATGAATGGTCTCAATAATTGCAGAGCTAAGGAGGGGGTTAAATAATAGCCCCAGAGGGGTTTTCTGCCTTCCTCACGTCATTATACAGATCGAATTCAGCTTTGAAAATGCCTCATTTCATCGCATCAAGATCTTCAATGTAATTAGCCACAAAAAGTCTTGTGGGTGTTGCAGAGGACCCCAAGATGAGCTAAAACTAGAGCAATGTACCCACTATAGACACATCACGACACATTAATCCCTGTCCAAGTATCCGAAAGAAAAATTGAGTCATGTATGTGTCGTAATCCGCTGCGATCTATAGCTTGATACATATAAGTAGTAACAACAGAGGGGAAACGTAATAAGTACTGTGCTACATATATGCATATATACTAATGTATGTATGAGTTGTTCTCAAGCTTCATGCACGTCGTAGCCTAAGGGCATGATAAGGCAACCTCCAAGTGACATCAATTGATGTCAGGCAGTGACTTGTTTCGGGATGTAAATCGCTCCTTTTGGCCTAGGAAGCTGAAGAATATTTTTGAATTGCATCCTATGGGCCGTTATTGCTCCTGGGTTGCATGTCCTCTCTCAAGAGGCAGCCGTAGGCTCCACTGGAAGCAATGGGTTTTCAGCTGAACCGATATCTTGGCATATATACATACAAAGAAAGGATTTACGAAGCGAAGATAGCTGAGAGATGATTACTCCGCACTGGTCGAGGGATCGCCTTTCTGTTGCCTGCTTAGCCAATCTTTCATGATAATGACGCTCAATTTATTTACGGTATCGCTGATGACCGTCGGGATGTGAATATCAAATGCGAAGATAAACCCTATAACCTCGAACAAGAAAATACGAGTGGCTCCATGACCAATGCCCCCAGCAAAATCGAAATGCCGGGATTTCCCATTATTGGCGCTGGGCAAAGAAAGACTACTACTAGTACTGTCGATAGCTGAATTCACTAAATTGACACTCTAATGTCCTCATCAGCAAGCTTTGCACCTGACCATATTCGCATGTGATGACGGGCTCGTCGAGTCACTCCAAGAGAACCTTAGCAAACTCGAAATTTATATCGCGTCCTTCTTTCGCGCCTTTACAAATACAAGGTAGCGTTCTTGCAAAGCTCAGCTTTACTGTACTGCGGTGTGTTGGACATAAAAACACGGATGGCGTGTAGTATAAGCAGTACTTGAGGTTGACCTAGGGGGCGCTGAACTATTAGGAAAACACGTGTACTACTAGTAGAGGCTGGGGTGTCGGTTGATCGCTGTTCTTTGATCGTCGCTTTCTGGACGTACCCAGTGGACGTGCCGTTTAAATCAATGTTCGTCTTTAAGTGGTCTCAAATTTTGTCCGAATAATTGCAGTCTCACCACTATGTAGCTTTTTCAGTATCTCAACGGTATACTCATTGTTAGATCCGTCGCCACGTACTTCCTGATTGTACTATTTCTTCCGATCATCACCCTCGAACCTTTCAATGGAATTGTTGTTCAAACCGAGCGGCCATTTCGAATACGTAGACATGGTTCATTTGTATCTCAGTCTTGTGCCAATTCTTGAGTAGACATATACTAGTAAGTCACAACATGAATGACCATGTCTGGGTGTCACTTTGTGGTTTGGTCCGAGACCGGTTTCAATGAGATCAAGAGGCTACTCTTGGGCAAGCCAAGTTCCAGACAGTCATCAACTTCCTTGTCAATGCTGTTTAAAAATGACTCTTTGTCCCAAACTGGGTGCCATCCGACAAGCTTTGCATTCTCACAAACTACTTTCGGGCTGGGAGTCCATTGGTAAAACGATTCGACGAATTCGATGAAGGAGTTTATCATATAAGTGGACATAACTCGCATTCCACATGCTGTAGGCAAATTTCACTGGCACCCCGACCGATTGGGCGGCCATCTCGTCTGAGGGCCAAATTTGTGTCGATTCCGTCGCGACCAAACCCCGATTATGAAGGTTCGTGGCGAGTTGATCCATGATATCCGACCACTGCACAACGTGGGAAGCAAGGAAATAGCACCCACGTTCTCCGGTGGGAATTGCGTCGCTGCGTTGAATAGCCTCCAGTAGAAGGCCATAAAAACTTGCGATATCTGAAACGTGGGCTAGAGGAGCCTCCTGCTTCTGATTAGCCGCTCAATCAAAAGCAAGGACGGGTAATTAGGCAGAACATACTCGGTTTTCATTAAATTTGTAAACTTGCTTGTTTTGGATACTGGCCTTGATAAGCGCTGGTAACTGCGGCGAATGCTGGTTCCATGCGCCATCGCTTCGGCCATCTTACACTTCGTCAGTACGCTCTTCAAGTCGACTGATAATTAACAGAAGAAACTTACGAAGCATGGGAGGAAAAACCAGGAACCCAGTGATACCGGCCTTTTTCGTTTCTTCAATCACGAACCTATCGACATCTCGCACTACATACGTGTCTTTGGACTGTTTCTCCCAGTCATATACGTTGTCTGTATTTTTGATTTGACCAAACGGCCAGTTCGTGTTCCCGTCAAAGGCCGACAAGCCAGTTGTCTGGACGAAGAAGGCTTCTTGTCCCGTTACTTCGCGTTGCTTTTGGATCCCCGAAATGAGATTTAATGCCACATGTTGGTCAATCGAAGTTGCGTTATTGATGATGATATTTACTGCGTAGAGCAGAAGACACTTTTCGTCAGAGATAATGTACATGGGGGCTTCGTGTCTATTGAAGTTCAATCTGCAAACTTACTGTCGTGCAAGAGGAGGTAATCTGATACGGCATCTCTATCACTGAGATCCAGTTGGACAACATTTACATTTAGCTTTCCAAGACTAAGGGCCTGATCGGGCTTGCGAACAGCCGCATGGATGCGCAAACTTTCTAGAGTGCCGTCCTTTTGCCGGTTCAAAAGATCTGTGATAATGGATCCCCACTATGTGGAAATGATTGTTTTACCTTCGCACTTCAAGTTATCTTTTCAATGTTCAAAGAAACATTGAAGTAAATGCGAGTCTCACATATAGCCAGATGCGCCAGTGGCGAAGCACCGACAATTCCCTCATGACCCCACGAACCTCTTTTTAACTAGTTTATGTGGCTTGAGGGAGGGGGTTCTCGGAGGCTCGTGCTACTAGCTCAGTTTACTATTCCACTGAAGCTTGATATTACTCTTGGCAAGCCACATGACCACCATCAAGGTCAAATTAGGCTGACCGGGAATACTCCGTCCATTCGCTTGTAATTCAGGATGAACGCCGGTATCGCGATACTTGAGGCTAGAACAGTGCCATTGTTCATACTACATAGATCAAAGGCCGGTCACCTTGGCTGAGTGATATATCTCACCCGTATTCGTCCTCGTCCTAATCGCTAGCCCTGGGAAACGGAATACGAATGATTGATTGCGGGAAACCACCTCACCTATTCACCAAATTTTAGGGAGAAAGGCAGCAGCGAGTGTTGATTATTGCGCTACGGTGAACATATGCGATAGGGAAAAGGGATGCAATTGGCATAGTTCGACCTTCACATGCTTATAGTACCTACCAGTAGACCTGTCGCTTAAGGGTGACCCTCTACGACCCGCAATGACCCTCAGATATATAAATTTCTAGCGCTAAGCCTAATTAAGGTGGATAAATCCACTTACCTATCTTAGTAAAATACTATTATTTATATATGTTTTGTCTACTAGACTATAAACACTAACTTATAAACTATTAAAGTTATCAAATATTATAAAGTTATTTAATAGTTCTCTTAATTCTATACTTATTTTATACTACGTATAGGGAAGAGGTACTAAGTAAGGTTTAGAACCCTTTAGTTTCTGCATGTAATCAATTGGATTGAAAAATGACATAATAGGGAGCTATGATAACCCGAAATATTGGTGTGCTCCTGTTTTCCTTAATAGTCCCACAGAGAAAAATGGCTAACCCATTCATGAAGGACAAACTTTTATATTGAATGCGGTCAGATTACCCTTCATGTCCTTATTGTCAACAGTGGAGTATCTCCACTCGCTAAGGCTCGCTAAGATCCCATCTACGGTTATATGGGCAGAAGAGTTAAAGACATAGTCAGGATAGAACGCAGTGGTGACGTCCACATATACATTAGTCCCACTTATGATCTGGTAGTGGAACGACCCGGCGCGCATTGGCCGTTGGTTGAAATGAACGGCTAACCACTGTTCGTCGGACTTATTGTTGTATGTATCTAGGGTTGCTTTATACCACATAATAACATTGGCGACTTGTCTCGCCAGGTAAATTGTTCTGGCAATTTCCACTCCATATGTAGGGTGCTTCTTATCAACCAAGGTAATTTCTACTACATTATGGGCTATAGGATATCCATGATTAACTATCAACGGCAAACATGCTGTTATACCACGATAAGGCATAATGAGGTGTGTAGGGTCTTGTTGTGGCCGAATGGTTAGTTTGACAGTAATGCATGGTTGAAGTTTCAGAACAAAAATTTTGCCGGAATTTGACAATTTATTCCAATCACTGATAATTTAAGATAAAGACAGACAATATAAGGCTAGGAACAATCTGGCCTCAGCTTCCCTCTCTTCTCCTCCCTGTCTCGTACCCTTCGCATAGCACTCATTAGCCATGGTCAATACTGCTACTGCCTCCTAGTTCCACTTCTGACATTCACCTCCTATAATTCCACAACCTGACATAGCCACGGCGTGACACCAGCCAGGCTCCGTGTCCGGCTGATTGTACTTGCGGCAGCAGCAGCGTGTCCAAAAAACGTTAGGACGAGGGCAATCGAGATAGGTGTCGCAGTAATCTCTGGGGAAATCTTCAGCTTATGATACTTGGAAGGGTTAAGATGGAAATTACAATCTGGGTTCAACAGTGTCACCGCCTATATCAATTAATGAGCGACATTTTTGAAAGCAAAAACAGGAACTTAGGTCAAGTACATACTTTGAAGGTCGTTAGCATTGGCTGGAGTGGCAAGGCCCACGCTGGCAATAGCGAGGGTGGTGATGAGAGAGTAAACAAATCTCATGGTGGTAGGTTGGAATTGGAGTATGTGGTTCTTGTTGAATGCTTTTGAGTGTCGGAATTGTATTTGTGGTTGTCTCTCATCCGGGGTCGGCGGGCTCAATTTATGTCGCAGATTTGCCACAGACCTGTTCACCAAACAGTCTAAAAGGGAAACTTCAGTTTACAGCACATGTAGATCCAAATCCTTGAAAGCTGAACCTACAGTATAGAAAATAGTGGTATTCAAATTCCGTCTCGTTGTGACACATTTCCTTGGAATGTGGGGTATTACCAGCATGTTGTACAAGGTACCTAGTTATCTAGTTATTAGCAAAGGGAATGACCTTTGGACTACAAAGGGTCCACAAACCCCCACCCATATTACAGTTAGGATCTGCACATATGCATAATGTACAACATAGTTGGGAGTTGAGATTTTCACAATTTCCTGCTGCAGTTAGACACTCTCTCACAACCCCTCATATCCCTTACATAACCTCAGGTAGCCAACGGTAGCAATTAGGTACCATCCGCATCGTTTCGTCTCAGAATTACTATTTCTTGGATATTCTACCTATACGCAGTCAATATCATCCTGCTGTTTCATCCTGCATCAACATTCGAGCGCAGTCCATAGTTACCTGTCCTACCACATGCTCCATGTAATTACACGATCTACCATATCCATATATCCCTCTATTTAAAGGAAGATAGGGTGGCCGGATATGGTTAGCGTATCTATTACTCTTGTTGAGAGTGTCACTAGACCGAAGTTGGCAACACCTCACTCTTTGTGCTTCGAGTACGGAGTACCTTCATCGCTTCTAGGGCTGGATCCCAGTGTCGATTTCCTTCCGCGGGGGAACTGCCATAGGGCTGCTAGGATGAGCAGCCTCGTTCAGGTAAATCGGCTCTTGAATGGCGCTTGAAATTCGGTTGCAAGGCTAAGGTTTGTTAATTACAGTTCAATAGTAATTCTTGGTATGCAAGCAACTGGGGATTATTTACATCCAGCTGCGTGTATACAACCAGAGTAGTCAAATTATTTTCAGCTCTAGTCATCGTCATAACCCACGGTATAGAGTACGTACATAAAAAGAAATATGTTCCTTATGACCTCTCAAATAAGAATATGATCTGCGGATCATCCATCAGCAATCTTCTCTTCCGTGCAATCTAGTCTTCTTGTATACTCTAGGACAACTACTTATATATATATTTCTTTTTTTCCCCTTAATTTATTTCAAGTAATGCCCTGTATTTCTTTCGGGAAGTAGTGTAAGACACATATATTGCTTTCTGAACAGCCTGTCCACTAGTTGGCTGTTGCAGTGGTGGAAACAGAATGCCAAAATAAGTGTATATACAAGGGGGCTTAATATGATAATAGGGAATGTAGTACAAGAGCGGAGTATTTCATGTAATAAGTAAAATTGTTAGATAGCCGGGGCTGAAGGCGTTGAGATTTCTCGATCGACACAGATGTCAATCAATCAACTCCCTGTCAATCCGATAACCTCAGACATCAACAAGGTGAACGAGAGGCCGAATCTGGCCCTCTGGTTACCAGGAATTTCTTGATACATAGAGTACTGTAACATACGTACGACGCTGTCCGATCACATTCAGCCAACCTTCTGTGTCGAGTTCTGACAGGGGGAAACTTCTTGCATAAAAAATGTGGGGGTAAGCCACTAATAAGCTATTAGCTTATAATGAAATAAAATAGAATCGTGGTTGTTCAGATATCAAGTTGTAATTTATTGCATTTACTATGTGTTCCGGACTGCGTAGCTCGCCCGGGTGCGCAGCTCGCCCGGGAAATATGTTAAGCATCAGTCATTCTATACGTGACTAAACTGAGTATGATCACTGATCTCAGTCCGTGCTGACATATACTTAGTGAGCCTGAGCCTGAGCACCCTTATAAAAGCGGCGGCAGGTCAAATAGGAAAGCCCCGTACGCTAGGGAAAATCCGATACGTATAGGTATATATTCCTTGATACCCTGGGCAATACATTACATTTGCATAACTACTACTTCTTTCGCACAATTTTGTTTTAATTGGAAAGAACCATGGAAGACCATAAACCAGATCCGGATATGGGAGAGGAGAAGGATGTGCTTAAAGCCCACGCGGCAAAGCTTTTTGATTATTAGAACGAGAAAGCGTTGATGCGCAAAATCGACTGGCAGTACGAGATATTGTTCATCACTATGTAATATTCGGACAGAGCTCAACTGATATGTATTTTTATTTAACATCCTTCCCATCATGTTCACTGCCTACATGCTTCAATTTCTCGACAAGACTGCGCTCGGATATACTGCAATTTTTGGAATTCAAAAATATTTGGTATCTATTTCGGACCATACCAAAGGATAGTCGTTGACAGCGGGAGAACAGCATCTTGTTGGTGATGAGTATTCATGGGCCTCTAGTGCATTCTTCTTTCGCTTCTTGGTAGCATCTTACCCAGTATCCTTATGCTTCGTCAAATTTCTAATCGCCAAGTTCCTCTCCGTTTCCTTGTACGTTGGGCACTTCTCTCTCCCAGACCTCATGTTTAAAGCTCACAATGAACACCATAGCATTATATGTGCTGTTGTCCTAGCGTGCCATGACGCCACGTCCAACTTTGCCGGTCTCATATCCCTTCGTGTCCTGCTGGGCGTTTTTGAAAGTACAATTAGCCCTGGTCTGTCCCTGACCACTGGGGTGTGGTACAAACGGTCTGAGCATGCCTCTAGACATGGAATCTGGTTTACAGGGAACAGTGTTTCGTCCATTTTTGGTGGGCTGTTAACGTATGGGCCATATCAGCAACTCAGTTGAACCGTGGAGGGTACGTTGTCCTGCATCCCCCAAACATTACCTGGGCCTAAGCTAATAATTTATAGTGGATATTTATCATATTCGGCATCGTCACCTTTGCATATGGAATTGTCTTTTATTTCTACCTACCAGGTAGCCCTCACAACGCCCGCTTCCTTTCTAAAGAGGAAGGAGAGTTCATCGATCAACGTGCCCAGCGGGAGTCACACACCACAGTCTCACACAAATGGTCAAAAAATCAATGCATCGAAGCACTTATCGACTCGAAAACCTGGCTTATTTTCGGCTACTCCATGGCATCCAGCATCCCCAATGGAGGTCTCACGAGCGTAAGATTACCTAGACCGCACTTCGTTAAGCTTTACTGATTATTCCACCCCTTCTGCAGTTCGGAGGAATTGTTATTTCTGGGTTTGGATACTCCACTGGTTTGGATATTCGACTTTCAACACTCTCCTTGTTGGATTATCCACGACGGTGTTCACTCTCATTTGGGTGATTCTGGCCACGACAACCGTTACGAAATCCCGCAAATCCTGATGCCTTACCGCTGCTGTTTTATCGCTCATCAGTCTAGCTGGCTCTCTTATGGTCTCTCAGATTGACCCTACCAAGAAAATAGCTCGATTGGCGGGGATGTAGCTTTTCCCTGCATATTCCGCCGGAATTCCGACTATCTTGAGTATCCGCGCCTCTAACGTGGCTGGATACACCAAGAGGACGACGGTGACCGCAGTGATGTTTATTGGCAATTGTGCTGGTAATATCACTAGTCCTTTCTTCTTCTTCTCCAATGAAATGCCTAACTACGGAGTGAGTGCTCTTACTTGGCTTCATGTCTGATAAATCAACACTAACGATGACCAGAGTGCCTGGATCGGAATGATGATTTCACTGGCTATTGCCTTAGTCGCTATTCTTGGTTTGCGCCAGCTGTTCCAGTTTCAAAATCAGCAACGCGACCGCCAGAAGAATGTAAAAATACACCCTGAATCTTGCGAGGAGAGTGAAATTGAGAAGGTTGTTGCGCTCGGTATTGCACTCGATCAGGATGTGACTGACTGGGATCAATCAATCAATCAATCAAAGTTCAATTGGCCTGTTGCAGTCTAACTAGTTGCGTATGACTATGCAGGCGCTTCATCCAACTGAAGCAAGAACTCGTAGCCAGACGCCGAATTGGGACCACATAGTGCATCCCATAGAGTATACAGATGCTGATCGTAAAGAGTGCGGAATCAAGCCCATTCCTGTAACCGATAAAACGCTCAAACCCGTAATCCCATACATAAGAAATTAATATATAATGATAGATGTGGATGACTGACTGGGAGAACCTAAGCTTCCGTTATTATCTGTAGTGACTTTGCTCGCACTTTACAACGCCTTAAATATATTCTGCCATGACAATGTCATTCAACTCTTATCTCAATTTTCTATGTGGCCAAGCGAGGCTGCATTTATAATAGTCGACGAGGCCCCGGATATTAGTATATATATTCGTAATATAACCCTCGAGGGACCGTCCTCCCAGTTTAGAGAGCTGTAGTTAGAACGGGTATATATTAGCATAGAATACAGCGTGGATCGACGGGCGTTTGAACTTAGATCCGACCCGTCAATGGGAGCAAATGACGGATGCGGGCTTCCTAAGACCTTGTAGGTAATCGGCGAGCTACTGCTTTTAGAGAATCCTGCGGGGATAACGAAGGCTTATAAGCCGAACTGGATTCGTTATATAGTACTCTTAGATAATGGCGGAGTAGATAAGGCGCTCTATATTATACCTTCACTTCGCTTCCTTATTCGTTGGTATCTTATTCGATTTGACTATCCTTCTATAAGTCTATTAGTCGAAGCCCCGTCCGAAGGGTTGCGATAGGAAGCTTATAAGGCGGCTTATCGTAAAGTTTCACAGACCCCTTCAGAGATTGAGTGCCATTACCGAGTTGACCACTAAAGGGATTAAAAACTGGCGAAGGGATGGAGTAGCTGCCAGAGTATACGAACTCAAAGCAACGGCCAAAGATTATTTCATCGAGTTCCCCGACCGTGGGAGGCTGAAGAATCTCGCTTTGGAAGGAGCTGGTTAACGCCGCATGAATTGAGAACCGCTTTCGGTCTTTGCCGACGACGAATTGGACAATACCAGATTCCATGAAACCATGCAATTCTCAACCGGAAGAAGGAGCACTATTTAAGAGATGAGATCGTACCAACCATTGTTGCGACATGACAATTGATCTGGCAATCCTGGAAGACAATCATTTACGAGATGTTGAGCAGGCTACAGATTTTACTACACGCATGGAAAAATTTCCAAACGGTCCATATCATTGTAACCTACGATCCTCAGCCGCCCTGTGCCAAGTTGGACTGTGGTAGAAGAATAGTGTCTCGGCATATTGTGGATTATTGCGAGCCCATCGGTCCTTCTGGAGTACAACGTGAAAAGCTCCTAGAATTACCAAGCAATCATTCCACCCACTCGCACTCGTATGCTCGAGTATACTCATCCGGATCCCAAGCAAGAGGTCTCGTGTCCATCTCTTCAAACTTCAGCTTTACACATTTATCTATATACTCCTTTTCTTCAGGTGTCAAGAGATGAAGCCTCTCCTTCCAGGCATTGTCAGGGTCAAAGTTTTGAGTCGGTCGAAAGAATCGCCGGTCAATTTTCTGCCAATAGATCGAGTCGAATGAAAAATTATTTCGTGCGGCATACATGACCCAAGTTGCCGCTCTTCCAACTGTCTCGCATTGGGCCAGAGAGACGCTGAGTCTCCATAAGTTGACCGGCGCGTATTGCCTCATCCTCGCAATCCTTCATGACTTGAAGAAATGTGTCAAGTCGTATATCGTATTGAATGCACCAGTCGCCATGGCCTTTAGACCAATATTCCGGCTTTTCGAGAAGAAGCCACCAAGGTACAGGGGACATCTGTGCTTGCGAGCTTACAGAGTTTCCTTACGCCCTCTCCCTTCCCCTCTCCGTTATAGTATCCCATTGGTAGATTTGAAACCGGTAAATGCATCACATTGCCCTACGCACGCGCATGATTTGGCAAGCACCAATAAGCTGGGGTATCGAAGCGCCGTTCAAATAATTGTGTTCCACTAGCGCGAGCAATGCATAAAGCGCACGATTGTCCATGTAAATAGTTATGTAGGTAAACAGCCCAGCTTAAGTCATCCTCCACAGATTCTACTGGTAAACTCAAGGGTAAGCGCTCCTATCAACATAGTCTATATCTTCTACAGGGTCATCAGGCAATATCCCAGGTGCCGGCCATCCATGTCTTCGATATTTTGACCAAAGATAATTCACTGCATGAATATTGACTCTGTTATAGTTCTCAAAATATGCCAACTCAGCGGAGGCACGAGTATACTTGAACCCTCTCAAGCGCGGGAAGGGCAAGTCTTGGAGTAAATCATGCTCCAGATCAGAATCCCACTCATCTGCTTGAACCAGAATGACCGATTGATCAAGTTCAAATTGCCGATCCACACAAACGAAGGATATTGTGCCTCGTTCAGCCGTCTTAGGATACACGTAAAGCGTCCGAACGAGCTCCCAGATATCGTCCACCTTTCCATCGATCATAGCTGCGTTCTCACGCCAAGGTACGGTCGAATACTCGGGGAATAATTGTCCATCTTGGAAATCGTAATCGGAGCCGTCAGAATCCACGTCAATGGGTGGCACAATAAGCTGTTCCAATGTCTGTTTTGCGGCATTGCTTAACTGGTTCGTGAGGAAGACCACGGCTCGGACCCAACTTGTCGTGATGATAGGTAGCCAGAGAGGTGGATCGACAAAGAACGGTTCATCCGGCTGGCAGAGTATCTCTTTGGCACCTTTGTCGCGAGAGTGAACCTCAGAAGTAATGAAATGAAGCACACAGCCAAACTTTTCCATGTCAGTGCAAATATCCAAGAACGTCATTTTCAGCATGAATAATGGATTTGTCTTAAGGGGCTTGCAGGTAAGAACGCCAAACTGCGCCTCGTCCAGAGCAGATAGTGGTCTGCGGAGATAGAGCAAAGGCATGGTTCCATGTTCGTTCCTCCCCAATTGAGCATCCCAGACACGATATTCATTCCAAAAGTTGACGAGATCTCGACGGGTCTTCATGCGGTGCTTATCCCACGGAACAAGTTCCAGTGTCATGCGGGCTTCGGTGTACCATTCCTCGGTCTCTAATGCGAGTCCCTTATCTAAATTTGTTGTTGAAAACTTGTCGCGGGTGTGGAGAAACTTTGTCGGAACCGCCTCCACTAGCTTTTGGTACGTGTTTCCCAAATCTTGGGATGTTGCAGGATACATGAGGAAGATGACTAGATGTGTCTTGCTGGGGCGACGGTTCCATACTGGCATCTTGATCGGGAGGCTGTTCGTATTGGATATCTGGATGGCCAGCTCGGTGGGTAAATAGCGACCGAAAGCAGTCGTCACGGCTTTGGCATAGTACTCTCTTCCTAGAATATCTGCTGTCCCGAACTTGAACGGTTCTTCATCCGGATCATGTAACATGGTTCCCCTCCATCCTTGGCCATGGGCCCACAAGGGTCCCCATGATTTGTGAACGGATTTGAACGGCTCTGCTTGAGGATCATCATCCCTCCATATATAGTCTATGTCGTCGAGATTGAACATGGTTTCTTGTGGGGAGCACACGGCACGTCTTGCGAAAACAGAACATTCACCCGAGTCGGGATCCCTCTGTGTGGATAAGAGAATTACCGAGATGCGTCCTCCTTCCCTTGTTGAATATAGATCACGATCTCTGAGAAATCTCCCTGACAGCTGACGTTTGGTCGTTTCATCCGCCGCGATGATTCTTGGCCGACCCGACCGGTATGCTAGGATAGCAAGGGCATAGAGATTGCTTTGACTGTCGCGACGTGGTCCTCCTTTGGCAATAGACTCTAGAAGGCGACCAGGTGGTGACCATACACGGACATTGACATTGGCATTGTGAGTGTCATTTTCGGCTTGGGTAGATGTCCCAAAATACCGGTTGAAATGAGACTTGAGATTGTCCTCGAGTGTTGACTTCACCAGCCTACTAAGCTTCGCTTGGCTCGATGTACACAAATCGGTCAACAAAACCAGGGGCCAAGTGTAATGTGGATCCATGCGATCGTCCGGCATCTCAGATGATCGGCGTTTTGGCGGGGGTAATTTCTCGAGTTCGCGATAAGAAATAAGCTGATGCTGGAAACCTGCGATTCCCGATCCTTTTACTGGGCAAACTTCACCAAATAGAGTAGTTTTCCGCTCGTTTAGGGAAGGGGAAACAAATTTTGAGCGAGGAAGATTGCTAACTCGGGACTATTTTGGTTGAGAACTAGTGTATCTTGGCATTGAGATTCGACAACAACGATGTAAGAAAGATTTTGGTGAAACCGTGGTTTCGAGGGAAGCTTGTGGGCTTAAACCGACCTAAGAGAGAAAGCCCGAGATGCATCATGATATTATGCTAAAAAGCTATAGTCTTGAGTATGTAGTCAAACAGATCTAAATCTAAACAGTGAAGCTATATATTCTTTTAGAGGAGAAGCGTCTTCCTCGAGGTTCATTACTCTCTAATCACGCAGTGTTGGCACAAGTCCAACTTTTGGAAACGGAGTCTTCGTGAATTGCGACACCTGACACCCATAATCCCAACCCGCACTGGAAATGATTAGACACCATAAACGAAATCAAGCAGGAGAAAACTTACAATAGCAAAGGCAATAGCCAAGACCAAAACATTGGTGATCGTCAAAACAGTCTTCTTCCAGTTCTGGAAGTAACGACCCTTGTTCATATAGAACCAAAAGATCGCAGGGAGTCCGACTAATCGAAGTCAGCATTTGTTTTAATCTTGGGAACTTTGATAATGGGAAGGGGTCAATCTTACAGCTGAACCAACTTCCAAAGACCGCACTCTGTAATTTCTGCATCAGCCAACGTTTCGAGTCAAATGAGATTCGATAAAAGACTTACAATCAGACTCAGTAGATCATTGAATACCGGGATAGATTCCGCTACGATCCAGGCAATAACCCAGACTCCGAAGCAGATACCGACCCAGGATCCAATGGACAGGAAGCTTCGGCTGTGCATCTTGTCGGATCCACGGAACATACGTACGTAGATGTATTTGCACGCGACATGACCTAAGACAACTCCGGAAAGGATGGTCTGTATTGAATCAGTAAGGTGGATACAGAAAACAAGCGAATTTAAAGGATAAACTCACTGTCGGAATTGAAAGGCCCCAGGCAATCTTGCTCATCAACGGGCTCAGAGATAGAATGGCAGGCGATTGGACACCGGGGCTGGTGGCTGTTTCCGGTCCCACGTAATGATAGATGAGCAGCGCACTAACAAGGTACAGGACGGTGTCGACGATTTGAAGCATGGCAAGTGACTTGTTGAATGTGCGCGGGTCTTCTGTCTCAGACATGAAGCCAAAGTATGCAACGTGAGCGACTATAAGATGGCCCTTGGATTAGCTCGGTTTACTCTGTCAGGTGTTGATAACCAGCATCTTTTGGTGTTTCACGTACGGTAAGCGAAAATGATGTTTGTTACTGCCAAAAAGCCGTCGCGGAAGCTGACATCCGTGGTAGCCTCGTTCTTAATATGTCCTTTGCTCTCGACTCCCACGGTGATCATGGTCAACACTGTCGCAACGAAGACACTCAAGAATGCTAGGCACAAGTCAGTTAAATTCCCCTCTGAGTTGAATAGTGTCATGACTGCACTAGATGAGGACTGTACTCACAAATGACGGACATCCAGTAGACCTTGTCCATAGTACGAGGCAAAGCGCCCAAAAAGCAGATGATTAGTCCAACAACACCAAACACCAACGTGCAAGTACCGTGATCGGTCAATACATTCATCAAGATGTTGAACATCAGAATGTTACTTGCCATGAGGAAGATCAACAGCAGAAGCTGGCCAAATCCTAGCAACTCACGGCCGAAAGGACCCATCAAGATCTCACCGGCATCTCCCATGCTGTGAACCTCGGGATGACGAAGTTTGAATTGGCCAATGACATAGCCGGTATACCATGAAAGAGCAGAGACAAACAGGATCATGATAGCAGCGCTGTTCAACAATGTTAGTCATGGGGTCTCGAAGCTGTCAAAAGGATTACGTACGGAACCATTCCAAGGGTAGCCACTGCGGATGGCAAAGACAGAATTCCAACAGAAACATTTTCTGCGATCATGACTGGAATTGATGTTAAAAATCGAAGCTCTCGAGGTGCATGATATCTCAAATTTAGCTACTCACGCATTCCACAGTGCCTGTTGACGGATGATTAGCCATGTCCATGATCGAAATCACAATCTTTATGTAGACAATCATAACTTACCACCATTTCATAGTCCGATACTTGATCTCCGCAGTCTCTTCATTTCCAAAAGGCTCCAATTGCTTCGCGTCCAATTTTTTCTCCAAGTCATTTTCGGGGGGTCCATCGACCTTGCCATCCGCGGCATTCCTTCCGTCAAACATACTGACTTTCCACGTGAGTCAAGTCAAGACTTTAGACCCTAAATTGAAAAAACCGATAAGCTCCAAAATGTTTCAATATGTTTCAAGGACTAAGAAGATTCGGGTAACCCCGGCCAAGCCCAAAAAAAACTCTGAAAGCGCTCCGGGGAACTCGGGTGGAGCCGACAGTTTCCCGAAAAAAGATCGGCCCGAGTCGCCGGTTGCGGCCATGTCTACGGCTTCAATTATAATGGAGTTTGAAAAGTGACCTTAGATATATTTTGGTTAGGTGTCTACCTAGCTGTACAGTATATACTATCCAGAAAAACAAAATCGAACAAGCGTGATATATAGCTTTAGTGTGTTTTCATGTCGCCTGGTCGGTAGAAGGGCTGCTTTCTTGTAGGGTGAAGTGTCAATGGAGATGAGATGTCCAATTCGAATCAAGGAAATGAAATGGAAAAGCAACCATGGAAGGGCTGATGAATTCGTTAAATTAATATCTTTTATCAACCGTACATCGTAAGCTCTAACCCCGCGAGCGGGCATGCGGATGACTAAGGCGGGAACAGAAGCGGATCCCCGGCGGAGTTTCCCGCCTTGTATCAACAGTGGTCAACTCCAACGGTTCATCTCAGTAGCGTTGATCCTTGAAACCCGTATAGTCATACCACATGGAAAGCGGCCGTAAACGTGCTTCTTTAGCATGCAACTATTGTCGGAGGCGGTAGGGTCCTATTACTCCATGACCGAGTTTTCCCATGTTGACAGACAAGCAGGAAACGCCGCTGCAATGGCGCGATACCCTCCTGCAGCCTCTGTGAGGATTCAGGCATTGATTGTGTTTATAATGAAGCCGATTCTTCGAGGTAAGAGTCCCGTTTTATTCAAACTCTTGGCAACACTTCTAAACCCTGGTAGGCATCGAGGAGAGACTTCCTCCTCGGAATTCTTCCGCCGTCTTGATGCAATTGAGAGCTTTCTATGGAGTCAGCCGAGACTCCCTCAAACACCCCAGACTGGTGAAACAAGAAGTGGTGGTTTTGCATTCCCATCGTCATCTGAGCATGAAAGAGCGGATTTTTCTCATCCCTCCACCATGTTGATTTCGTCCCCGTCAAGGCCCAACCCCGCGGATATCTCCCAGCTTATCAGTACAAATTCGTCTTCTTTCATACCACCTGAACATGACATCCCGCCTATGAGTATTCCCATCGGGCACACAACAACAACTGAATATATGTTGCATATGAATAGAGTAAAGACCCTCTTCGGAGAGTTCCCACCGGACCTGTTCATACGCGCGGAATCAAAAAGGCATATGCCGCACCAATTATCTTTCGTCCCAGGTACAATTACAGCGAGTCAGCTACCAATACTAGATGAAGCGAACACTTATCCACTGGTGGAGGCATATTTCAAACATGTCCATGTTGAGATGCCAATCCTTGACAAAGATCAATTTCTGGGGCTTTATAATCACCATACTAGAGCCGGTCTAGGTGTCGACTGTGACTCTGCTTTATGTCTTGCAGTTCTTGCATTAGGATCTGCAGCTCTCGAGCAAGTTGATCCAATAAAGTCTATATCTCCATACTGGGTGCCTGGGGCAGACTTCATTTCACCTGCGTTGCAGATATTGATGAACGAATATTTACTGTCCTTTTGTCCCACAATCACTCTGCCCCAGAGTTTGATACTCATTTCGAAATACTTTGGGTTTCTTCTACGCCCCCTGCAATCATGGAAACTGATCCATATGGCTTCAACCAGTATCCAGTATTTGAATAGCCGGTTAGTTGATACTTCCTCTCCATTCTGTTCAATATCAAATATACTGACCAAGTATCTGTTTACGATAGAAGCCAAGCTTCTCCAGATAATCATGAGCTCAAGTCCAGTATTATTCTACTATCATGGGCAGCATTCGACACCGAGTGGTTGGTCTTCCGATTCAATTTGGATGACCCACTTTTATGCTAATATTCATGGCAGTGATCTGATCGCTGAACACCATTTACCACGAAGTGGTATCGAACATGTAATTGATCTGACACCTTTCCCAACCTTTGCAAATCATGATGCCCAAGAAACACACGTCTTCCTTGCTGAACTGTCTGTCCGTCGTCTGCTCAATCGAGTACACCACACTATGTACGGAAGTGATTGGACAAGGCGCAGCCTTGGTCTACAGCCAGCTTCAAGCGGCAGCCCATCGTATGACTTCCAGTCACTCTCTACAATACTGAGCGTCTCTCAAGAGCTTGACCGACAGCTTGACAATTGGTTTAATTTGTTGCCGGGAACAATTAAACCAGATATTAACGATCCCTCTCGATGTACTGGCCTTCAACTTAATATGCTCCATCGCTTTCACTCCGCCAAAGATATCATAACCAGACCATTCCTCCTTTGTGCAATCGACTCATCGCTTGAGAATGATCTTCCACCAATGGTGCTCAAACAGTGCGAGTCTAGTATAGTCAATTGCCGAGCGTATCTGGATGCCTCGGCGCGGAGACTGAGGGGGCCATCATCTTGCGCGGAGATCATTATTCATACGTACGTTCATAAGATACTCCATACTCAAACTCAACTCACCTTTGACTCTTTTAGGATGTTCTCTTCTATTCTTCTCATGACCCTAGGCTCTGTTTGTCCGGCTTTGGCGCAGTTGGTACCAGATATTGATATTCTGCAGAAGAACACGATAGAGAGTATCGAGCGATTTGCCGTGGACTGCTCTTCGATCCAGGAGATTCATGGGATTATTATGTTATTGCATAGTAAAACACGAGTGCTTAGGCGGTCTATGTGATTGCTTTGATTTCGGATTCTCTTGTTCCGAGTTAGGATAAGCAGTCTGCAACGCTTCAATAAAAAGAGCAATACCACACGCCAGTAGGTGGTATTAGTAAGATCCATTAACCTTCCAGGGTTTCACCCTTTTTGTTTTATATATCCTTTTCCTTAAGTGTAGTAACCTGTGAGTTGACAATGCAAGGTCCACCTAGACTCTGTTGAATGGGTTCCCGCGGCGGATAATCCCGTCAGGACCACTAGGGCAGTGTAGATTTCTTTGTTCGATATCTATGCAATTATCATTGAGCCTTTTCAAGAATAATACAAATGTAATGCACTATCAAAATCTATTCAAATAAGAAAAAATCCAACCAAACTAACTCTAGACCGGTTTGACAACTTTTGTAAATAATATGTAACAAATAGAGAGAACCATTCCTACCTGTATACATGGCACGGGCCAAACGGATGAATATTGACCCAGCCCCACGTTGCTTCACGAAGGGATGCCACCCCAAGGCTACCGCGAAGAGCTGGCATTGCTCTTCGGACCAACCATGAATCAAATTATGCTGGTCCAGGGTGAATCCAGATCCCAATGTAGCCAGTTCTGGGTATGAATTCATGGGCCCCCTTGCTTCGGCTCGCACCGACTGACTAATCTAGGACTCGCATAATGCGTGGCTGTCACCTTGTGTATTGCCCTATCTAGCATGTGTCCCGGTCATAATAGTATTGCTTATTGCGTTAAGCCATGTACTTGGATACTTCTGCCAGAAATGGCGCCCCAAATGGACTGTTCCTTTTGTTTCCGAGCAACATGATACCCAAGAAATTCCGCTAGATCAGCCCAAGCAACCATTGCGATGGACTATCTCTCTTCTTATATTTTCGGCCACTGGGCTTCTAGCTGAAACACTTCAATTTGTTCCTCCGAGAATTGACCCCTCGGCTTTTGTGCTTGTTCTCTCATGGGTTAGTTATCATCGTCTCTAAAACTATTAGTTTACTAACACCCTTCCTTAGGCCACAGCATCTATTCTGGTCGCAGTCAAGCGGCTCAGATCATGTTCCATCTCGATGCTCGCATATTATGTCTTAGCATTTGCAATTGAACTTTCTTTGGCGACTCACCCAGACGTATGTCCGAAATTCAAAATTGTTGCTCGCTACATCGCCGCAGCGGCGGCCGCCGCAGCCTGTGCAACAATTCTCCTCATGCCATTCCGTGAACCTTCATTGCCATCGATAGATATCAGCGCCGTTGGTCAACAGCCATCCGATGACTTCCGGAGTCCAGAAGATAATCTAAGACTTTGGCAATTCCTCACAGTATCATGGATGGCACCGCTTATCTCAACTGGATGCAAAAGACAACTACATGAACAAGATGTCTGGTTACTTGGATTTGACTTTCAGCACAGCCGACTACATGAGAAGTTTCGTCGGCTTCGTGGCTCTGTCCTTAGTCGACTGTTGAGAGCCAATGGAATTGATGTTTTTATCATCTCTACCATATCGCTTGTACAAATGATATGCGGTATGGAAATTTAGGTATCTTCTTTTGTTTTGTTTCGCTAATAATATTAACAGATTTTTCCACGCCCGTTTTATTGCAGCAACTATTGCAGGCCATGAAAGACCCATCTCGACCAAAACGCGTCCCTTTGACCTACGCTTTCATGTCTTTCGCTCTTCGACTTGTTGCTGCACAGTCTCAAGTATTGCTTCTGTGGTACGGAAGACGAAGCTATGAACGGTCGAGGGGTGAAATGATCATGATGGTCTATGAAAAAGCGCTTTCACGAAAGAACATCTCTGGACTGATGATCGAGGGCAACTCAGGGCCACCCGGCGAAGAAGCAAATGGAATAAATGATGAGGCCGCAGTCCAAGAACACCATGAACCCCCATCCAAAAGTGTGGAAGGTTTTTGGAAACGGATCATCTCTTGCAACTCAAAGGCCCCTCAAAAACAGGCCAAAGAAGCTGCATCACTGGGTAAAATCTTCAATCTCTTGCGCGGAGACGTATATGAAGTTGCACAGAGATTTTGGGAGGTTGACTCGTTGATTGACAAGCCAATAGGGCTGCTAATCGCTACCTTTCTTGTCTGGACACTCTTCGGTCCATCTTGCTTCCTGGGAATATTAGCTGTTGTGGTTGCACAAATCGTGAATGCCCTGGTGACTAGAGCTCTCCTCCGCTGGGAGCGGGTCAGACGAGTGGCAACGGATACAAGACTCCAAATAACTTCGCAATTTGTGGAAGCAATCCGTCACCTTCGATGGTACGGGTGGCAGAATCATTGGCTTCAGCAGGTAATGGATGCCCGACAACATGAGTTGAATATTCGGATTGTGACTAGTCTGTGGAGTATCTTGATTCGCTTTATCAACGCTTTCGCCAGTGGCGTGTTTCCAGTGGTTGCGTTGTACGCATATACCTTTTTGGCCGGGCATGAGCTGCGGATTGATATTATCTTCCCCGCATTGCAGTTGTTTACCATGCTAGAGACACGTCTTCGGGATATCCCTGGTCTTATCACATCGCTTATCAATGCGTTCATCGCCCTTGGGCGTATTGAGGACTTCATGTCCGAACCAGACAAGGAGATTCTGCCTTCTGAACCCCTGCCGAACGACACGCCACTCTCCATGCAATCCTGTTCGTTCGCATGGCCAGGAAAGGCCTCACCCGTTCTTATTGATATCGATATCACGATCCCCAAAGGACTGACTGTTGTCACCGGCAAGGTCGGTGCTGGAAAATCCGCGTTTCTGCAAGCTCTTTTAGGAGAACTCGACAGACTTAGCGGCTCAGTCCATATTCCAAACGAAATGGTGGGATACTGTGCTCAAACACCGTGGCTACAGAGCATGAGTATTCGTGATAACATTCTATTCTCCGCTCCCTACCATGACCAGCGTTACAAGCGGACACTAGAAGCCTGTTCCTTGCTTCCGGATCTTGCTCAATTCAAACATGGTGATCTATCGTTTGTGGGTGAAAATGGCATTGGTTTATCAGGCGGACAAAAAGCGCGAGTAGCTCTGGCAAGAGCTGTCTACAGCGCATCGCGGGTTCTCCTTTTGGATGATCCCTTGTCTGCGTTAGATCACAATACTGCGGAGTTAATAGTCCGCAAATGCTTTTCGGGGCCGTTGATGAAAGACCGAACTATCGTTCTAGTGACGCATCGAACTACGTTGGTTCGTCAAATTGCGGATCAAATCATCAATATTTGTGAAAAGCATGCCACTATTTACGACAAGGATACCATCAAGCTTGACGTGAACGAGTCGTCTCTGCAGTTTATCGACCATGAAAATGAAACAGAAGTGGAAACCACCCTTGAAGAGGAAATAGCTGCCGTGCCTGATAAATTCATCGAGGAAGAACATCGAGCAGACGGGGGTGTCAAGGCTCGAGTCTACTGGAATTATGTTAAGGCAGGAAAGTACCGATGGTGGCTTACCCTCGTCCTGATCCTGACAAGTTACCGACTGATGGCTGTTGGTCAATCATGGTTCCTCAAAGGGTGGGGAGAAGCCTACGATCAGACAACTGTTCTTCAAGGGGATTTCTCAGACTCGAACAGGTCATCACAAGGCACCTGGTCAATTCCACTGAACATAGACACATACTTTACCCCTCAAACCCCTATAGACCAACTGCCGTCTCCGCGTGAGGATGTGCGACCCTGGCTATGGACATTTTTCGCTATTATCTCTTTCCAAGCAGCCACGCTACTTGTCGCTCAGCTTATAATGCTGGTCATTGTTTACTATGCTGGGCAGTCCTTGTTCCGACGGGTCTTGGTCCGAGTCAGCCATGCGACCTTCCGATACTTGGGTATGTTCTATACCTTGACTCAACACGACGCAGCTAACCCACTATTCTAAAGATACAATCCCTCTCGGGCGCTTGATGAACCGTCTCACATCTGATATTGGAGTAGTTGATGGCAACATTAGTGAGCAATTCCAGGTGATCGCGTTCCAGGCTATCATTTGGATCTCCTCCATCCTGGTAATAGCAACTGCTACTCCGGTATTTTTGTTATTCTCCCTAGCTCTCACAGTAGCGTTTGTCCTGGTATTCCTGCGTTTCCTTCCCACATCTCAGAGCCTACGACGACTCGAGATGGTGTCCCTAAGTCCTTTGTTGTCCAACTTCGGCGAGTTATTGCACGGTCTGACCACTGTCCGAGCTTTCCATGCAGAGTCGCAGTTCCAGAACCGGGTTATATCCGTGGTTGACAAATTCCAGGGAATGGATCATTTCTACTGGTCACTCCAGAGCTGGCTCATGTATCGGTTTGAGAGTTTATCCGCTTTTTCAACCTTCTGTCTAACAGCTCTGGCTTTGTACACCAATACTACACCAGGACTGGTAGCATTCGTGCTTATTGCTGCGAACAATTTCGTCGATTCCACACATGCCTTGTGCAAGCAGTACGGTCAACTTCAAATGGACTTTGTGTCGGTAGAGCGAGTCGACGAGCTACTCCACATCGAAGAAGAAACCCCTGGTACCATCGCTCCCCCAGCTGCATGGCCAACTTACGGCAGCGATGTTGTCTTCGAAGATGTAACTCTCCGTTACGCACCGCATCTCGACCCCTCACTTATAAATGTCTCTCTTCGCATCCCCGGGGGATCCACTACCGCGGTTACCGGCCGTACTGGTAGCGGCAAGTCAACACTGGCAATGTCCCTTCTGAGCGTCATCAGACCTGAGGCCGGTCGCATCCTCATCGACGGCATCAATATCGCCGACGTCAGCACACAAGCATTACGCACCCGAGTTACCTTCGTCGCACAAGATCCCGTCCTCTTCCCTGGCAGCATCAGACTCAATCTGGACCCAACGGAAGAATATTCCGATGAGCTGTGCACTGAAGTCCTGGAGCGTCTGTGTAGTCGACACGGCTGGCATCTTGGGACACATATTGAAGCTGGAGGAAGGAATCTTAGCCAGGGTCAACGGCAACTCATTGCTCTTACACGGGCTGTCCTTCGTCGTAGCGCGATTGTCATTCTCGATGAGGCGACTGCTTCTGTTGATCATGATACCTCTCTTGAGATTCAGCAGATTATCCGGGAGGAGTTGCAGCAGTCTACTGTCATTACGATTGCGCATCGCATAGAAGCTGTCAAGGATGCGGATTACTTTGTCGTTCTAGATCAGGGGCGGGTTTCGAGACAGGGGAATGTGCGGGATCTGTAGAATTGGTATTCATCGATCCGAACAGCGGCCATCGGCACATATCAAGATCATTTGTACACTCGAATGTGAACAACCAGAATATTCCCAATGTAGAAGGCCGAAAATAAGGGCCCTGGCAGAAGAGGGACTTGTATATAATTTCTCAAAAGGGTATCTAATATTCACAGCTTGGCACCGCCCTGTGCCTTCTTCAGGATAGGCTCCATCTTGGTCGCCTTCATGATGTTACCCTTGATCTTCAACTTGCCACCCATGAACAAACGCTGAGCGTTGGCCTTGCCGGAAACGAGCTGGGCAAAGTCGGCATCGGAGAGGGAGAGGGTCACTATTAAAGGAGAGAAATTAGCATTTGTATGTATGAAATGCGACACATCAACACGTAGATCAGGAATGTAGACTCACCATCAGCCTTGCTGCCAGTGGGGGCAGCACCCTGTCCAACCTCGCCCTTGTTCTTGAGATCGAGGTACCAGGCAGCCTCCTCACCACTGGAGTTCTTCAGGTTGAAGGCGAAGATGGCCTTGGCCTGGGAGAGGGCATTCTTGCGGTCGGCTTCGTTGGCCTGGAGCGTCTGGTTGATGACGTCGAAGGCAGCGGAGGAGGGGTGGGAATCTATTTTGGTTAACTGGTACGGACGAGGATAGACAGATAGAAAAGGGGGCGTACCTTTCTTGAGAGACATGGTGAATATGGTACAAGTGTGAGTTGGTAAGTCAAGGCGGGTGACCGACTATAAATGACAATCTGCCAGAGCATGTGAACTGACTAGACCGTCCGCGGGTGCCGAGGCCCCCAACCCACATCTTCCCCACAAGCTCTCTCGTGTCTGTGATTCTTCCATGCTTTTTTGGTTCTTTTTCTTCTTGATTCTCTGGGATTTTGCCCAGAATTGACTAAGATCTGCACTTCTCTTATTCCCGAGGTTTCAGTTCCTCTCTTTCAGTCTTCCCCGTGTTGACATTCCTCCCCCTTCCCCCCGACTCCACATAAACCGCGCTTGTGTTGCATTGAGACCTGAATGTTGCACAAATGCGGTATTCACCGCAATACTGCTACATTCATTAGCATATGCTGATCCTCCCTCGGAAGAGAACTTTGCGAACCCTTTCTGACGTCATCTCCAACTAAACACCGAAGACCGCAGCAATCGCTTCATATGATCCGGGCTCCCCCACAGCAGCTCGCGTGTCCGGGATTGCGCTTTGGCCAAGCTTCTTGGTGTCCTCTGCCCCTTTTTTATTGCTGCAAGGCGCAAATCGCCTTCTATAACTACTTCAGGCTGAATTCCGCTAGACTCAACACTGTTAGCACATCCACGGTGTCGGTGTCGCGCTGACCCTGCTTTCACCCTTCGCCGCCGCTGAGTTGTGTCAATGGCGCGAGCGCGTCGTCCCAATTATCACTGCGGAACACCACGTTTTGGAAATTGAACTCGCGCAGGGAACTGCGATGTTCCTGGATGGAAGACACCACTTGTGACGCGTACATTGTTGCATTGACCAGTTCCATCTGTTGAAGATGTTGGAATTTCAATGGCCGTAAGGGTAACGCGCACTTCTGAGGGTATGCTTGACTTGGCCCCCCTTTGGCTGCGTTGTTGAGGCTCGGCTCTGTTGCAAGTGACAAGGGCGAGAGGCCCCTCTCGCCTTCCCAATGAAACACTAGTCTTTGCAGAGATGGGAAGCTACCCAAGGATGCATGGAGGAGCTTGAGTTGGTTTGTCGGTTGACCTGGCTTATGGCCGAAACTCGTCATATGGACCGTAAGCTTGCGGGCCTGGGACCAGCGCTTGCAAGATGCAGGCGAAGCCCCATATCCTGGAGCTGGACGCAGGTAAAGAACTGCTCCTGGGTGGACTAATGGCAGTGACAGGGTGTGCAGATATTTCAATGGTGCTTGTTCGATTGCCATCGGCAATGAGATCAATGCATAATCAACTACACTTCGGCGGTAGCGATGGCTTGGTACTTGACCCTCGCAGGAGATTCGCAGATGCTGTATGCCGCTCATCATCGTCAACGCCTGGACAAATGAAGGGATGTTGGTAGATGTATGGAACACAGGCGGATACTGCTTGACTAACAGCTTTGTCATTTACCGGCCGGCTGTCTAGGGTTACTACTGCCAAGTTGGCACCGTTGTGGTGTGTAGATGAAGGTTTGTTCTTTCCCCATAATTAGATCCAGGATTGGAGGCAAGAAGGTCTCCTTATCATGTGAAATATTAAACGTCATGGCCTGGACGTGTCCGTCAATGTGCTCCAAAGCTGCCATTCGCGATGGCCTGTTGAAGGTGCTGGTGCGAAAACGGACATCGATATCCACGAACAGAATTGGTACGAGATAGACAGCGAACTTGCGACATACTAGACGGCAAGCAATCAGATCCTCGTTCTCTAGATAGCTCGTGAGAATTCGTTGGATGCGCTTCGTCTTCTATAGTCGGGCTGGTCCCTGTTCTGATGCCATGAGATCGATCATTAGTTCATACAGAAACCTTTCGCACATATATATCACCGAGGCAGCAGCTCGCTTGATCGACAGACGAGCTCTACACGTAGATTATTGGTAGTAGAAATAGACTAAGTTTAATATTTCTCAATTCCTGCTCAACATATACATACAAATCTCCTGTCTTCAGTCCTCACATTGAATGCACTTACACACCGTTTATTCCCCCTGGTTTATGTTTCAGCTACATGTAAGCGATATTTCCCCTGGTCTAGATATCGGAACCAGTTGTAGCCTGAGCTGCACGTCGAATCTTGTACTCCTACTTGTCTTACAACATGGGATTCGACAATTCCTCCAGCCCAGGCACTATATGAGCTATACCAACCTCTCACAGTCATGATCGAAATGTTGAAACTACTCCTCCGATATGGCTGAAACTAGAACTACATAGATGGTGCCTCGGGTGTCTAGTGCCAAATTTGGATATTAGGGCAAGTGACACCCAACCCTGTATTAGTTTGTTTGGCGCGTGACGCGCATGGTCACGTGCTGATAAGAGCGCGTTTACAATGAAAGGTTGTGCAGCGATGCAGGGAAATGCGTAGAATCACCAACATACTTCTAAGTATTCATCTCTATATTACTAAAGGACATTTTCTGTAAGACCTGAATACTTCTGTACTACATATAACAATGAATAAATCTACAGAGCCTGAAGGAGGCTCAAGTAAAAGTGCCTCGTGGAACCTTTTAGGTGCTCACAACTACGGCAGTAGATAGCGGCCATTAGGAGATTTTGTCTTAAATGGCCTTCAAAATCCACCGCTCTCACCTCCGCCTTCTTCAAAGTCACTTCTTATATAACATGTAACTCTATACTTGCTGATATAGGACTTAAAAAATCTGAATATCTAGTTAATTTAAGATGATACCAAGGTGATAACAAGGTGATATGAAAGGGGTTCCAAATGCTGTCTTTTTTTCTCTCTTTTGTAAGGTCTTTTTAGGTGCCTCTTCAATATCTCTTAAAGAGTCTTTCGAAATGTCTTTTTTAGATGGCCAATTTTCTGCTGGCAATAAAAGTCAACAGGAACAAAGTCCTAGTGGTCGCTATGTATGGCGATAGATGATGACATCTTGGGCGAGAACTTCAACTTCCCCCGCAAGGTGAACACCTCGACCCCGGGGGCCAGCTGAACGGTCGCAAAGAGCGTCGATACTTGTGCTTTCTCCATCGGATCTTTTGCATTATAAACACGACCGCTCTCTCATTTTTGCGATCGCCACCTCTTCGCTCCCGAGGTCCTACAATCCGCTCCGTCAACCACATATTCTCTCCGGTGAATCGTCGATGAGCACTCGATGTAAGTCTACATCCTCTGCAAATACCCGGATTAGGTGACATAGAGACACAGTGTGATAAATTGCTTTTGTACTTTCTTTGTCTCCGTCACTGTGCCATCTGCCACCACCCGCTTTCTGCCTTGCTGTTTGCTGATGAGAACCCAAGTTTCGCCGATTGATTCTCCCAGCACACTGCACTCTTCATCTTAGGTGCCCACTTGACGTCGTAGCTCCGTTGATCTCGGACTTTGTCTTTTGTCCAACCCGTCACACCCATCGCCGTCGCCGCTCTACCGCGCTATCAACGATCGGGATAATTTGGTCAGATATCTTGGTCTTGAAAGGTTTCACGGTCAGCGCCAGGTGCTCATGAAGCCATGGCTTCTTCGGTCGATCAGTCCCAAGAGGACAAAATCAAAGATCTTCTAGAAGATCTCGATACCTACAGATACATCTACGATGATCTCCTCGCGACGCGGGGGGCTTGTGAAGAAGCAGACGAGCTTCGTGATACCATCAGGAATATGGAAGTCCAGGTTGCCGCGCTCCTTGGTAGTCCTGTTTCTGTTCCTCAGGCTACCCCAACACCCCAAGTGTCGTCGCCCACTCCGCCGGTCCGGACGCCTGCCCGGACGCCTGCCGCTGCTCCACGCATGCCGTCGAATGCTTTCACTGGAATCCCGGGGGATTCATTTGCATCCCCTCACTGGCCTTCGGCTGCGCCCTCGCCTTTCGCGGCCGGTTCCCGCCATTCGACAATGCCGCCAGCTTCACCAATGATACAGTCTTCTCCAGATAATTCTCGTAAACGCCAGCGTCCACTATCTCACATCTCGCCCACGATACAGGGATCATCAAAAAGAGTTGCTCCCTCGCAGACTGCATCTCGCAGGTCTCAACTCGACGCGATAGATGCCGAAAAAGAAGCCACCGTTGCCGAGAGTAACCGCGTGTACAACCAATGGATCGATGCGGCAGGTGATGATCTAGCTCATGTAACGGAGCTCCGAGAAGAGCGTGATGAGCAGGCGAAGTTGATTGAAGGAGAGTTTCAATTGAAACGAGACGAGGAATTGGCTCGTGTGCTCCAAGCCGACGAGGATCACAGTCAACTCCCCAACGGCGGCTTCAATGAGCAGGATGGATGGGATCTGCCAGACCGCAGTCAACCGGTAAAACTCGAACCTTTTTCATCACAAGCCATTCGCGCCCGTCAAGAACATGCCCGGATAGCCCCATTCAATAAACTCACTCCATTCAGTTCCGACGATGATCTTCAAGAAATCACTGCTGATTCATTTAATTCTCGATCCGGCAAGCAGCCAGCTCGCCAATCTAATTCCTTCGCCTATCCACACGTGTCTTCTCTCCCCTCGCCATATTCCTCAAATGCACCCTATCCCTCGCAGATGCCATATCCCTCTCAATTGACATACCCCTCCCAAATGACATACCCCTCTCAATTGACATACCCTTCCCAAATGTCGTATCCTTCCCAAATGGCCTATCCTTCCCAAATGGCCTATCCCTCTCAATTGTCAAATCCCTCGAAAATGTCCTATCCCACATCAGCAGTTGCCTCCAGAGTTCTGCCCTGGGCGCGTGACCTTTCACACACTCCAATGCCTGGTGCATTTGACAAGTTTGACAAGTTCGAGAAGGCTTTTGACCTGGTTCGCAACCAGAACGACATATTCGATGACGATGCTGACATAGTGTATGTTCCGCATCTTTCTTTTTAAAGCATCTATTTCTGATTCTAACTCGTTCAATATAGGGCTTACAACGAGAAAGAGTTCCCCGAAGATATCAAGAACTTACTTGGCGGTATCAAAGACATTCGAGAAGCAACTAGAGCGGACAATGAGGAGACACCAAATGCGCTTCGAGTCACATTGATGAAACACCAGAAGATCGGCCTGAAATGGATGAAGGCCAAGGAAGAGAGCAATCACAAAGGAGGAATCCTTGCAGATGATATGGGCCTCGGTAAGACTATCCAAGCGATTGCGCTGATGGTTGCCCGTCCATTCGAAGATGAAGACCGACGCCCGACTTTGATTGTCGCGCCTAAGGCACTTATGGATCAATGGAGACTCGAAATTCAGCGCCATGTCAAGCCAGGAAGGCAACAATTATCGGTTTTGATCTACCATCAACGGCGCAGGCCCTGGAAAGAGCTCAAAAAGTACGATGTCATCATCACGACGTTTGGTACCATCACTGCGCACTACAAAACATTGCTCGGGGCGGAAAAGATGGCAGAGGAAGGGCACCATGCTTCAAACGTTCAAGAGCGCAAAGAGTTGGCGGGTCCTCTCAGCCCTACCGCCAAGTGGCACCGAATCATCATCGATGAAGCACAGAACATCAAGAATCCAAGCGCGAAGTCTTCAATGGCATGCTGTCGACTTAATGCTACCTACCGTTGGTGTCTGACTGGTACACCCATGATGAATCGTCTCGAAGACTTCCAGTCCCTATTGGGATTCCTCCGGATTAGACCTTACAGCAACCCAGCAAAGTTCAAGGCGGTCAGTACATTCTACAGCCCAATGTTGATACTTCTCTAGGTGACTAACATTCATATTTTATACAGGATTTCGTCAAACGCATCAAATCTGGTTGGGGAGGAGAGGATGTTATGAAGCAACTACGCGTCCTAGTCAAGTCTGTCTGTCTCCGCCGTACAAAATCCTCCAAGATTGATGGCGAGCCCATCTTGCAACTCCCACCAAAAGTCACCGAGAAGGTCCATGTTTTGTTTGATGAGAGGGAAAGCCAGGTTTATGAGGAGCTCAATACGTCTACTCAAAGGCAAATCACCCGATACCTCGACTCCGGAACGCTGGGCAGAAACTACAGCCACGTTCTAGTTCTGCTTCTTCGTCTTCGGCAGGCATGTTGCCATCCACTCCTCATGCAAGAGTTCCGAAACGAACCTTCCCCGTCTATGCCAGGGGTAGATAAGATCGCCAACGCCAAGCTTCTGAGCGCTGCTGTAGTGCAACGTATCAAAGAAAATGACGGCGAAGAGGATGGGACTTGCCCTGTCTGCATGGACAGTGTCAAGAATGCGACTATTTACATTCCATGTGGACACCATGTGTGCTCGGAGTGCTGGATCCGCATTTCCGACTCCGCAACTGCAAATGGAGCCATCAACCTCGAAGACGATGGTCCAACTGTGATCAAGTGCCAGAATTGCCGAGGACCCGTGGACCCTGCGAAGCTCACCGACACTAATGCATTCAAGCAAGTTCACGATCCAAGCTCGATCCCTGAATCTACTGCCGGAGATGGTGACATCAACGGGGCCCAAGACGAAGAAGACTCAGAAGCAACAGCGAGCAGTGATGAGTATGACTCCGATAGCTCTACTGAAGAAGGCGAGGGGGGATCAAAGAAGAAATCGAAGTCTCTGGCCGAGCTGCGGAAGGACGCCTTGAAGAACAAGGCTGAGAAAAAGAAATACATTCGCCGTCTCGAGAAGGGCTGGTTCCCTAGCACAAAAATTACAAAGACGCTTGAGATCCTCCAAGCCAATGAAGACCGCGGCTTAGAGGAGAAAACCATCATTTTCAGCCAGTTCACCTCCCTCTTGGATCTTCTCGAAGTCCCCCTCGCGCGTCGCGGCTGGAATCACACCCGCTTCGATGGCAGCATGAACCTGAAAGAACGCAACGCCGCCGTGACGGCTTTCACCAACGACCCCGCATGCAAGGTCATGCTCGTCTCCCTCAAGGCCGGTAACTCCGGCCTGAACCTCGTCGCCGCCTCGCATGTTATCATGTTCGATCCTTTCTGGAATCCCTATATTGAAGACCAGGCTGTTGATCGTGCACATCGCATCGGGCAGGTTCGAGAGGTCTTTGTTCACCGTTTGCTTATTGAGAATACCGTTGAGGATCGCATTGTTACTCTCCAGGATCAGAAGCGTGAGCTTATTAGTGGCGCTCTCGATGAGGGTGGTACTATGAATGTTTCCCGGCTGGATACCAGGGAACTTGCTTATCTCTTTGTACGTTTTTACCTTGATCTCTTTTCTCGTCTTCTACTTGTACTGGAATATTTGCTAACCACTTATTTATCATACAGGGTGTGAGGGACTTGTAATCATGCTTGATTGCATGTGTGCCGCTTGCCAGATGATCTCGATCTCAAAAACCGAGGATAATCCGATGATATGATTGCTATTTTATTTTCTGCCATATCCAAGTGATGGGTGTTTGGCGCAGAAACCAGGTGCTTTTTTTTGCTTTTTTTTGTTTTTTTCGGAGGCCAATGATTCCTATACCCTGGTGTTTTTGTTCTGTCTCGTGGAGAGGGCGCGGTGCGCTCTTCAATAATGTCTAAAGGCCAGCATTTACAGTCTTTTTTTTTGGGAAACATCTTTATTACTCGCGGTTCAAGTAGTTTCTAGTATTCAACTCAACGAGGCTTTCAGATATGTAAATCTATCTGTTTTGGTGAATATTCAGAGTAAAAAAAAAAGTTTTAAATCTTGTTGAAAGAGGACATGCTTTTTTTTGGATGTGCTCATTTCAGGGAGGGGAAAAAAAGGACAATTGGGATGTGAGTGTCTAAGCTACTAAGGTTGGGGGAAATCAAAAAGGAAAAAAAATGCATGTCTTCAAACCACGACTATCCCCCATCCGCTTTCATTGTATCGTGATTTCGGAGAACAGACTTTGCTTTTGCAGTGCAAAACCCAAACTAAAAAAAAAGGCAATCCCCGGGAGTCGTATACTTCCTGTCTCCCACCAGTCGGTTGTGAGATGGGACTCGGGAAACGTGGGGAAGAACAGGGGATCGCGACTCCCAACTTTCATTTCGGAAACATCGTGGACCCGTCGTTGAGCGCACCAATTTACAGGTCGGCATCGTCCTCGTCGGGGAGGGGCTGGTTGGCGGCCTCCTCCATCTCCTTGCGGTAAGCCTCGAGCTGCTTCTCGTCGACAGTAACCTCGGGGGGAGCAAGGGCAATTCCGGCGACAAAGTCCTAAAAGATAATCAGTCAGTTTCGATCGGCTCGTATTCGAGTCAAGGCATAAAATGACGTACGAGCTGGGGGTTGCCGACAAGCTTGCGAGCGAGCCAAAGGAAGGGCTTCTCGAAGTTGTAGTTGGACTTGGCGGAGATGTCGTAGTACTGGAGGTTCTTCTTGCGGTGGAAGGTGATGGTCTTGGCCTTGACCTTGCGCTCCTTCACGTCGACCTTGTTACCGGTGAGGACGATGGGGATGTTCTCGCAGACACGGACAAGGTCACCTAGATTTCTGTTAGTCAAAAATTATCTAGTTTGGCTCACGATCAGAAAGGGTCACTCACGGTGCCAGTTGGGGACGTTCTTGTAGGTGATACGGGAAGTGACATCGAACATGATGATACCACACTGGCCGTTGATGTAGTAACCATCACGGAGACCACCGAACTTTTCCTGACCAGCGGTATCCCAGACATCGAACTGGATAGCACCATAGTTCTGTTCAGGTCGGGTTAGTTGCAAGGATCACACCATGGCACAGTTCGAAGCGGGGTTCTTCGGCGGGGTAATAGCATACGGTGTTGAAGTTGAGGGGGTGCACCTCGACACCAAGGGTGGCGATGTACTTCTTCTCGAATTCACCAGTCAAGTGGCGCTTGACGAAGGTGGTCTGTTGGATTCACTGTGTTAGTAATGAAGTCGCGGTGAGGCGGGGCCGTTGGGCAGATATTTAGTATCGATGACAGGCGCGGGGGCAGAGGGCGGTCACGTAATAGTAGCTCAGTGTATCCATGAATATCATGAGATGACCACCGCTGCGCACATGGCTGCCACTCTGAACCCATGCCCATCAACGATCAGATATCGAGGCTCGAATGCGCTTACCTTTCCAGTACCGCCGTCACCGACCAGGACGAGCTTGAAAGTGGGGGTCTCAGCCATGATTAAAATGGGTTAGAGAGAAACTTGAAGAAAAGAAAGATTCAAGATTTCGCGCCGTAGGGATGGGGGCGGGTTGTTGATAGAATGGAGGGGTGAAAGAAGGGGAATGAATTAATAGCGTTGGATGGAATTTTTGCCCCGTTGCTGCGGGTCACGTGTATGTTTGCCTCAGGCGCTCTGACGTAGTGTTCAATATCGCGCAAACATATTTGAAGTCGCTACTTTAGATGACAATTTTTTATTAAAGTGCAGAGAAAATGTTCATGATGAGCTCTTCTTGTATTCGTCCTCTTATCGGCTTATTGAAATAAATTTTGATGGTCAGGTCTTCGCCTGCCGAGTTATCTTCAGCGCCGTTGCTATGATACGGTTTCCCATCTCTCTTTACAGGAACCCAAGTATTTTGTGGAAAACAGGCAGAAAAGACGTCTCACATTAGTCATAAGCGGTACATATCGTCAGTGTACACGGTGATAGCAAAATCGGGTTATGCTTGTTAGTCTGAGTGGAAATGTCCCTTTATAACGGAACCAAGTGACATCCTAGAAGGCCACGGCCGCCCCAATTCTGTCGAGGGGTGAGCTGGAGGTCCAACTCTGTGTCAGTGTTTCCTTCATCTTTCCGACTGACTTTGACCGATACTGCCCGCTGTGGAGAAAGAGAGTCAGACATGTAAGTATTCTGACAGAGAGGTAGAGAACCAAACGTACCCCTTCATTTTCTTGAACTACTTGCGCAACCTTTAAAAGGCGCTCGTGGTTCAGCCAATTGATATTCCCAAAACTTCGGATTGCATCGCCAATTTTCAGTCCCGCCAGGTCTGCTGGACTTCCTGAAACCACGCTATTGACCTTGGCAAAGGGTGTCCCCAACGCGGTGTTATTCGTCAATGATTGAGTAGTCGGTGGGACATTGGTGCCATTCGTAGTTGGGCCGTCACCTTGCGTGTTTTGTAGGTTGGTGAAATGTGCGTGGACACCCTTCTCGATAAGTTGCATCACCTCCTTGTGGTCGTTCCGTAGGTGGATAATGCGCACACGCGTTGTGCGAACTATAATCTCCCTTCAGCGATATATCCTGATCGACTGTGGTATGGTAGGGGCGTACCTTGCGCGATGTCGATATCATCACGGGGGAAACCGTCGAAGGTAGTAAGAGATGAAGTCATGCGTACTCCATGCTGAAATGAAAAGTCATGTTAGAAACTGCGATAAGAATCTCCAGGTCTGAAATCTCACCGACTGGAGGACGCTACTAAGAGCTGACAATTCCGCCTCGATGCGTTCTTTCTCCTGCATCAGATCTGGCATCGACAACTTGGATAGATCACGAGGAGTGGCCCCGGACGCCGGTCCAGAGGCAACAGTTGGAGCATGAATATTATCGTCCATGATTATTTGAGTAAAGAAAGAAAGTGAGAGAAGAGGAAGGTCAGGTGGGTCTTGGGGGGGCACCTGCGCAGCCCTGGAGCTCCCGCTATTTTTATATAAGCGGCGATGCTTGGCACTCGAAGTATACGACTCTTAACTTCTTCGAGTTAAAAGCTTCACTTTCAGGACATCACACACATCTTATATGAAATGAAAAGGCTCAACTACTCACCAGAAGATAAAACATAAAATGTGTTATTTCAATTCCAGCTATCTCGCTGCCTCACCTCATGACGTACATGGATGGGATTCAAATTCGCAATCTCTACTCTGTACTGCCTGGATAGTGGCAGTTTCCCCTGTTTTCTGTATATACACTTTCCACCATCGGAAATGCAGATGAGGCAGGTACTCCGCGTTGCTCCTCCCTCGCCATGAAGTTCGATCCCGTTGTTTTGAGTAGTCGGTTAGGTCCGCCTCTTCTTTCTCCATGCCACCGGAACCTGAACCCTATATTTTATTGGGCGGGGTCACTATTTGGGACCATGGCGGATCAAGATGAAACGAACATCGAAAAACAGGCGCTGCTGGCTGATGAATCCGAGGAGAGGTTCGAGAGCAGCGGTGGAGTGACTCCGACGGACAAGTCAACTCGTCCATTCAAGAAATGGATAGACAGCTTTCGAGGGCGGAAACACGAGTCTCCCATATACCAAAAGAAGTATGTAGAGGGCTGGTCAGATTCATCTTCTCATGGCTCGCAAGGTCACCAGTCGAGTGCATCCGACTCATCACAGCTCGGAACCGTCAAAACAACCACAGCAAGCATTGGCAGCCAGAGTTTGATAAGATCGAGGACAACTATTCAAAGCGCAAGAAGCCAGAGCATACGATCGGATGTGCGTTATTCTGGTGAGAGCTCTCGGCCAACCTCAAGTCAACATGCCGATGAGGCTGCGGAAACACGGGCCACCAGACGGCGCCATATCCTACAGGAACTTGTTGAAACCGAGTCTGATTATGTACTTGGTCTGAAAGCTCTTATCGGGGTAGGCCATTGAGCGAATTTTCTTTCCTTAGTTCGATGCTGATGTGCTCCGTAAACCCACAGATCCTTACGATATTTGAAACGAGGCGCGAGATCTATGACAACATCCAGATGATCCTTGGAATCCATGAACGTTTTTTGACCCAGCTTCATACAGCATCTCCCATGTCAGTACCTCAGGCTCAACAGGCAGGCGCCTCTGAGCTTACATCCCGGGGAATTACCAAGCGTATAGGGACCATTGACCTGGGTAGCCTAAAGGGTCTCCAACAACGATCTTTGAGGACTCGATCACTGAAGGCATCGGTGAATCGGCGCCTTATGGCACTCACCGCTGAACCAACAGAGGGACTAGAGGTTGCCCGTGAACTTGGAACATTGGTAAGTATCGGTATACTAAATAGGATCGCATGCACTGACTGGGCATTTTATAGTCACTTTCAATCCCGGTGTATGACCAATTTTGCAGCAACTATGAACTATTGACACAGGACGTTGCTCTTTTACGCCGGTCAATTGCCAACTGGACAATATATGATCAGGGAATCGAGGCACTTTCAAAATCGGTCGCGTCGACAGAGCGACGCAGACAAGAGGACAACAAATCAATGACATTAAATGATATGTTGATAAAGGTGTGTGGGTCAAGTCTGATGGATGTTTCGACCACTAACAAGAAGATAGCCCATTCAACGTCTTTGCAAATACCCCCTTGTGCTACAAGATCTGCTCAGATCTACCCCTGTTAGTGATTGTCCGTCTTCCCATGACGGAATCCAGCAAGTTTTGGACAGTATGCGAGTACTGGTGACACAGATCAATTTGGCAGCTGGTAACCCGATCAACAAAGATCGCATCCATAAGACAGTCGTTCTGCAGAAGAAGGTGGATATCTCGAAATCGGTAGGCACAAGGTCTTCATTGACGAGTTGAAACATACTGAATATTTTGGGCAGGACGCGCTCCAGAGTATATATAAAGACCTAGGCCCGTTGGTCATGTGCGGCGTGCTCCATGTCACATATCAAACGGCGCAAATCACCAACGGGGAGTTCATGGTCTGTGTGCTTTTTCAACGCTACCTTTTCTTCGCCAAGGGAATTGATGACCAGCGTCGGTTGGAAGCGGTGGCCTGTGTCTACCTAGACAGTCTCAAGATTGATACGCTTCAAAATGGACAAGGTGAGTAACTTTCTGCTGAGTTTTATGCTCGTAGTATACCTAACCCATCAGGGCTGTATTCTTACGGATGTATATTTTCATGGAAGCTTTTGTTTCAAAACCAAGATCGGAACTACGAATTTGTTCTCAGTGCATCATCGGCAGCGGAAGAAAAGCAATGGAGCACGGAGATTCTCAAAATGTCGGCCGCTTTGGCCGAAACGGGCCAGCCCGGGTCGTGGGAGCCAAGAAAACATTCTTTCTTGGCCCTCCAACTGTTGCCTCTGGACCATGTTCAATACACAGTATCCTCTATGGCGCGGAGGTCGATGGATTCAACGACCATTTCCCGCAAGTCCCGCGTTCAACATGTAGTCATTAAGAAAACGCACTACCCGCGGCACACTGAAGAACCAGTCACACAGGCTGAAGGCGAGATTGAACGGCCCAAGACACCTGCTGACCGCTCCGCATTGATATTGACTGCTCGCCGGAGTGACCGAGTCCGACTAGAGCGACTGATCTCAGATGTCTACACAGGAGATCTCCTTCCATCGCCAGGAATGGTTCTTGGAAGGGGTGATCTCTTCCTACGTGGTCCGCTCATGAGAGGGCTCAGCCTTCGCCCGGGGTTCACCAAACGGTCGAACTCTGTCAGCACCTTTCACCCAGGAAGAGCATCGACCGATATGCGCTCTGATAGAGGCGACGAGGGAGTGGACAAGAGTGTGGTAGACAGCAGCGAGATAGGGGAGGATAAGGAAGCCGAGTATGAGTTGCCTCAAACACCCACCACGCCTCGGCGGTCAAAAACATTCCTTTTCAAAGGTTCACCCAAAAACCCCTCGTCGTCTGTCTCCTCGCCTCGCAGCGACCCGCGACAGAGCCAGGATGGAAATTCCGAGTCATCTCCGTCTTCCAAGAAGTGGTCATCTCCAAAGAATCTGTTTAGTGCCTTGGCACCCAAGAAGCTGAAAAAGACCCGCTCTGATGCTGAGTGAATTCCCCATTATTACATAGGCGGGCAGGTGTTATTCTTTCGAGATGGTTCTGGGACATTCGGAGCATTGGAGTCAAGGAGGCATTATAATTAACCTGAAAACGCAATGGCTTGCATTATAACTACAAAGTAATTATCAATTAGAATGCAAGAAGATCCTCTCTCTCCCAACTTGCCACTATCCCCACGTTTGGCGTCACAGCGGATCCGGTAGCTAGCAGGGGAGCTACTATGACGTCGACTGCTGCAAGAGTTGGCAACTCACCGTGTGAGAAATGTAGGAAAGGGAGGGACCAGAACCACCAATGACATAGAATGCTATCCACTGTAATTTAGTAATTTAATTGTAGTTGATAGTACTTTGTACAATCCCAAGTCCTCCAGAGACGATGTACTTACAAAGTAAGTGAGCACATGCAAAGCAGTTTGTTTGCATCAGCTCATAGTGTGACGTCACCAGTCATCATCACCTGAGCTCCCACTTGGACAGCTATTAAACCACCAGCTTTACCTTCCATCTTCATTCTCACTCAACATTTTCCCTTTATCTCTTCGGATCTCTTCAAAACTATCCAAACCCCCGACTTTCAAAACTGTTACAACCTTCAAAATGGCACGTGGAAACGAAACCGCCTCCAAGATCTTCTACAAGGGTAGCTCCGACGACTTCATTGTCTTCGTCGATGACCTTGAGATCCTTCAGAAGTGGAAGAGCGACCGCAGTATTCCCCTCACTGATGTTTTAAACGGCTGGAAGATTTTTGTGACTCACTCGTAAGTGTTGGCAGCTTCTTTATTATTATCACGTCAGGTCATTAACATATGTATACAGCCACGGAGCTCAGGGTGTCCTTGATACCGCTAGCCAGAGCGCTCTGCAAAACGAATTCGGTACAACCAAAGATGATGAATGCATGATCAAGATCCTGGAAGGCGGCGAATTCCAGACCTCTACGGTAAGTGTTTCCACAGTGAATGAAGTGTGGAGGTTCTGTATACTAATTTTACTTTAACAGGCACGCGAGCGTGAGGGGGGCAAGAATGACTCCAACGGCAGCCGCTAAATCTGTCTCCTACTCCTCTCGGGGCCAATGGGGAGATCAGACAGGTGTTGCTGTCTCACTGACGCACACCCTGGCCACCTACCTCCCCTCCTTTACCCCTCACCTTGACCTCTATTGAGATATCCATATCGTCCCTTGTATGGCACTTCGGCGCATGGTCCTTCCGGAAAACGTCATGTTACATCCTTCTTATCTTCAGCTCTGGAATGGGCTTGGAGGGAGTGTTTGCCGTTTCTGGGTTTGCATCTTGGTACTCACAGGCTTCTGCACCTGATATCATGAGATAATGAATGATGAGCGACTTCACTCGTCTACAAATAAATATAAACACTTTTTCCCCCCAACTTTATCTTGAACATTTTCATTCGTAAATCCATTCAGCACTTTAGCAAGCAATGATCATAGCCCATGATAGTATATGGTACAACGGCATCATCTATACAAATAATAAAAACAGATCCCAAACCCCGATATCAAACCTCTTCCTTAACCATAGAATCTAAACCCCTCTCCCCCCGCCTCCTAACAACCCAACTCCCCAATTCCGCCCAAACAGCCTCCTTCTCCGCAAGTGTCATCCCAGCCGCAAGCCCACTAGTCGTCGTAGCGACGAAAACCGCTGCCCCAGCCCAATCATCACAACGACCCATATTCTCCTCCTCCGCCTGCCATCCATACCGAAACTCCTCCTTCCGAATTCCCCTCCCATGTCTAACCCTCCAAACAGCCTCCCAAATACCCTTCCCAACAAGACAAACAGCCTCAGGCCTCTGGGCTGCAACTTTAGCCTCAAGTACAGGAACACCGGCATCCATCTCCGCGCGACTGAGCATGCTCGCATCGCGCGTAGGTCGCTCAATGATGTTCGTATTGCCAACGCTGTACAGCGCAGGAAGCTTGTATGTGTCGGCTGGTATGTGGCGCATACTAGTTATCCCTGATGAAAACAGTAGTTTCCAGAATAGGTTTGATGGGTGTGCGTAGGCGTACCCCGTTATCCCTGTCATTATTCCGGGGTTCACGCCTACAAGGAGGAGGATTAGGTTTGGGGGGATTGTGTCGCGGAGGAGGGATTCTGTGGCTGATGGGCCGGGGATTGGGGGTGTGGGTGAGAGTTGTGGTGTTCCTCTGCTGCGCTGGCGTTTGTTTGGAGATGGAGACGTTGTCGTTGAGATCGACTGGGAGCGGGTGGTGCGTAGGTGGGTGGTTGTGGTCTCGGGCGCTATTGTCTGTGGGACTGTTCTCTTGCGCCTTGGGCTGCGGTTGATGGCTTTTGTTTGACGTTCAGTAATGTTTGGTTTATATTCGGCTTCGGTGGTGTTTACGCGGCGTTGAGATATAGTATTCCGAGAGGCACTTTGGGCTACTTGCGCCGCGGTCCCGTTATGCAGGTATTGCTGCAGTTTGCCATTGAAGCTGGTAATTTTGTTGACTGGGACATCCTCCACTGTTTCCAGGGGGAACTCATCTTCCTCGACTTTGGATTGGATTTCTGTAGACGGAGGCATCTTGTTTGGTGTCAGTCAAATTAGTTAGTTCTCGGGTTCCAAGAAGTCTGCTTTGGTCCACGGCATCAAAAAAATGCGCGAGGCATTTATATGAGATCCTTATGGATCTTCTGGACTTTTCAATGTGGGAGTATTATTGTCAAGATGACGTGTTTCTTGGATCTGGATACCCTATCACGTGCCAGGCAAGTCGTCGTTGGTGCCTCATTGACAAGGCATTATCAGCATCTAATATGCAATTATTCCAGATACCATGACAGGAGAATAGTGTTGTGCTTGTCAGTTGTCATTCAAATATAGTGATAATTTAGATATACACAAGACAATAATACCAAGGAGCAGAAATATGGGTATTCCCACCAATGCTGTAGACCATACGACCCAGATGGAGATTAATGATACAAGCAATGTCATTATTTCAAGTCGTCAAGTTCGTTATATATTATACTATGTACATGATCTGCGTCTGCTGCACTCAACACACCAGACTGAGCCATTGTTATGCTTTAAATAGTCCACGCCGTTTCGGCAAAGTCCAAGGCTCCGGGCAGACGACCTATACATCCTCTCGTTAGCACAAGAACACTTTATTTTATGTCAAAATATGCAGAAACATACCTCGCCTTCACTGTAGGCCCAGAAATAAACACTGATGCCAATCAAATAATATATTGCAGGGTCGGTGCCCTGATAGAGAAGCGCCGCGAGGAGGGCGCTGAGGGGGTATATAATGAGACGGATTTCAATGCTGCGGTGCGGTATTGAGCCAGCAAGTGGTTTGAGAGGCCATTCCCAGGCTATGCCCACGAGGCCCATGATGAGGTTTAAGATTTGAAGAACGGGTACTGGGGCGACGGCCGCATCGAGGTTCCTGGAGATAAAGTCCCAGAAAACTTTGGGCCAGATAAAGCCCTCGATAGCACTGGCAACCTGGTCTGTTTGCATTCTGTCAGTTTTAGTTTCGAGTTGGGAGTTTTGAGTGAGCAACGTACAAGCTGATGCGGTGAGAATAATTAACCGCCCCCAGTGGTTCTTGATGAGTCTGCCCATTGTGTTGAGTTATAGGTACTCGGTTATGTGAGAATTGTGTTGTGTGCTAGAGCTTCGGCCAGCGAAGATCTCGGAGGAAATAAAGTCACTAGGGTATGAGTGACGAAGTGCGGAGCTAATCTTGGGCGACAAGTGCCGCAATCCCCAAATAGCTGCGACAGATTTTGTGAGAGAATCACTTCATCGTATAATCCCACACGACATAGAGATATTAACTGAGTTGGATAATCCAGAGCACATGGAGACTGGGTATTATTGCAAGGGTTTATCGTGGTAGGATGATCTCATATGGGGAAGGAAAAGCAGTATATTTCGGGCGGGACGCTTGCAGGCGGGACCAGGTATAAGAATCTATACTTAGACAAGCGACCCCTCTAATAACTCAACTAAAACTTGGAACACTTAGCCAGGATGTGATTGTCGAGCGCCAAAAAGGTGAATCGCTGCACGGGGTTGGTACACATGCAAGCAGGATAGGGCTAAGCCGTGACCCGCACGGATACAAGTATTGTAGGCCAATCATCAACGGAAAGGTCCTCGAATCCTTGACAACCCCTCTTCTTGAGGATCTGAAGAACCGACATAACCCGTGTGATTGGAGAGTGGGGGATGTGATGAGCGGATCGCAAAGTGGATGTCGGCAAATCAGAGGCCACAGCGCTTGGGCTTGGCGTGATGAACTGCAGGTGGCACGCATGGCACGTACAGGGGCCTTTCATTCTCAAGTCTCATCGACATTCAAATTGTACTTTTATAATTGAGGATTTCGGTCGAGGCCTATGTTTTCTGGCCTGTCTGGGGGTTGTCTGGGCTGTCTCAGCTTTGTACCAGAGACAAAGTTTGGAACTTTCCAGATCAGATGACCGCGGTAGCCCTGATTTGAATTAAATGCAACACACCGTCTTTCTGCATCCCCTGCAGATGCAGTCCATGCCTGGTTCAACTTGTAGTGCTAAGTGGAGTCTACCATCGGAAAAAAAAAGTTCTTGTTGATGGGGAAACATAGCTCGAAGTCAATCACTATTCTATATTTGGGCGAATCTTCCACTTACTAAGGATCCTGGACCGAATGACAGGTGTTTTCACCGCTGGCGACCCTCGGGGCTCCCGTGTGACGAAAAGACAGCGCTTGCAGAAGGATTGTAATAGGCCAATTTCCCAACAACCTTCTTTCCCTGGTCTCGTTTAACGCTGCCCACTCACGGTCCCTCATGGCCACTCACCAGCCTCGCTACTACCCTCGGGGCATTAATCTCTTTTCGAACTTCAAACTGTTTAGCTTCCACCATTTCATGCCCGTCAGTATTATTAGAACAAAGAGCCGAATCGGACGAGACTGGTTAAACAGGGTGTACTTCCTTTTTCTTACTAGGCTCGCTTCGCGGGGAACGTGGCACGATGGTCGGACTCCTAGGGCGTATAAATGATTGGTGTGCCTGTGACGAACGGTCATTAAAAATAGCAAACCTGTCAGAGTATTAATTTAAACTGGGTTCCAGGATCATAAGCAGGACCTTTGAAAGCCTTGGAAGACTCAGCCAAGTTAACAGTTGAAAGAGACCAGGCGAAAGCCGACGAGTATTCCAAGCGACGAAAGATTCTAGCCTCTAGACTTACTCTCTTGGTCTCTCCACTATCCATTCCTAGGAGAATTTCAAAAGCACAGACATTGTAGGCTTGAGGACTCCTAGTCCATTGGACTAAAATCTACCGTAGTCGGTTATACGGAGTAGTGCCCGCCAGAAGCGATGTAATTATAGATCGGCCGCCCCCACCCCTGCAGCTAAAACCACAACACTGGGATTCTCTGAACCTCCAACTCCCCTCCGGTCTTGTCCCTATTCATCTATTGACGTCAACAATGTCTAGGACAACTTGAATCAACCGATAAAATAGCATATTTTATCCCCGGTAACCTCTTTGTATTCGAGAGGACACGTGAAGGGGAATCCCGCGGCGATACGCCAACAGTGCTCGCAACAAGGGGCACAACTCACATACAGCCTCTATACATTTTGTCAGAGCAATATCTCAAGCTGTGAGCGTGCTTTTACCAGTCCGAGGCGTTCGATACAATTTGGAACATTCCAAGTCCGCCGAAGCCCTGCTCGTTAGCTTCGAAGCCGAAGTTATCCCGGAAAATCTTGATCTACGTCAAGTTTATGGAGAAGCAACGGCGTTGACAAACTCTGAAACCACTGACCTGTCAATACTCACACTGGAGTCTTGCCACGAAACCGGACTAAGAGATTTCATTTTCGACAGAACTTCAGTGTATATTACCGGGTTGCTGGTCAACCGTCTGGACTTGTCACTCCTTTGATTGAATTATCGCCAAATTACTTGTCGCTGGTCGACATTCTCAAAAACGCGGAGAAAGAATGGCCTCAGCTCAAGATTCCTGGTGGAAGAGGGCGGACTTGACCGTTTCCAAGGTCTTGTTCCATTTGTTCTTTTGGGGTTCACATATTGGCATCTTTGCTGTAGGATGGTATGCATTCTGACGTCTATCAGCTCTTGGATTGCGTTGCTGACATTCTCATAGGTACCTACAGGCTTCGAATCCAAAATTGGCGCCGCTGAATGCTCTTAGCTATTCAGTATGGATTTCGCGAGGCGCAGGTCTCGTCCTTTCGGTCGATTGCACTTTGATTCTATTTCCTATGTGTCGGAATATTCTCCGATGGATGAGACCACAGATCAGATGGTTACCACTGGATGAGTCGGCGTGGTTTCATCGGCAAATAGCCTATGCTATACTAGTATTCACGGCCATTCACACCGCTGCTCACTACATAAAGTAATGTGCTTTCTTATTCAGCGTGTCCCGGTTACTTTGCTAACACTACTCAGTTTCTACAACATCGAAAAAGATCAAATCCGTCCAGAACTTGCAGTAACGATGCATTTTGCTCGCGCAGGTGGTATCACTGGCCATGTCATGCTGCTGTGCATGATGCTCATATATACCACCGCACACCATCGTATTCGCCAGCAAGCATATGAAACCTTCTGGTATGGGCATCACCTTTTTATTCCGTTCATGCTGGCACTCTATACCCACGCCACTGGGTGCTTTGTCCGAGATACCTCCGACCCTCTCTCCCCCTTTCGCAGGACAACAATTCTGGGATCATTGTCTTGGCTATGAAGGGTGGAGATGGGAGCTCGTCATCGGAGCTTTGTATCTCTTCGAGCGAATTTACAGGGAAGTACGGTCCCGGCGCGTGACAGTTATCACAAAAGTCATCCGTCATCCTTATGGTATGATCTTCTTCTTTCCAAATGCTGGATTAACTACAGCTAACAAAATGACGCTAGCCGCCATGGAAATCCAGTTCCACAAACCGAGCATGAAATACAAAGCCGGGCAATGGGTATTCCTCCAAGTGCCTGATGTATCCAGTACCCAATGGCATCCATTCACCGTTACCTCCTGTCCCTTTGATCCGTACCTCAGCATCCACGTTCGCCAAGTCGGAGATTTCACCCGAGCACTTGGAGATGCACTCGGTTGCGGTCCCGCCCAAGCAAAAGATCTTGAAGGCCTTGACCCCAACGGCATGTACGAGGTTGCCTTACAGAACGGACAAACCATGCCCGCAATCCGTGTGGATGGACCATACGGAGCACCCGCAGAAGATGTGTTCGACAACGAAATCGCCGTGCTTATCGGCACCGGTATCGGAGTCACACCCTGGGCATCTATTCTCAAGAACATTTGGCATCTGCGCTCAAGCCCCAACCCTCCCCGTCGACTACGACGTGTCGAGTTCATTTGGGTCTGTAAGGATACCTCTTCATTTGAATGGTTCCAAGCTCTGCTATCTTCTCTCGAAGCCCAATCCGCCAACACGGCTGCTAGCGAGGGAAGCACCGAATTCTTGCGTATCCATACGTATCTCACACAGCGTCTCGACGCTGACACCGCTGCAAATATCTACCTGAATTCTGTCGGTCAGGCGCTCGATCCTCTCACTGAACTAAAGAGCCGGACGAACTTCGGTCGTCCGGACTTCAAGCGACTTTTCACCGCTATGCGGGTTGGCTTGCTGGACCAGTCTTACATGACGGGTCTACAGAGTGCTGCTACAACCGACATCGGAGTGTATTTCTGCGGTCCTAATACTGCTGCCATGCAGATTAGCGATGCGGCTAAATCTTCATCAACCAAGGACGTCCGGTTCAAATTCTGGAAGGAACACTTCTAGACTTGTTTTTGGTGCCTTTTTGCTTTTTCCGCTTTTGTTCTATCATATACGAATGACACGAATCACGAATCTCTCTTTTTCATTATTACTCTTTCATGATTTCATGGACTCTCTAGGTTATTCCTTCTATGCTGAATATTACATCTTGAAGGGAGGCATCAATCCGGTCTACTCATGGCAGGCTGAGGGAAGCGAGAGAAGCAATGACAACATACGTCGGGACCAGCGATAATGCTGGGTTGTAGGAATATATGGCCATAGAATTGACAACGTCCTTTGAATAATAGTAATGTTTGGCTTTTAATTTATCTCTAAATTCCATTGCAGACATTGTAGACAGTACATAGGCCCTGAATATATCCGCCAAATCTAATCGCTCAAATATATTTAGCGTTCGACTCTTCCATAATAATAGAGACAGTATTCGGGACATGCGGGAGTATCTCGGGACCGTAGAGTCATTTATATTCCTTTATGATTCCGAAACATTCGGTCTCAGACCTATTTATTCTATGATGATGATCCTGGCTCTAGGATTGATGAAATTACCTAGACTAGACAGACCGATAATGGGGAAGACACGAAAGCTGGAAAGGATATGCATGCACCATATAAATTGACTTCAATAATTAATATGCAACCCCTGCTGTACTGCTGGCTTATGCATTAGATGATTGTACAGTTCAACAAGCGCATGAAAAAGGGGGCCGGCCCCCACGAGCCTCCATTATGACGTTGGGCCAAGAAGAGTCTAAATCCACAGCTTAACCTATAAATTCTAACAGTTTACGTAATATAAAACGACAATTCTATCATATATCTTGAGTGTAAATGCTTAGTGAAGCTGACCTCCCTAAGCAAGAACTGTGGGCTCGTTTAAACAAAATTATTTTCTTGACAGAGGTTATTGTAGGCTTAAACTAAAGGTGATCGGAGGGTGGACGCGTATACTTGATTGATTTGGCTTCGACCACCTCACCATCGCCCCGCTATTTAACTCCCAGAGGAGATATGTGCATATGATGGATGGTCTCCGTGTGGGTGATGTGCATATCTCTAGTTCTTGATAGTCGAAGCCGGCGTATTGCGTCTTCATATTACATAGTATTACGTTACCTAGAATGGCCGGTGAGTTATTGTAGGGACAGATTTAAGTCGAAGCCCCTGCTGTTCCAGCCTGCTGTTGTTCCCCCCTCAGCCTTCTTGACTATAATACTTGAATATAATGGATGTCCAACACCTTCAAAGACTTTTGGCGGAAACCAAGGCTTTGCTTGATTCGTATGAATTAACTCAAACTGACACCCTTCGAGTTGAAGCTCAGGACAAGGCTACCCAGCTGTCGCGTGCCCTGGAACGACCTAGAGATGCAATCGTCAAGCTGAGCTTTTCCGTAAGTCATATATAATCTCTTATCGTCATTGGGACATACTACTAATGAACACACTCGACAGCCAACTATTCTCATGGCCGTCAAGACAGCCCATGATATGAATGTATTCCCCGCGCTAGCTCAGGCCACGGCCCCAGTCTCTCTGGCCAAATTAGCTGCAGCGAAGCCCGCAGACCCTCTTCTAGTCGGCAAGTAAATATACGAGAATGAAAAAAGGGTGTTTCGATCTAACCTGCTCTCAGAGCGCATTATGCGAGTTCTAGTCGCCAATGGTTTCGTAGAAGAGCCAGCTCCTAGCGAATACCTACCCACCGCACTATCCCGAGAAATGACCCAGCACACATCAATTGGGGCCGTGGGGTCAATGTAAGGCTGCCCCAAATTATGACAAAGAAAAAAAGAAAAAAACAGAATCTTACTATATTAACCTAACCAGGTTCCACGAGTTCCTGCCCTCAATCCAGAAAGTCCCCGAATATCTCCAATCCACCAATTATCGCAACCCAGATGATCCCATATTCGCTCCTCTTCAATACACGCACAATCTAAAGATAGATGGATTTACATGGCTCTGCGAGAACCCCGAAGCTTTGATTCGATTCAATAGCTTCATGGAAGGACAGCGGGGTAACCGTCCACACTGGGCTGACTGGTTCCCTGTTCGCGAACGCCTTCTCGATCACCCGGACATGACTGCCAAAAAACCACTTTTGGTAGATATTGGAGCCGGGCGTGGCCACGAGTTGATTGGATTTAGGAAGAGATTCCCAGATGCCCCGGGTAAACTAGTACTGGAAGATCTTTCATCTGTGATTGATGAAGCACGTGAAGTACTGGATCTGGAGGCGGCTTCTATTGACACTGTTGCGCATGATTTCTTTGCTGAGGTTCAACCGGTTCGAGGTAAGACTACTTTTATGTCTGTGTATGTATTTTATTTGGATGGGGCTAACAATTCTTTCTTTACACACAGGAGCCCGCGCATACTATTTCAAGAACGTGTTGCATGACTGGTCAGACCAGAAAGCGACAGCCATCTTTAACAATCTAAAGCCGGCTATGAAACGGGGTTTCTCCAAGGTTATCATGGAGGAGTATATTCTTCCTGATAAGAATGCTCGCTCGCTTCCTTGTATGACAGATATCGCGGTAATGGTTTTCTGTTCCGGGTTAGAGAGAACTCGTCAGCGCTGGAGTGACCTACTCACGTCTGTTGGTTTGCGAGTCCTGAAATTCTGGGTTCGGGAGGGTGACGGGTTGGGAATTATTGAAGCCGAATTGGCAGAGAGCTCTTAAATAGAGCCACGATCTAGGGACGTTAGTATATATCTATATACGCGTGCAATGAAACTTATAAAAAGCACCAATATGTGTTCTACTATGTATGTAACCCAAAATAGGCTGAGAGAACCAGGCTCCAAAGCACGAGATCATTCAAACGGCCAATAACGCTGGTACTCGGCTTTTTCCTCGTCGTTGTCAGCGAATTGGTCCGGTATTTGACCTTTGACTTCGTCAAGGGCAGCTTTGCAGTCATCGTATCGCTCGTGTTCGACAAGGCCTCTGTCGGGCCACCGATCGCCCATTTCCTCTTTGACCTCAGACATAAGCTCAGTTCCTGCTACCGCATCATCATTATCCAGCTTGATGCGCTCGAGATCCATTTCCGAGATGTCAAATGGAAATGGAATGTCACTAGGTAAGCCAGGAAAGTCCGCCGACGTGTCCAAAATCGACTGAAGCGATAGGAAGTGGGCCTCGCGGTATTCGAACACCAATAGCAAACTCCGAATCTTTGGCGGCCATGCCCTCCTTGACATGGTGACTGCCTGCGGGAGACTGAAAATCTCCCGCATAGTACAGGCTGCTGTAATGCGAGAATGAAACGCTTAGACATCTCTTCTGCGGACTGGTGACAGCAATAATCAGTTTGAGCCTCTGTTGTAGTTGCAACGTGCTCCAGATTTGAGACAGCGGGACACTCTCAACTTTACCCATGATAATAAATCCAGCCCCAATGGGATGCAACTTTGCTTATGAGTTCCATGCGTGGACATGGGTTGGTGTGCCAGGAATTCTGCTGGCCTCCCAATCCAGTCGCATTACCAAGATTTGACGTCGATGGAGTTCGAATGAACTTACAAAGTCTACCGTGGAAACTTCACTGGCCGTAGTAAAGTGTGTAGCGCAAGCATTGGGGTTAGGCACCTTGACTACAACTTCTCGGTTATTTTTCATCGTCATGAGGAAGGTTTTGTTGAATATGCCGTCGGCATACTACGTGATGGAAATGCTTTCAGCGGCTCCGACCGAGTCTGGTCAACTCTTGCAAGTCTGTTCATGTCAAATTTAATATCTCGGTTTGGAAAATTCTCGACCTCGTCTACAATAAACCGACCACGCGTGAATTTGAAGAATTCATGGTTGGAATTCCAGTCTGATGCGAATGAGTAAGATATTGGGTAGTGTTCAATTGGGCATGCTTACCTAACTGCGAAGAGCCCATGCATGAAGCTTTTGAGATGGACCGGCAGTACTGCTTTAGGCATTGTTTTATACTTCGAACGTAGTACCATTTCTCTTTTACCTCACTCCACTTTTAGCGTTTCTACCATCAAATCATCACGCTTGGGATGAGGTTCAAGCCTCTACACACAAATTTGCTCGACCTACATGCCCGTGCAGATTTCAAATCTCCAATCAGTACTACGTCGGAGAGACCTACACAGCTCGACACTGGCACTGGCACTGACACTGTCGTCTAATACTTGCACTGGGACCAAACCGTCACCATCAACCTTGACCGACCCGTTTGTGAAAGGAAACCGCGAGCTCAAAACCGGCACCTTCATGCAGTGTGACACTGTCGTTGAAAAAGTCATCGTGCCTGAGACTTCCACTACAACGGAACCCAAATCTCCATCCGTCGATTTGTTTAGCCCGCCTACCCAAGAAAATCTCGAAACCGGCACAATCGCTACATGGGATATGCCCGCTCAGTATGACAGTGACAGTGACATTCAAACTGTTATTCTGTGTGACAATCCCTCTGATAGTGACTCCCTCAAATCTCCAGCCCTAGCCAGAAAAATCCTAGCACTATACCCAACACATCCTCTGATGATTCCTCTTCTGAGGGCTTGGATAGCTCCTCTGGTGCCAAATCTGAGATTTTCTCCACTAACAGCCTTGATACGAGACCGGAATCTCCATCTAGTGCCTTGTTCGACGCATCTGCCTATGAAAATTGCGAATCCAAACCCAGCACTACACCGGACATGTCGGCTCAATATGATAGTGATAGTGATGCTCAAACCGTTATCCTGTGTGACGATAACTCCGAGAATGACTCCAACACACTTCCAAACTCCAGCTCCAGCCAGAGAGAGCCTAACACCATATCCAGCACGTCATCTGGAAGGCCATTACAACGCCCTGAGAGAAGCTGATATTGAACACGAGTCAGTCAACGGGGCAATTGTTTCTGTTGCAACAATTGAGCATTCAGTCATTTCTAGGGAGGACGATCCCTTTTTCGGAAGTAGTGGGGACTCGGGGTCATTAGTGTACACCAAAGATAGTCACGTCGTAGTTGGCTTGTCTTTTTGTAGGTCGCCCGCGTCCGCCGTGTAGTTCTTCGTTTACGCACATTAACGATTTAATTAACGACATCAAGAATACAACTGGGGCAACCGGAGAACGTTTGTTGTGAGGTGGATACGTCCTTTAGTATGCCATGAATGCGCCTTTTTTCTTGTTATCTGCTTTTCATTTCCCTTCTAATCTATCTCTTAGCTCAGGTAAACGGTAGGTTCAATCTGCATTTTTGTGACTTGGTATGCATAGAAACACCGTTTTGTATGAATTATGTATGCATTATACAGCTCGTATTCTATAATCCACAATGAACCATTGTGTAAAGCACTCGAAATAGACTTAAGTGGCATTTAAAAAGACATTCAAGAAGACATTGAGAAAAAACATCGAGAGAAGACATCGTTGAAACATATCATCTCCAATACTATTTGCAACAGCCAGAGATTCAGATTAGTCTTACATCGTCTATGGTAGCAAAATATAAAGTACTCTGTGTCCTTGAAGCTATATTTTACATATAAAAACACAAATTGGGTATAAAGAAGCGATGTGAACTCAGCAGGATCATATCATTGACTCCATTTGTCAAAGATCGCATGTTCTCACTAGAAAGGGCGTATGGTTACCTCCTCCCAAGAGTATGGATGGGCACTCGGGTTCTTGGTGCGGCCCTGGATGCAGGGCTTCGACCCCGGAACATCTCGTCAATGGGAACTGGCCATCATGTGGTGTGGTAAACACGATTGAAGTGATAGAAGTGGTGAGAAGAGTCAAGAGGAGTTGGTATGCGATAAGGTTGAAAGCTCGATGTGTCAAAGAGGAATAGACGAAGCAAGTTGCTTAAGGGACTTGAAGGATTGAGTGGCAAATCAAAGTAAAACAATAGCAGCCACCCAGTAACGTAAAACTATCGCCTGTGAGATTGCAATCAAACTTCAGTTGCCCCGGTGGTATTTTTGATGTCGGTAATCAAATCGTCGATGTAAGTAAATCAAGCAGTCCACAGGGGGTCCAGGTCACCAGAGAAAGGTATGCACATACCACGTGGTCATCATTAGATATCACACTATGTTTCATCGTTGATATTATTACTTTTTTTTCCAGCAAGTACGTTGTGGTTAGATCAAGCGCAGTAGAGTTATCAGTATCCAAACTCACAAAGACATCTGTGATATCTGAGTCGGACAATTTTGTCCGTTAGGCGATCCCATAGCCAGAAATTGATAAAATAGAATAGCATACTAACAAAAGTATAAACCTCCAGGGCAGCAAAGTTGAGGAATCCATGTTGTGTTGAATTACTACATATTGTAGAGGGGAGACAGCCTCTCCACTACACAATGCGCTCTTTTCCTTTTTGATCTCTATGAATTTTTTATTTAAGCGTTGGATTATGAGGTTACAAGTAGTAGATAGACACAGATTGAGAATACAAACTCCTACACCTCTTTGAATCCAATTCTTGGGCAGTGCACCTAGGTTCCTTTACATGCAAGTTGAGTATGAAGCTGAACTACGAGGGCTGAACCGACCCGTATGCTTGATATATTTGAAAATATGATTAACCTAACCTTGGAAACATGGTCGGACATACTATAACACTTAGGATAGTTGTACTTGAGAAGCAGTAGTTTTGTACTTCACAATCTATGTGGGCAACTACATATACGCAGCTCTAAGCACGCCATATCTCGTCCAAGTGAGCGAGGCTTATAAATCCGCTTGGAAATACCACAACAGCCGTGGACCCGAGTTGAGCGGGGTATATAAACACAGCTATTTTCAGTTTAAACTGTTCGTATGAATTCAATCTGCCAAGATATAAAAAAAGCATAACCCAGAGGACAACCAAATCAACCACAAGATGACCGACCCACAACCCAACCGCCAGCTGCACCTCACGGCCTTCATGCGGCCAGTCTCGCTGCACACAGGTGCATGGCGTTATCCGGGCTCGTATCCCGACGCCAACTTCAATTTTAAACACATCGCCCAGTTCGCTCAAAAGCTAGAGGCCGCCAAGTTTGATGCCTTCTTCATGGCCGATCACCTGGCTGTACTGAACATGCCAGTCGAGGCTCTCAAGCGCAGTCATACGGTTACTTCATTCGAACCTTTTACTTTACTCTCCGCTCTCTCTTCCGTAACGGACAAGATAGGTCTCGCTGCCACTGCGAGTACGACCTACGACGCGCCCTATCATGTTGCCCGGCGATTTGCTAGTCTCGATCACTTGAGCAACGGGAGAGCGGCGTGGAATATTGTGACTACCGGAAACCCGGAGTCGAGTTATAATTTCGGCTTCGATGAGCATTTGGCTCACGGTGATCGGTATAAGCGTGCTCGTGAATTCTACGATGTTGTCACGGGACTGTGGGATAGTTTTGCCGATGATGCTTTTACTCGCAATGTCGAGACGGGAGAATACTTTGATCCTGCCAGAATGCATGTGCTGAACCATTCCGGCGAAGAATTAAAGGTTCGAGGACCGTTGAACATTGCCAGGCCACCGCAGGGATGGCCGGTTATTGTTCAGGCAGGACAAAGCGAGCCAGGACGACAGCTTGCGGCTGAGACTGCCGAGGTCGTGTTTTGCAGCCCGAAGGATATTGAGAGTGCCAAGGCGCTCTATGCGGATATCAAGGGCCGCGTGGAAAAGGCGGGCCGGAAGAGAGACCAGTTGAAGATCTTACCCGCGGCAATGATTATTGTTGGGGATAGCAAGCAAGATGCACAGGAGAAGAGACTCAAGTTGGATAGTCTGGTGCATTACGATAGTGCCATCGCTTCTTTGTCAATCTCGCTTGGGGTGGATGTCAGTGATCTTGATCCGGATAGTTTGTTGCCGGATGACCTCCCCGAGACCAACGCGAGCAAGACGGCCAGGGAGGCTGTTGAGAAGCTGGCAAAGAAAGAGGGACTGACCATCCGCCAGCTTGCGCAACGATATGGTGGATACTCAGGGTTGACATTCCTTGGTTCGCCAAGTGATATTGCTGAGGAGTTGGAGACGTGGTTGCGTGAAGAGGCTTCTGATGGTTTCACGTTCACGTTCCCATTCTTGCCACAGGGCCTGGAAGAGGTGACGGAGAGGTTGATTCCTGAACTTCAGCGAAGAGGCCTTTTCCGCAAAGACTACATGGGCTCAACACTACGTGAACACTTTGGTTTGGCGAGACCCGAGAATCGTTTCTTTAGTGAGGCATCATAATTGTACGTAATCGAGATAGATTATGTTACGGCAATAGAGATATTTCATTTCTTTTGATTGATACGTTGACTTTGTTCATATAGTAGGCCTATTGTAACTGTTGTGTCCTATTTATCTGTCATGTCGCTCCATGGAGTTCAACTGAGAAGTGTAAATGCCATTTTTAAATTTAGTAGTTGTAATGCTATGAAAAACGGAATATTTAGGACAAATCTTAGGGACTTTTGGCAACATCTCTCCTATCGTGGTGTGCTCCGGTGCCAATCTAGTTGAACTGTGTCGGGACTGTTTTCTATAAATAAATTATTACAACACCAATAATCTTGTCAGCCGAATGGGTGAAAATGATATGAACTCAAGTGCCGCTTGCCATAGACCGACAGCTAGCTTTGGGCGCCTCGGTAGTCTAAGAAAGATGGTTGAGTATAGTCAAGGCCGTGTTTTATATAGACATCTAAACGAAAACGACGGCCGTAGACTGAAGTCCCGTCCTGGTAACCCTTCGTGTCTAGGCAACATGCAATGCACACAGACTCTGGCTTTTGTATCTTTGATAGTCTCCGTCAAGATAGTTTTTACAGCATCGCTAATTTCCATACGCTGCTATGCTGCCAAATCCCCGTTGGACTTTGGGCGGAGTCTTAGTTGTACTTCACTACAACTACACAATTGAAGCACGGGATTTTCACTTCTCAGAACAAATTGACATTACTCTCACATCCAGGTGAAGGGGATCTGAGAAGCACCCCCTCCACCTGTTCGTAATCTGGATTCCCCACTGTTCTCTCCCCTTCCTCCCCTCCCCCACCCCCCAATTCTCACACCCCCTTCTGGGCCTACTCAGCCCAGAAGCCCTCCACATGGTAGTGGACCCGAAGTCCACGGCGCAGCATCTCTGAGTACAGAGCCCGAAGCTCTGCAGGGTCGAACCCCGAAGGGTTAACCTCCCCCTTCCGGTTGAGGCGGCAGGGGGGCAGGCGGTTGGTCAAGTCCGCCCGCAAGTGCTCAAAGGCGAGCAGGTACAGCTCCTTCGACCAGGGGCAGGAGCGCAGGGCCCGGAAGTAGATCTCGCGGGCGCGGCCGACGTTATACTCCGCGTACAGTTCGTAGAGGATGTACAACCTCCAAATAGTGAGGTTGCTCTGCGCGGAGGTTGAGCTTGCCAGCTCGAAGGGGCTCTTCCGTGTTGGGGTCCGCCCGATTGGGACGACTCCAGCATCGCCGATCGCTCGCTCGAAAGCCGCCCGAATTGAGTGGGGGGTTGAGCCGAGTGTGAGAGGGCGGCCCATTTCAGCGTAGATGCTGAAAAGGTGAGTTGTGACAGGCACACGGTAGATTGGGGCAGGCCCTCGCAGATGCAGGGCGGCCCTGGCTTTCGCCCCGATGGTGACATCGAAGATATCGCGGGTTCGGTCACTCATATGCAGCCGAGCCTCGTTCCATTTGAACAGCGACAAGAACATGGTGTTGTGAGGCCACCATTCTAAGCTATCCAGTAGCAGTGCGCGAACGTCGGCAGGTCTGAATTGGCCACTCTGTTTCTCTACATAGTGGTACAGGATCCGGGCTCGAGATTGGTGCAGCAATTCTCCACCGAAGACCCTGAAATCTTCATCGGTCGTGGGAAGGACTCTAAGGGAAGTGACGGCGTTGTTGTAGACCTCGAGGACATCTTCAAGTTGCTCGCCCATGAGATAGAGGACGATGGCATAGCAGTCGACGTAAGCTGCGTATGCTTGCATTTTCTTGAACTTCAAGGCATTTTTCTGAGCGGCAAACAAGCACTGTGAATAGTTAGCATGGCGCTCAGTGAGATTAACGGATGAAAACTTGCCTTCTTGACCCTGAGAAAATCGGTTTGATTAATTTCGATTTCATCAGTTGTGTCGTACGACAGCAAATGGACTCGATTGTAAGGCATAGCCTGCAACAGGTATGATGCTCGATTCTTTTGCCCAGCGTGAAGCATTTCCCAAATCCACGAGTTCCACAGAAGGGCAGAATCAGTGAGCTCGCGAGCGTCAAAGTTCTGGCTCATAGACAAAGCAGTGGACCACACATTGTGAGCAGTGTCAAGGTCGCCAGTCCGCCAATACATGAGCGCAACGGCATTGTAAAGTCTCAGGTTTGATGATCGCTCCTTCAAGAGTCGCTTCCCATACTTCTTGCCAAGAGCGTTGTCACACGCGAAAGTTACTGCAACAGCGTATTCAGCCAATTGGCTGTCTCTGAAGACATCGGCAAGGGCATGGAGAGTCAAGAGTACAAAGTCGGGATCGATGACACAGGAAGAATGGGAGGTAGTTTTAGCCCACTTCGTCAGAGCCGAGAACCACATCTTTGGGTCAGCAAAAAGAGTATCGGTGGTGTGTACGAAGGTATGGTGAGGGAATGCGAAAGGTTCCAGGGTTGTGGTTGCGGCATATTTCTGAAAGGTGATCCAGTCCGCGATTGTGTTTCGAGGATCATCCATGTATTCGTTTCGCAAGAAATTGTCACCAGTCCACAGTCGGCTGGTGTTCATGTTCGCAGGTGATGTCAGGTGGGGCAAATGGCAGAAATACAAGAAGCCATCAACTAGGGAACCTAGGCTTTGCTCCAAGTCCCAGAAGTATGGCAGTATCTGCGTGCAATCTTCAAGAAGGACCACTCGGAAAGAGTCATTCTCTTTGGATTCATCAAAGGTGTGTGACGGCATGCGATTTTTGAACATCCTCGCTCTTTCTGCAAATGCCCAGGATGGGAACAAGTCTCGGATATCCGCCTCAGAAGTGTAAACACGCTCGTTTACAGGAGCACGGGGGGTTTGTGCACTGTTCCAGGGTTGCCAACGGGGCTCTCCAATTCGAATATGCCCAGTTGCCCAGAACTTTTTGAATTCCACCAGGGCCTCTTCTTTCTTCCCCGTTAGATGGGCTGGGCGGAAGCAGGTAAATTCGAGCACTGCTTGCCATAGACCGACAGCTAGCTCTACATGCCCGGATTCTCGAAGAAACAGGGTCAAACGGAGCAGCAAGTACGATCTGATAACGGTTTTCTGCGGTCCGAAGCCAACACGTGAATGGATCTTCAAGCAGTAGGCGTAAGTTTTAAAGCAATTGTCAAAGTTGAAATCCTGACTGTCAGTCTGACAGTAGTCGAGATACTCAATCCATAAAGTGATGAACTCGGAGTGGCGCCGGAGGACAGCGTCCCATTCCGATGCGAGTTTTGTTGAATCCCAGACTTTCGCACCCTCTTCCATACGGCCCAGCAAGAGGTGGTCGCGTTCGGGATTCTGTGCGTTGGCCTTGATCGCTCTTTCATACACGTACAGCTTGGCTCTTGCCACAACTTGGATATCATCGAGGTGGGACTTGCGGTCCCCAGGTCTAGCGCCAGTAATAGCAATTTCCTGATGCTCAGCAAGACGGATCCATGCTTGGATGTCATTGGGTTGTTGTGCTACTGCGCTGTTCAACTTGGCATTGCGATTCAAGATTTCAGCTTCGAGAGCAAGTCGAGTGAAGGCGTCCGCATCAAACTCCTCGGTGACTTCTTCGGACTTAGCCTGATCGTTGATGGAGCGATAAGACGGTGGTTCATTATCTAAGTTGGCGGTTGCCGCAACGCCGGGTTGAGATGGGACAGTTGTTGAGATGAAATTTTGTGAATGTTGGGTCTGAGCAGCAAGGTTGGTATTAAGATCAGACCGGAGGCGAGTGGGAAGATTGATGGACAAAGCAGATAGGGTTTCGGCGGAGAGAGGCTTAGCTGCAGAGGTTGCAGAGCCTGAGTCGGGGCGAAGAAGGAGAAGGGGACCTTGGTCATATCGCGTTTGGTAATCAATGCGCTGGTTAGGGAGACCAAGTACAAAACCATTTCCATTGCGATGGTACGCAGGGACCTCGTAACGATCCACGCCGTAACGTGTATTATCACGATCGCCGCGGCTGTCGACGACAAATCCTTTGTTTGCCTCATCATTTGCAGCGTTTACATCGTCAATTCTTTCCCCACTCAGGCGCTCCTTAATTTCTCCACCTGTCGCCTCTCGACGGCCACCATCCGAGTGCCTTTCATGGCGACGGGAGCGCGGAGACTCTTTCCGGTCTGCACGCGGACGATGGCCTGGGCGACGCCGGCGATGTTCATGCTCCGAACCGGTAGCGGTGGTCGGAGGAGAGGGAGGGGGAGGTCGGAAGCTGGAGAATTGTGGGACACCCTTTATTTTGGTCAGTCGAATATATACCAAGATGTAAGTCAGGGCTAACTAACCTGAGACCCAGGTGAGTCCATCGTGGTGGCTCGATCTTCCTTATCGAGTCGAGCGGCGGGCTGATAACACGGAAGAATGATCCTCCGATGGGCGGTCGAGCTGGCCGGCAAAAAAAAAAGTCAACCGTTTGCTCTCGGTCAAACAGAAGCTTGAGACTTACCTCCAATTATTTGAACCGCCTGCCCTTCGGTTCGCAAAGAAAAAGAAAGACTACTGTCAAGAGTCTTAGGGATATGGGTAACTGCGCAATTGTGTGAGCATCAATACAAAACAACGAGAAAAGTCCGCGTCACAGCCCGCCAAAAGAGACTTCACTATGGCTTCGTCTCTCGCCGCGCAGCTGTCGCAAATTGCGGCCAAGTCGACACACGAGCTTGACCTTAAGGCGCAAAGGGTTTCACACTCACAGTCACTTATTTTCGACCCAAAGGTCGCCGGCACTCAAGACTTTGATGCGATCTATGATATTTGTTATGACGGGTTCCGGGAGTTGTGCTCATTGGACCCCCGGTTTGCAGAGTTTGATCGCACGATCTTCAGCGAGCAGAGCAAAGCGGAGGACCGCAGCCAGATGAACGTACCTCAGAATAAGGAATTGGATACTGTGGTTGAAGCTTTCCTGGCTCTGGTTGGTGGCAGGCTACAGTTGAGTCCTGCGGTCAAAGCTGTGGATTGGCTTGTGAGAAGGTTCAGGTGAGAAAGTTTGGGAGGGGTGGTGCAGATCGTGAGATGTGAGACAGGGTGGCTAACTTATATCGCAGGATCCACGAGTTCAATACGACAGCCGTATTATTGACGTTCTTGCCGTATCACACGACGCCTCTCTTTTTGAACCTTCTATCTATTCTTCCGGAAACTCTTACGCCAACATTCAAAGTCCTCACTCCATACAAGAATGGTCTCATTAATCCGCCAAGGCACCCGCTTGTTCACAGCGCAGCGACGAATAAGGCTTTCTTCTCCGAATTAAACGAATATGTCCTGAAAGTGTGCAGGCAGCAGGCCCAAAGCCATGCACTACTTGCATTTTGGGCTGGAATTGTTACAGAGGCTGTCGCGACAATGTTGGATGGCGCTCGCTCAGGGAGAAGAGAGGCCGAGAAGCAAAAGCATGAAGATATCCTTCTGCGGATTTTGCCGGTACTGAGTAACGCTTTTACAATGAAAAAAGTCTCGGAATTGATCGTCGGCTGCTATATGATCTGTGTTGTACTGGCACAGAAGGCCTTCCTCTCGAATGAAGTTATTGATGGTCTAATGGAGAGTGTTGTGGGTTCATGGACAGAAGATACGAAGATATCTGGTCTTATTTGCCTTTCAGTCCTTGCACAGCAGAAGCCTTCTGCTACAATCCCGAAAAAGGTCTTCAAGGGCATCTTGCGCCTCGAAAGCCCTATTGGCCAGCTTTCTGAAATCGCACCCCAATATCAGACATCTAACTTGTTGCTTGGTATTATTGCGGGCTGTTTGACTGATCTTGACAAGCAGGACAATGCTCGCCTTGCAATTCTAGCCTCTGTCTTTGAACGCAAGATGCTTGGCGAGAACGAGATTGCCAAGGCTATGAGCCTGGTTCTCGAAGCAGCTTCCAATGCAGATGAGACCCGCCGAATTTCTTTGGATGCCCAGACCCAGCTTGCTGAGCTGGTCCAAGGATTCAACCGATCGGAAACCCTGCAACCCATTTTCCAGAAGACTTTAACTGGATCTTCGTTCAACATCTCGGCGCTAGAACACAACCTTCAGACCGTTGTCGAGGTCCCCGTTGTAGCACAGGCCATCGAAGATGTGGATATGATCGATGTAGACGATCAGCCCCAGGTGGACGCCTTTACTCCAGCTCTAGAGTCTTTGACTAAAGAGCCCTTGTTCCCATCCTCGTTCCTATCCAAACAGTCTATTATCGAATTCGATAACCTGGTACGCGTGTTCGCCTTGGCGGTGGACTCCGAGGAGAATCTCGAGCTCTTCACCAATTTGCCAATCTTGGGCAAGTCCCAGGCGACCAAGACCCCTCAATATTTGTCTTTCTTTATCAGAGTTGTTGCTGGCCACTACCCCATCGGAACAAAGATTGGTGCTTTGAACGTCATATCATCTGTTCTTTCATTGGCACCCGCAGGATTGGATCCTCAGGCACTGCTCCCATTCTTGTTCGTGGCCCTCTCTGATCCTTCCGAGCGGATTCGCCGTGAGACTGCTGGCGTTTTGGCTGTTATCGGTTCTTTGTACAAAAAGAACTCCAATGCCGGTGACAGCTCCAAGCCATGGGCCCACGACGCGATCTACGGCAAGGGCAAGCAATCTACTGGTGTTGCATGGCTCACCACCAAAGATTCCCAGAAGGTCTTGGAGCGTGCATTGCTTCCAGGATTGGAGGAGTCTATCCTTGACTCTAACCATGTTGTTAGAACTGTTGAGGCTACTCTACGGGGCAACGTGCTGTCTGAAGCTTCGGGTGCAACCGAACTTAAGAAGTCTCTCCGTCTTAGCCTCTTTGCTTTCATCTGCTCTCACGTTGTCAAGATGCCGGTTTTCGCACCCAAGATTAGCCTGCTTAAGTTGGTCAATAGCGTGGAGAAGGTCTCTACTGCAACCCTGACCAGCGAGCTTCTCCCGGTCCTCGAGGATTGGCGTCGCTTGAGCGAGAAGGAAGTCGAGGAAATTTGCGGCAAGGAGCGCATTGTGGCATCTGAGACAGAGCATTTGATTGCTGCTATTGTTACATCCAAAGACAAGGACGCTGTGGATGTCCTTCTCTCCAATGTTAGCTCCGGCGATAACTTGCGCCCGTCCTTTGTTGCGGCTTGCTTTGGCCAGATCAAACACATCTGGGCTAAGATCCCCGAAGACCGTCAGTTGGCCGCATCCGAGAAGTTGCTCGATATCTCCCTTGGTGGATCAGCCAATGCCGCTTCTCTGGCAAACAACTGCCGAGATGTTCTTCGCACTATCGAACTTTCCGGTGCTGTGCTCCAGCAATTCGTCCAAAAGATTCCCGTGTCTATTACTGATGTTGAGTCTGTTGGCCCTGCACCGAAGCGGAGACGTACTAGCCAGAACAACATGATTGCCATGACTGTCAAGGACGAGGCAGAGCTCAGCAAGTTGATGGACAAGATGACTTTCATCTTGGAGATCGTGGACAGTTCCTCCCCCGAAACCCACCCCGAGCTTGTCGATGGATTGTTCCAGACTCTCGCTGCTCTTCATCACTTCAAGTCTCAGATCCAGTCTGGCATGAGCTACCTCCTCAGCCTGACTCTGGGAAGTCTGTTGGCTATTGTCAACACATCCAAAGGATCTGCTAAGCCGCAGTTCGATACATCTGTCATCAGGGCCGACCTGGTGGTGGACTGTGTGCGAACAACTGACAGCCCGCAGGTTCAGAACGGGGCTCTTCTTCTCGTAGGAAGTCTGTCTGTCATTGCGCCCGAGTTGGTTCTCCATAGCGTCATGCCGATCTTCACCTTCATGGGCACTACTGTTCTGCGCAAAGATGATGACTACTCTGTTTCGGTCATTGACCAGACTATCGACCAAGTTGTCCCGGCCCTCATCCAATCTCTGCGTAACCAGAAGAGGGATGTTGTCTCCGGAACTTCCGAGCTGCTACTCAGTTTCACTGCAGCCTTCGAGCACATCCCCTCGCATCGCCGTTTGAGACTCTTCCACGCCTTGATCAGCAAGCTTGGAACACAAGAGTTCTTGTTCGCTGTCCTAGCAATGCTCGCTAACCGATACTCCACCGACAAGGATGTTCTCACTCTGATGACCGGTCTGGTCTCAGACACCACACCTGTCGTGGAGCTTACCACCTACAGCAAGTACTTGAACTTGGTCAGCGATTCTCTTAAGCCCAAGCCAAGTATCTCACAGGTCCTTCTTGGAATTGGCAGTGACGATGGCCGTGACGCCCAGAGCATCTGCGTTGATCTCCTGCGTGATCTTGCTCACTTGTTCAAGCACTCTTCTCTCAAGTCTAAGCTTGAGACAGCCTTTGAGTCGGACGGCGAAGTTGCTGATCAGTCCCGTGCTTGCTTCTCCCGGGTCCTGACCCAGGTACTAAGCATCGGCGAGGCTGTGCAGAGCATGAAGCCCGTCAACCAGGCTTGTGGTGAGGTTCTCGGTGCTCTGTTCAGCACTCTGTCTCTTGTCGACTTCTTGGATACCATTGAGGTTCTCCTCCAGGGTCCCAATGACGAGCTTCGGCGCAAGGTCCTTCGTTTGCTCGAAACCCGCCTCCGCCAGAACCCTGAGCGCGACAACCTGTCGCAGATCCGTGTTCTTGACTTCCTGCCCACCCTGGTTGGTATTGTTGAGTCGTCTCCGGATATCCTGCTCAAGCATGCTGCTGTTTCGTGCATTGACCGCATCACCGACAAGTACGGCCGTAAGGACCCGTCCAAGGTCATTGCTGCCGCTAGAGTCGTTGCCAGTGAATCTTGCCTCGGCCAATCTGATGACCGCATTCGCTACATGGGTATCCTGTGTCTGGCTTCTATGGCCGAGGTGCTGGGTCAAGCTATGATTCCCGCCCTTCCGGACACACTCAAGCGCTCATTGGAATTGCTCGAGTTGAGTCTGGTTTCTGACAAGGAGAACTCACGACTCCACGACGCCATCTTTACCCTCTTCTCTGCCCTTTTTGTCCACCTCCCATTCATGATCTCAGCTGGTCATTTGGACAAGATGCTTCTCCTTTCCTTCAAGTCTGCTAATGCGGACATCGAGGAGAGCAGTGATGATAGCCGCCAGGAGTCCCTGCGGTTGATGGCCCGCAAGGTGGATGTTGGCGCAACTCTCGGCGCCGTCGATCGCAATTGGCAGAACGCCGTCCAGGCAGGCCCCATTGCTGTGAACGAGCTCTTGGAAGTCGTCACAATTGCTGTTGACAAGCACCCCAAGTCGACCATTGCTAAGAACATCGGCGTCCTTACGAAGATTCTCTTCAAGGCCTTTGATCTGCGCCGTGAGCAGATTGCCCTTGGCGACGAGGCTATCTTCGAATCGACCGCTATTGATGAGGCCGAAACAGCGCTCAACGACGTTACCATCAAGATGATCTACAAGCTGAACGACAGCACATTCCGGCCCATCTTCCTCAAGTTCGTGGAGTGGGCCACTACCGGCGCCCCCAAGGATGAGCAGGCTCGAATTTCGCGCCTCACGACTTTCTACAAGTTCCTCGAGGTGTTCTTCGGTACTCTTCAGGTTTGTTTCCTCACAAGTCTTCATATTTTGATCTTTATCACTAATACCTTATTCAGTCAATTGTCACCGGATATTCCAGCTATGTGTTGGAGAACGTTGTCAGTGTTCTGAACACGACGGGTCCCTCCAAGGCTCAGAAGTCCCTCTGGTTGGCCGCCCTTCGTATGCTCCGCAAATCCTTCGAGCATGACCAGGATGGTATGTTTTCTCTCTCCGCCCACTTTGGCCTATTGTAAACCCCTAACCTCTACTACAGAATTCTGGCAAAGCCCCTCCCACCTTGCCAGCATCTCCGGTCCCCTTATCGCCCAACTCGGCCACGCAACCACCACGACCACCTCAAACATGGTCATTGCCGACGTCGTGCCCACAATCACCGAACTGGCCATCGCCGCCGACTCCACTGATAACCACAAGGAGCTGAACTCCGCCCTGATGAAATACCTCCGCCCCTCCTCTGCGCCTAACGCCCGCTCCGCCGGTGGCGACAGCCCCCACACCCGTCTCGCAGCCCTCAAGACCGAACAGGCTCTTACGGAGCAGCTTGGTGAGGAGTGGTTGGCTCTTCTCCCGGAGATGCTGCCTTACATCAGTGAGCTTATGGAAGATGAGGATGAGAGTGTTGAGAGAGAAGTCCGCAGATGGGTTAAGCAGATTGAGAAGGTGCTTGGTGAGCGTCTCGATGATATGTTGACTTAGAGCTTTGGTTTATGATTGTGTACAAAATTTGCATTTTCTTGGCGTCCATAGAACAGGTCCTGTGCGGGCCTTGCAGGTAGTCTACGGATAGTCTGTCCTAAAAATTGATTGTTCTAATTATTTGTTGAATGTCATTTCATTTCAAATTCTGTAAATGATACCGAGTATATATAACATTTAGTTCTCTGGAATAACAGCCTCCGAAGCATCCACGCCAGCATTCCACCGGTACTTGGAAGCTGGGTGGTCTGCCTGTGGCCCGGACTGGCCGGGCTGCCCATATAGATTCTCACGGTAGGTTCCCTTGGGTACGGCATAGTCATCCCAGAACAGGCCTCGCTTGCGAAGCTCGGGAATAAGGAGATCAATGATATCCTTGAAGGAGCCGGGCTTGATTGCGTATGCCTGTGAATAATGTTAATAAATGACTCGGCGTACAATGGACTGTGTCAAGAAATATAACTTACAAGGTTAAACCCATCGACATCAGCTTCTGCCACCCATCGCTCCATGCTATCGGCAACTTGAGCAGCTGTACCGACAGGAGTGGCACCCAGCCCTCCAACGGTGATGTGTCGACCGACAGTGGCCTTTGTCCATTTGGCTACTTCGGGGGTAGCCTTGGACCAGCCCTCGACAGCAGATCTGTGCACAAATCCAAGTCAGTCTTTGTGAATCTGAAAACAAGCGAAGGTTATCACCTACCGGATAGCATTGCTCTCAACATGTCTCAGCTCCTCATCCTCTCCATACTTATCCAAATCAATCCCCGTCCATCCACCAAACAGCGCAAGCGCACCATCAATAGATCCCAGACTGCGGAAATACTCAAACTTCTCCACAGCCTCCTCCTCCGTCTTACCGAGGACAGGGCAAAGAAGCGCAAGGAACTTAATACTCTGCGGATCACGTCCGTACTCACTCTGTGCAAGCTCCCGAATCTCCCTGACGTTCTTCGCTACTACAGCGGGGCTGTGACCCGCCACGAAGATAGCCTCCGCATGTTGCGCAGCGAAGGTCTTGCCTGCTTTTGAGGTACCGGCTTGGAGGATGACTGGTGTGCGTTGTGGGCTGGGTTGGCAGAGGTGAGGTCCGGGGACGTTGAAGTATTTGCCGACGTGGTTGATTTGACGCACGCCTGCTGGGTCGGTGTAGATTCCGCGCTCGCGGTCGAGGGTTACGGCGTCTTGGCGCCAGGAGGATTCCCATAGTTTGTAGGTGACTTTGATATATTCTTCGGCGAGGAGATAGCGGTCGTCGTGCTGGAGATTTTGTTAGTGGGTTATAGGTATGTGGGTGTGGAATGTGAGGTCTTACGTGTAGCTGCTCGGCTTGGCCCATGTTGCGGGCAGCGGAGTCGAGGTATCCTGTCACCACCTGGGGATGTTGTTAGTATGTATTTCCTTCGGAGAATCCTACTATTCGAGTTGAGTATGCTACTCACGTTCCATCCAAGGCTATCAGGCGATTTTGATTAGCGACTAATTCCCACAACCGTTACTGAACGAATGTACGCACCGTCCTTTGGTAAGATGATCGACCGTAGATAGTCGTCTGGCGAGATGATATGGCTGCTCATAGCTTGTTGTGACCGTCACTCCAAATCCAATATTCTTCGTAGCTGCCGCCATCGCGGGGACAACAGCCAGTGGCTCGTTCACTGGCCACTGAGCACCGGAGACGACTGCAGGGTCAAGGTTTCGGGGTCCTTTATAGACATCGTATCCTCCTAGAGAGATATTTCTTGTCAGAACTTTTCTCCTATAAGAAAACCACACTTGCCCAACCTACCCAGAACATCTGCGATGAAAATACCATGGAACTTGGCCGACTCGAGTAATTGTGCTAGCTCGACCCAGTGGTCGACATCGTTGAAGCGATGCGACTCATCTTCGGGGTGGCGCCATAGTCCTGGCGATTGATGGCCGCTGCCTGCATGGTTGTTAGATATTGGTATTTTTACATGTAAAATGAACTTCCACGTACACATTTCCACAAAAGCATTGAGGATGAGCGACTTGCGAGGCTTAGTCGCGTCTGGTGGTTGAGTTGTAGACATGGTAGGACTGTAGGCTAGGAGTAATTAAAAGAAACAATAATATCCTTCTACTAGAAACGAGGGGTTAAATTTCCTTTATACTTCTTTCTATTTAATTCTCGAAATTATCCAAAACCAAAAAAAAAAAAAGAAAGAAAGAACCCCGCGTGTCTGAAGTTGGTTGTTATAGCATCACAGTGGGCCGTGATGGCGTGCCATATATACTCGCGAATGGCCACTTTCATTGGCTAAAAAGCAATTATACTCGCGGAGCCACGCAGATTAATTCCTATAATTCCTACAACATATATTCTCTCGCCCGAGAAATATACTAGGCTACATCCAATATTGTATACTGATGTGATGTGATCCCGTTGATCCCGTGGACCTTCCATGTTCTTACGAATTCCTGTCCTCGCTATTGGACATAGGATCAGAGTTTGTCCAGAGGTCGAATTTGCTCAATTTTAAGGAATTAGATCATTTGGATTGTCAACAGTTGGCTTGGCTGTTGAGGGTTCAGCTACGTTATACTTGGATATCTTCGTTTCCCCCTTAACTATAAACAAGACAGATCATTCAAATCTATCCTCTTATTTAACTCATCTAACTCATATAACTCATATAATTCATATAATTCATATAATTCACATCCACAATTAAATATTTTATATGCATAGGATATATTATGCCCAGAGCATCCCTACATAAACCTAAACCATTCTTCGCCAATCTCGTGAAGCACCTCATCGTAAGCACAAATCAAGCCATTGTGGACCCTATATCAACTTATTCCAACATGTGCCTTAGATCACATCCCTATCCAGGGACTCGGTACACTAGACATTCAAATATCATTTAAGCATAGTCCCTGTTCCATGTCCTTGGTATCATTGGGCTTATTTTTTTTCTTTTTGCCTATTACAACCCTACTTCCTACTAATAGTCTGAAACGGCAAAGCTCTTCTCAATTACTCTCTTGGAGTAGGCTATTTTGCCTTGCATAATGTCGAACTTACATACTCGCGATGGCATTTCGACTGTCCAGCCACCTTTATCACAGGCGGTTGGCTATGTCGTTGTCGTTGTCATCGGTGTGATTATTGCTCTGGGTGAGTACTTCAATATGTTTCTCTCAATTTCTCGGCTAACACCGAACAGTGATGATGCTCATCACGAAAGTCTTGAAGAAAACTACCGGAGAGGACAACGAAAAGACTGAAATGTATGCAATTGCTTTTCCAAAATCTTCCTTTAATACTAATCCAGACCACAGGTTCATGACAGCAAACCGTACTGTCCGCACCGGCCTAACTGCATCCGCCGTCATATCAGTCAGTTCTTCTCCCCCAGCCGCTTGAATTCCAACTGATACATGACTCCCAGTCTTGGCTTTGGTCAACCGCTTTACTCGGCTCATCTTTTGTCGGCTATGACTACGGCATAGCTGGTCCGTTCTGGTTTGCAGCTGGCTGCAGTCCGATGATTGTCTTCTTTGCGCTTTTGGGAATATCCTGCAAGCGAAAGATCCCAGAAGCGCACACTTCGCTAGAGGTTGTTCGGGTTCGATACGGTAAGTTAGCTTCGGTCCCTTGTCTGGGTACTTGCTGACCTTTATTTCGGGAGTATAGGACATGTGGCACATGCTGTGTTCATGGTCCTCTGTTTAGTGAACAATATCTTCGCGTGTGCCAATATGCTTCTCGGTGCCGCTGCAGTAATCACTGCTGTGTAAGTTTCCTCCAGTCTATTGAGATGCTGTAGCTAATCAACTCAGTACTGGAATGCATATTATTGCAGCAACATTCTTGTTGCCGGTCGGAGTCACCCTCTACACTTTTGTTGGTGGTATCAAAGCAACGTAAGTCCTCTTCCCTCAACTTTAAAGAAGTTCAAAGATCTCATTGTACCATGCAGATTCCTCACTGATTATTTCCACACGGCTATAATCATGATTATTGCCTGCTATTTCACCGTCAAAGCCTTCTCAACTGACCAGATTGGCTCCGTGGGTGATCTTTTCGAGCTCGTCCAAGCAGCAGCGCAACGACACCCAGTCTCTGGCAACCAAGATGGAACATATCTGACCATGACATCCAAGAGTGTAAGATCAACATCAATGGATCAACTCTATCAGGCAATTTACTGACAAGACCGCAGGCAATCCTTTTCGGAATTCTTCACACCCTTGGAAACTTCGGTTTAGTTATTGTAAGCACAACACCATCTATCCCATCACCCTACTTTCTAACTCCTTCTAGATGGACACAAGCTACTTCATCAAGGCCTTCTCCGCCTCCCCAGCTGCAGTAGTACCTGGGTATACAATCGGAGGAATCGCCTACTTCGCCATCCCATGGGGTCTGGGAACCGTGATGAGCTCCGTTGCCCTTGGACTCGAGAACAGTCCAACCTTCCCCACATTCCCAAGAGTAAGCACTCTATCCACCTCTCTAATATTCTAAATGCCACTAACACCAAAAATCAGAGAATGACAACGACGGAAGTCGGAAATGGCCTCGTCCTCCCATACGCGGCAATCACCATCGCCGGTAAAGGCGGCGCAGCAGCAGTCCTTCTGGTAACCTTCATGGCATGCACATCAACTCTCTCCGCGCAGGTGATCGCCGTTAGCTCGATTCTCAGCTTCGATGTATACCGCGAGTACTTCAATAAGAAGGCTACGGATTACGATCTGATCCGCGCGAGTCACTTCGGTGTGATTTTCTTCGCTGTTTTCTCGGCTGCTTTTAGCACTATGCTTCACTACGTGGGTATTAATCTAGGTTGGACACTGTATATGCTGGGTATGCTATCCCTCCCGCACTTTGCCTTCTATCTCGAAACTGACACTCTTCTTCTCTAATAGGTGTGGTTACATGTCCCGGAATCTTCCCAATGATCTTCACAATCCTCTGGCGTCGCCAAAGCAAAGCCGCCGCAATTCTCTCCGGTCCTCGGCCTTGCAACAGGTATGGCCGTCTGGCTCGGGACTGCATCGCACTTCGGTGGTGAAGTTTCCGTCGCATCGACGGGACAAGTCCTCCCCTGTGTCTATGGAACGGTCGCTTCTTGCATGTCGCCTATTGTATACTCGGTTCTCATTACGCTTGTGCGACCGCAGAATTATGACTGGAATGATTTCAAGAAGGTCAAGCTGTCTCTTGAGAAATTGGACAGTGATTTGACGACTGCGCATCATGACCAGCTTTCTTCTCGTGGAGATGATGGCAGTGGTGAGGACGGAGGCAGGAGTGCCGAAAATCAGAAAGAGCTGAAGCGGTGGGGTCGTATTGCGGCGTTTTGGGCTGTGGCAACCTTTTTGGGTCATTGGGTTATTTGGCCGTTGCCTATGTATGGATCTGGTTATGTCTTTGGGAAGAAGGTATGTGGTACCCTTTGGCTGAAAACTCTCGCTATTCTTGGTTAACTGTTCGCTTAGTTCTATATTGCCTGGGTTGTCGTCGCTATCATCTGGCTCTGGCTCAGTATGCTAGTTGCTATCTTCTATCCGATCTTTGACGGTGGTATTCAGCAGATTCGTGATGTTTATCGGGGGCTGAGAGGTCAAAACGTTGTCGAAGGTGCTCGGAGTAAAGATGGCAAAGGAGAAAGAGAAAGTAACCCTCCGTCTGTTGGGTCTATCAGTGATGTTACTCAAACAGGGGATTCTCAAGAGAAAAAGTCTTGAATCATTTTGCGTCAAATCAATACTAGGATAATTGGGGTTCTATACCATGATATTTGGGGATTTTGGTCTTTTTTGTATAAGCTATTCTACGTTACTCATTGCTAAGTAATATCTACTATATCTGATGTCTACGTCAAATCTAATCAAAATTCGATTTCAATGGCCTTTTTTTTTTTTTTTTTTTTCGTTCATAAATCCTGTGCAAGATAGATGCAAAAGCAAGTGGCGCACATCACATAACAGCCATAAATGTCCCAATCCATATGTCAGCGAGATATTTCCAATCTTGCAATATTGACAGCCAAAAGAATAAGAAATTCTAAGGGAAGCCACTCTTCAAGTTATCGTACTTGGAGGCAGGGTATTGCAGCTGATTGCCGCTCTGCTCCAAAGCGCCGACACCTCCAAGTGTATCAACAACCTGTGTGTGTATGTCAGTAAAATGTAAACCAGATAACAAAGCCAGAACATGACATACAGTTGTAATCAAACTGTCCCCACCAGTCTTGTCAGAGCTGCTCTCCCACCACATTCCACCGCCCAGTCCGCGGGACTGGATGTACTGCGCCTTCTGACGCGCAATCTCGGGTGTGTCATAGCTGACAAACAGTCGGCTGTCTTTATTGTAGCAGTAGCTTACACCTGGTTGATCCAAGATGGTCACGGCACAACCGTTCAGTGGCAGACCCTTGTAGTCCCACACCCCGTTCTCCCATGTGCCTGCTCCAACACCATTGTAGGGCTTTCCCGGGCCGTCGGTATTGGTAAACGCTCGGCCGTACAGTGGCATTCCCAGGACGATCTTATTGCCAGCTACGCCTTGCGCGGTGTAGTAATCGACTGCTTGGTCCGTGTTAAATGGGGTGCTGGCTGGGTTGTCGGTCGACGCGTGGAGATTGGAATTGTGGCCGGCAACTGTGTCCCAGCTACCGGAGTAGTCGTAGGCCATGAGGTTCCAGAAATCCAAATACTGGTCCATCTCCTTCAGGCGTTGCTGGCGGTAGTGGACTGGGCCTGGGACTGTGTCAGCTGTTTTTGAATACTTCAACGATGTAGATAAACCTTACCAGCGGGGGATGCGACAGTAAGCAGGAAATGATAACCCTGGGCATTGGCTGAGCTGTAGGAATCCAAAGACTGGAATTAATTAGCCAGAGCTCTTAGATATTTATAAAAGAATCACATACCGCACGAAGTCGACGGAGTGCATCGACAAACTTGTCTGCCTGGTCGTCAGTATCAGGGTACTATAGTATTCGTAAGCGTCAACAACTCCAAAATGGTAAGTATTGAAGACTTACCTCATAATCAACATCAATACCATCCAAGCCAAGGTTCTGCAGCAGCTCCGTGGCAGAATCAGCGAACTTCTGCCGTCCAGCCTCTGTATCAAAGGCAGATGCAAAGCTGGGGGAGTAGGTCCAGCCTCCAATCGACAGAAGAACCTTGAGCTTGCTGTTGTTCTTCTTGAGTAGGAACAGCTGTTTGATACAGCCATAGACATTGTTTCCAGAATCGTTCCAAGAATCAGTGGGATAGTGCTTGTCAGTGTCCGCCCAGGAGTCCGACAGGTAGACCTCGCCAGTGCCGGCACGAATATTAGCAAATGCATAAAGGACATGGGTCAGTCGCTCGGCGGGGAGATTCTGGGGTTGGAAGTCACGACCATAGATAGCCTAAATAGTCTGATATTAGCATAACTTCCTATTTTGTGTGTTTGGATGATGACGATTTTCATATCCCCGGTTCTATCCCGAGGTCCAGTGATATACATATATAATACACATGTAGATATGATCTGAACTTACCCAGTTCACATAGTATGCCACTGAGCGGTACCCGCCAACATCACGAGATACAATCTCAGTGCCGTTGGTGCTCAGGGCAGGAATGTAGGCAGCGTTGGCGAGCCAGCTCAGGCCTAAAAGGAAAGAAATGACAAATTGCATGATAAAGGAGTGTGTCGAGATGATCTTCTAGATGTCTCGGGCCAGCGAGGTTGGATGGTGAAGGTTGTTGAGTTCGAGGATGAGGGAAATGACCTCACTATTTGTAGTCGAAGTCGACAAACAAACTATTTCCTCCGCGGAGTATTGAGATGGACAATAGTGATTGTCCAGTCCATTCAGTCCGTTTGTCTGCAACCCAAATGGGGGATTGGTCAACTGTTACCTAAACGGTGACTTGGCTGATACCAAGGGGTCTGCATCGTTCCAGCATTGATATCGGAGGAATCAATGGGATTCTGCTGAGTTCTCACATTCAGAAAGTTAGGCAACCGGTGATTTGACATGGTCAATGGGAGGATTGTGTGTTCCCTGTCAAGGTCTACGGCGAATTAAGCAGCGCCACAGTGCATTCCCTCCACATTATAAAGACCCTATTATGCTATCTACTATGTACTAAGAGTGTCTTCAATAGTAGATGCCCACCCCATGGCACACCACACAAGTGTGTAACATTTCGAAATTGCGGGTTAATCCCTCTGTGACAACTCGATTACCTGTCCTCGTGGAGGCTAAAGATTCCCCGGCCAGTCGGTTAGGGAGACTCCTGAAGATGGGTGACATTGTCATATGAAATCCGGTTATCATGCACAGTCAGTACCGAGAAATATGACCGGGGTAATATCAAATTGTTCTGGCCTAGGAACCCATATCTTTGGAGATTGCAGCATCACCCCGCTCGTCCTATATTGGAGTCCTACAGCAAGACCCATATTAATGAATGTAACTAGAGTGGTAGTATCAATCAAATAAACGGGTCTATACTGTTTAGTTATATCATTTAGGGTCTATGGATATGCACGCTGACACATTAATGTACCCGGTTCGCCAGGTCTGCAGGAACGGTCCCTGTGAGAAGGACCAATGTCAATGCCAATGTAACACTAAGACCATGCGACCCGGACATGTGCCATATCATGGCCATACTGAGGATAAGTTCAAGATTCAAGCCACTAAGCATATGATCTCATGATCGGAGGAAGGGAATAGTTCCTCACATGGCTTAGCTTTGATACATCTTGTCCTTTCGCAATTTTGGGATTGATCAAATGTTACCGAGTAAGGATAGTTGATTGCTTTTATGTACCAAGTTAGACTTGAATGCCAGAGTCCCAATGAACATATACTAGATACTTGAAAGAATATCCCTGAAAGATACCACATTATGTGTACCTTAGAATTACACCAGACCTCCAACAAGCAACATCGCAAGTCATCCGATACTCCAGAAGCTGCAAGGAGCCTCAATCAAAGTAGATCACTTCACGGTAACTCTGACCTCCCCAACCAAGGCCATTCCCATCTTCAACCGATCCAGAAATTTATCCTCGTCAGCAGTTATCTGGGCAGCGGCATCCGGGGCATAGATCTTGGCTGCAAAGGCCTGGTAGGCAACCTGATTTGAGAAAGTAAGTTCGGCGTAGGCGTCAAAGTCGAAGTCTGGCTGTCGCCCGCGCAGTATAATGGCCGGGGTGAAGGCGTTCCGTGCGGTAGAGCCATCCGGAGGGATTTCGACTGTATTGCGGGAGACATAGTTTCGATGATGGGAAAGAGGGAAATCCCCGCCTGCGATCTTCTTGACAAGTTTGACGTGCGCTTCGTAGCACTTCTTGAATTCTTCCGGTGTCAGATGGGGGTTGCGGTAAAGAAAGACTAGCATTTTGACAGGCATTTTGAAATTCCGAGCTGTAGTAGATAAACTTAATTGAGAGAATGGCTTGGATATGCTGGATTAGCTCGAATGTTAAAGGATTGAAGATTCAAAGATACTATAATAAACCGGTTATTTCTCGGGGGGTTTTACTCTCGGTCGTTACTTTGTACCTTAGAAGCAGTGCAACGCGGAATATGCGGGGGTGTACGGCGCCGTATTTTCTAAAATCCACAGATTGTTGTAGTACGAGATAACAGATCCCTCTTCGGTTTGATTTTAATCCATTTTTACCAATCGATCAAGTGTTTCGGATCTTTCGCTCTGCACGGTCAATAGGCGACATCCCTTCTGTTTCTCGAGGTTGCTGAACGCTGTCCTCGAAATGGTCTTACCAAGACCGATATGGATTTCGATTTATCAGCTTCCCGTGTGAACCAATTGATTTCGTCCTGACAGACAAGATCCGATGGGGAATATGAGTCAGAGTGCTTATCAGAACTACTCTTCAAATCTGGCGGAAGACGCGATTCGTCGTCACTGCTCAAGCCCATAAAACAGATGAAGGAAATCCTGTCATGTCCCATCAATGCCACCGTTCGGAAGATAACGTGCCGAGTGCATCAACTGACTTGCCCGCAAGTTACATCATCCTCGGCGTAGGGAAAAAGAAGAGAAAGACGTATCAAAATCAACGAGCAAAATTTTGGCTTCTGAAAGTGTGAACGAAGGGGATAAGACTGAACTTGGTTTAATCGAAGAAGCAATCGAGTTTAGAATGTAAATAGCGGTTTTGTGCTTCTAGATAAACTCCTAACATGACATCTCTTAACCACGGGCTAAATAGAAGGTAAGGATAGCGATCTTAAATCAAGTATTTAGAATCGGTAAATTGGGTATGTTCATACTTTTCAAAGATGAAGATGAAGACTACGGTTGTCGGCCAAGTATATATTAAATAAATGAATTAAAGCAAGAGTAAAGCAACAAGCTAACATACATATAAATGACAAAAGAAAAAAAGGGTTTTATATGAACAATAGGGTATAATCGAAACAGAAAAACAAAAAGGCAGTCATCACCGTATAAACGCTATACAAAAGCAGGACTTTTTCATGTTTGCCAACAGAATTAGGGGTATTGGTTGGTGATTAACAAACGAGGCTGAACAAAACCATCCACATCTCGTATTATTTAGCGACTGGCTCTCAGCGTGCTCAATCGTTCCGAGTACTCCGGTGGGGCAAGGCCCACATCAACCACCACATTACTGCAAGTATTGGAAAAGTCGGTGGGAGAAGTCACATTGCGCGGGTTGAAGAACTCCTCAAGCTCTTGCTGTGTGACCGTGACATCGAGGTGGGTCTTTATAGATTCAGCACGCTTTGCCTGGCTCGTGAACTGGACCGGGAGACAGAGGGAGATTGTCGGTGTCATGACGTTGGTTGCGGGGGTGTGGTATGTCAAAGAGAGATCAAGGGCGTAGATGCGAGATATCAGACAGGTGTGGAAAGTCGGGACGAAGGCTTTCGACTTGGGCAACGTGACGGGGACGACGATTGATGCGGTATAGTAGGTGTCTCCAGTGAATGTGGAAGATGGGCCGGTTGATGAATCGGATGAGGATGAGTCGGTGGAGTCGCGGCGCATGGCTTCGGCGGCTGTCGATTGCTTTGTCCACTGGGCCGATGCGACACACATGGTTAATAGAGGGACACTTTCTGTGTAGAGGCCGCATCCGATGGCGGCGAAGGGCATGCCGGTCGTGGATGGGAAGTCATCCCATGGGGCTGCGCTAAAGAACGTGTGGACGCGGAGTTTGCTGGTCATTGTTCCGAGTGGGGGTGGTTGCTCGTCGCCGACTGGATCGAATCGTAGGTTTACGGTGGCCACAGTGCTCACAGTGTCGGTTGGCTCGCCATCTGGAGGAAGCAATTGAATGGGTTTGGGCTGGGAGGATGAAGCGACGATGCGTCCCAATTTGCCTCGCAAGGTTCCACGCTTGACGCTCTTCTCTTTGCGTGTGCAGAAAGAGGGACTCGCGGAAGTTTCCACTGGAGGCTCTTCTTCGACGGTTGGGATGATACGGACTTTCTTGGCAATGCCAGCGATAGCCACGACTCCAGGGCCGACGGGCTGTTTCTGAAGAACGGATGCTCGAATCGTGTAGGCAATCTGCGACATGCTAGGTGTCATGTCATCCAGCAGTGTCTTACCATTACTCGCAAGGATGGGATCACCCAATGTTGGCGGAAGCATAGTGTGGGATCGTTGAATGTGAGCATTCTTCGTGGAGTGAGTGCAGACCTGAGGCAGCAGACGGTCCGGGACGACGAATGTGAAGGGGTATTCATAGGATCGGCCACCCTCTAGGACTCTAGGGGTCGGATAGTCCATTTCATCAATAGGCTGGCGCAATTTGAGAAACATCTGTTGTGATCCCGTGCGGCCGGGACATGATGCCCGTTCTACCGTCGTTCGAGCTACGCCTTTTTATTTGATTAGCATTATTTATAGGCCGAGTTTGAAGGGCAAGTACCTTCGAAGACGATCTCAACCTCTTCAAATCGAGTCTCATGCTGAACGGTGACGGTTATACTGCCATCGATACTCTCTCCGGTGGTATAAGAGTTGACATGTCCTGGCTTTTGTCCTGTAAGATTTACCTCGATTTTGGGCTTTGAGCGTCGAGTCCAAGCATCTAGCCTGTCCGAGCCAGAGCTGATGATTGAAGTTGCGGTCGACATTGTTTCGCAGGGGAAGCGAAGAGAATACGTATAACGGCCTGTCCCACAGAGACGCAGGAATAATATGGCAGCCGATACGTCAAAATAGAGGTGAAGATGATATATCAAAAAGAAATCAGGTCAAATAGGGGCCAGATGCGATTCTTCTTAAAGAAAAGTACAGGGTAAAAAAAAAAAAAAAAAAATAGTAAACGGTGGAGCCGTTGACAAGCGCAATGGAGTCAGAGGAAAACAAGTGTGGAGGAGCCTGGCAATGTGAGCAAGGTTTCAGATGGCATCAGATATCCCCAATGTATGTATCTTATAAATCAACTTGAAGTGACTCACAAGTCATCCAGAAGGCGCATCTACAGTATACTTCGGCTCAGGATAACCCGCTCGTAGCGCCTCCAAACTAAAAAAGAGAACCGGTATACAACATACATTTCAGTACTTCAGTATAAGGAAAGGTTAACCACACAATTCAGTATAAGGAAGGCGGAGCCAAGGAGTCATTGGGGTCCAGAGAATGATTGGTCATATGCGAGGATTCCCGCTGCACGCCCTTGGATTGACATTCCGACCAAAGTAGAGAGTTCATGGCACATGCTATTCTATTGTATGGGCTTTGAACGTCATGTTTCTTCCTTTTCCTCCGTTTTAGATGTTTCAGCTCATTCAGACAGCTCAGATCTTTCAGATCTTTTAGACTATTGAGACTATTTAACTATATTCAAGCTATTCATATTTAAAATAGTCAGAAATCAAAATAGTCAAGTTCAATTCACGGGTCAAGGGGGGAAGAAGTGGAGTGCGCCTTAGTACAACATCCGTACAACATGCACCTGGGCACGCCCTTTGGACTCCACTCCACATTCCCCCCAGCTTATGCTCTAAAAGTAGCCAATCATCGTGTTCGATTGCCGAACTCTGTACATCAGAATGACCAGGATCGATTTCAAAGCGATATCGTATTGAATTCTACGAGTTGATAACACTCTTTGGTCATATTCGAGGACCTTGAAGGGTTTTCAATCACGCATGATCTATAGACATAGAAAATTTCCCGCGGAGAAGAAACGATGGAACCCCGGCCTAGCTTCGGCCCCAGAGATTTCCGGCCATAACCGAGATTTTGGCTATGCCGAGCTTCTTTTCTTTTTCTTTTGTTCCCGGAGTGTCGGAGTAAACGGAGAGAAAGAATCTTGGATGGCGCAATCCGATCTCGGTGTCCAAAGTAGAAGGTATCTGGAGAGATATTTCAGAAAAGTTGTGCTCACTATATTTCATAGTTTGTAGCGATTTACATATTTCACATAACACTAATGCGAAGTCTGATTATTGAACCACATTATCAAGGGCATATATGTTGGTGACTATGCAATATTCTCGTCACACCTTATACATCACATTTTACATTTCACTCCTACTACAACGCCAAGAAGGGGAATTAAGAAGACAATCTCAGAAAATGTAGAAAGATTTGGAATAAATTTGTTTTCATTCGGCCAGAAAAAACAATAAGAAGAAAAAGAAAGAAAAAAAAAATAGATTTACAGGACTGTCCCAACTGATAAATTACGATGCAGACCCGTGGTGAAGTGCGGATCAAATCGTACTCAAAAAGCGTCGACGCGTTTGCACGCTTCTTCTTGTCTCGTACAAGCCAGCACTAAAAGTGACTGGCTGCATCCAGCTCAAGATTAGCCGAGGGGGAACGGCAGACCGAGCGAGGCAAGAGACATCATGAAAGACTCTACGAAGGAAAGGGGAGATGTATGAAGTGCAATGCCCGAGGTAATCAGCCTCGGTTGAAAAATTAGTCGTGGTTCAAAGTCGCACAATCATCATCCATTAACAAAGACGTAGGTATCTGAAGCCCGTATACAGGGCAGCAAGGAACGCCAGCAGACGCCGCAACAAACCCAAAATCAATACGCCACCCTTGTTCGCATATCCTGGGAGATGTTAGTAAAATGAAAAATACACACAGTAGGGAACATCTGCAAACTTACCGAAATCTTGCGCTCGATCTCCCGAACAGATCGATCGAGTTCCCCGGCAATCATCAACTTGGTATCATTAGGCAGCAGGAGATACATTTCACAAAGATCTCCATCAATGACGCCCTTCACAGGGGCATAGTAGCCGCGGTACATCAAATGGTCTCGTCCAGCCAGAGGGGGTTGCTGGGAAGCGAGCTGTGTTTCCAAAAGCTGGAAAAAGTCGACATCCTCACGGCTGGCAAAAGGAACAAACATTCCAATCGTGCCTTGGAGGCCAGTCCAGACAACA